TATTCTGGTATCCAGAGGTAACTTCGAGGCCACAAAATTTTTTATTTTATTTTTTACCCCCACCGAGCAACAAAATTTTTTCCGGTTTTTAGGGTTTCTTAGGGTGCTCCCTAACTTTGTGGCCAACTTCGTTACACGGCTCGTAGTAAGAGTCCACGTGGTTATAGTCACGTGATCGCACTCGAACATGATTGGTGTATTGTAGTCACGGTTGACGTGATGACCTAAGAGAAAAATGTGGTCGCCGGTGACAGCTCTGACGGTAACAGTGCAGGTCGCGAGTGACGGACATTGCCATAACGAGCGTCATTGGTCACGGGCGACAAGAGTCGCGTGTGTCGGTGATCACGGGCGACAAGACTCGCGGGTGACGGATATTTAAGTTGCGGGCGACGAGACTTGTGGGTGACGGATATTTAAGTTGCGGGCGACAGTAGTCACAGGTGATGAGACTCGCGGGTGACGGACTTTGCCATCGCGGGCGACAAGCGTCGTGAGTGACAGTTTTTTTTTTCGCGGGCAACGGGAGTCGCGGTTGACCGATATTTAAGTTGCGGACGACGAGCTCGCAGGTGACTCGAGTCGCGGGTGACCGATATTTTAGTTGTGGGCGACATTAGTCAAGGGCGATGATGGTCACGGGCGACAATAGTCGCGGGTGACGGACGGTGTAAGTTGCGAGTGACAGTTGTCACGGGCAACGGTGATCACACTCTATCGCGGGCGACGGTGATCACACAAGGCATTTGCGCATAGGTGTGTATCTTCATCATTTTCAGCAGCTGAAAATGTGTCCAAAGATTGAAATTGACGCGGCTAGAGACGGTGTCTCTAGTTTTTGTCGAACTGAGATGACATCGAAACAACTTGGAGGAACAGGGTACAACGTTCTTCCTCTTGATGGCCGAGGTGATTACCTGCTTTGGGAAAAGCAGGTGAAAGGCAAGTTGAGGTCTATGGGTCTCGCTAATGTGCTTAGAGACAAACCAATGCACATTATCGACATTGACTGGAGGGACACAGTCTACATTGTGATGGGTTATCTAGATCCTTCAGTTATGAAGCAAGTTGAGGAGTATCCTGAGGTTACATAGCTTTTTTATGCCCTACAGAAACAATTTCATCAGAAGTAAATCTCACATGTGATGAACACCTACATGATGCTATTGAACTTCAGGATGAGGCCGGGATCAAGAATTCAGGATCATATTCACGCCTACGGAGATTTGTTGGTAGATCTTCAAAGTATGGGAGAGTAGCTTTCTGATATTAAGAAAGCTATGCATCTACTCCACTCATTGCCTCCCTCTTACCAGACACTATCAAAGATTCTCCTTCATCGTGAGAACAAGGCTATAACTTACAACGAGGTTGTAAGTGCTCTCTTGGCAGACGAGGTGGAACAGGAGATGTCATTCACTCGCCCACTCTCTTCAAGTAGTGACTGTGATCCGAGGTCAGTCGCAACCATCCGGTCAAAACAATTTGCAGTGAACAGGATTCAAAAGGCAGAGATCCAGATCCCCTGAGCGCAAGAGAGTTCAGTTTCGGGTTCACTCCCCTAACAAGAAGAACTTGAAAAACTTGGTGTGTTGGAGATGTGGCAAGAATGGCCACATCAAGAAGGACTGTCGGATGACAATAAGAGATGCGAATGTCCCTCAAGTGGTGAATGTTGCGAAGCATCTTCACTCCGAAGAGGAAGACGTGTTTGCCGACAGTTTATGATGTTAGAGAGGAGGGGATTACTCGGCACTTCACGACAGTTTACACTCCCCAACAAAACGCTGTTTCTGAAAGACACAACAGAACAGTGTTGGAGAAGATGCGGAGTATGCTAAGTGAATCTGGTTTACCAGGGGAGTTTTGGACCGAAGCCGTCAACACCGTCGTTTATTTGGTAAACTTCTCTCCTTCTAGTGCAATCAATTTTTCCACACCGTTTGAACTCAGGCATAAAAGGATGGCGGATTACAGTGTCTTGAAGGTTTTTGGTTGCACTGCTTATCCTCTTACACCAAAGGAGCATAGGACTAAGCTAGACCCTACGTCCAAGAACTGTCGTTTTCTTGGTTATGCTAGTGGAGTGAAAGGTTACAGGCTATGGGATCCACTAGCCGTAAGATGATTGTCAATCGAGATGTTTATTTCAATGAACTTGGTTTATTGATAGAGGGGAAGAATTCTAAGACTCCTCGTACCGACAAGTGGAAATCTCAAATCACGGATATCGTTGTGGGGGATTTTGATCATTTTATCATTAATGATCTGTCACAAGAAGGAGCACCGGTGCATCAAGAACAGGAGGAACATGAGCAAATTATCATTGATGAGACTATTGCGATAGTTTCAGACTATAGATTTAAACCAAAAACGTCTACTATGAGATCGCATCGTGCTAGTAGGGCTCGTGAAAGGTTTGGTGTATGGGCAAATTCATCCATTCTAGAAGATTGTGACTTTGATGTCGAAGATAGGGATGGTATGGCGTTGATTTTGGAAGAAGTTGAACCTTCTTCATACAGGGAAGCTCAAATTTTGGTCAACAAGCTTGAGTGGAATGCTGCTATGGAGCGGGAGACGGAATCCCTGATTGACAATAAGACTTGGGAGCTGGTTGAGACTCCTACGAATCAAACGCTGATTGACTCCAAATGGGTGTACAGGTTGAAAGACAATATAGGAGGAGACGAGGCAAGAATTTTCAAAGCTAGGCTAGTGGCTAGTGGTTTCACCCAAGAAAAGGGCGTGGACTACAATGAAGTTTTCTCACCGATAGCTAAGTATGCTACAATTCGTCTCGTATGTGCATTGGCTGCGATATTTGATCTTGTTATGGATCAGATGGATGTGGTTACAGCTTTTCTCTATGGATATTTAGAGGAGGTGATCTACATGAGACAGCCTGTTGGTTTTGAGGTCAAAGGCAAAGAAAGGTTGGTTTGTAGATTGTTGAAATCATTGTATGGATTGAAGCAAGCTCCTATGCAGTGGAACACGCGATTTGATGAGTTCATGAAGGCACAAGGTTTTTTACCCAGCTTGTATGATCCTTGTGTCTACATGAAGAAGGTAAATGATGAGACGTTCAATCTCATCATTTTGGTACTCTACGTTGACGACATGCTCATACTGGCAAAAAATCAATCCGATGTTGATGAATGCAAGAGTAAGTTGAAGTCTGCATTTAAAATGAAGGATATGGGGGAGTCGAAGAGAATACTAGGCATGGAGATCCATAGGAATCATGAACAAAAGAGACTATCGTTGAATCAAGGCAAGTATGTCCGTCGTATACTTGACAGGTTCAACATGATCGATTCCAAAGGAGTATGTACTACTTTGGCGGCACATTTCAAACTCTCAAATATTAATTATTCTAGTACCTTGTGACATAATATGTTGCCCTATGTAGTAAAACTTGTGAATTTTGAAGGTGTTTTGTGAATAAAAGAAATAAAAAGATGTTAGTTTGAATGTCTAAAAATCTTTGGCTATGACTTCAGAATTTATGACATTTCAAACCTTCCTTCTATGAGATTGAATATATATATATATATATATATATGAAAAAATATTTTCATCTATAATTTATTCAGTAATACAGTTGCATTACTGTGCATCATTCATATCCAATAATTTATAAGTCTCATCTACCAGCATACATGAAATATTTTTAGTTAAAATATAAAATATAGTTAAAATAAAAGATTTTCTGGAAACGTTATGATAATTTAACGATCTATTCCACAGTTTAACTTTCATTCATCAATCATTCTATGCGAAAAATAAAAATTTCATGGTATTCAAACAATAGAAGTTTGTATTTATTGATAGGATTAAGATCTTGTTGAATCAGATTATATGATGTACAAAGTAAACAAATTTGCTATTTATTTCTAAGTTTTGCACATCTCAATACATCTCTTGATATTAAGACAAAAATCTTATAAAGAGATCATGCAGGAAAACGAGATTGAGTACAAAGTTTAAGCTTCCAATAGTGACACATATTGGTGCTAGGTTTTCATGTCACTATTGGAAGGTTTTATTCAGACGAGGTTGGATAGCATTTAGGAGATCATATAGAATCATTCTTATTGCACGTTAAGAGTATACGTTTAATATTTAGCAGATAATTTTATAGCTTCTCTTCGAATTCAAATTTCAAATTTAGTAAACATAATCTCAGGTATCCAAGGTAAAATAGAGGTACAAATTGTGTAATGTAAACAAATAGTGCTCAGGTCTCGAAGGTAAATCACAATTATTAATGGTGAATATGAGCAAACAAAGTTGAGGAAATTTGTATAATGATTTTTATCTTAACACACTCACTCTCACTTGGAAAATGTTTGAAACAACAACAACATGAAATTAACATAACGCGAGTAAGAATGAAGGGGGTTGTATGGTGGAATTATGTGAAACAATAAATTTTTAATAAAATGAGATTATACAATCACCATTTCTGTATTTAATCGCGTTCTTCCTATATTGGGGTGTGGGGGAGCCCTCACGTGTCAGGCGAGCGAGTGCAAAGAGGTCATGGGGAATCAACGCAAGGTAAGTGGTGTGGTCCCGTGCCATGTTAATGGCTATAGCAGAGGGGAAATCAAGGGTTAAGAGTTGAGCTCGAGTAAAACCAATAAAGAATCAAATTTATATTTTGGAAATCACTACTAGAAAGTACGAGTCATGGTTGCCAATAGTGCCGGTGTAGTTCTTATTGGATATATTTACTAGTTAAAACCTAATTGATCTTGAGTTATATTTCACCAATGAAAAAATTGCCACTGATAAGGGTTGACACTATTTGGAGATTAAACTCGTTATTCAAAATTCGTGACGATACACCGCGTGAGATTTGAATTGTGTTTCCATATTCAATTTGAACGCCAACTCTCACGTGACAAGATGCCCGTCGTCGTACGCCGTAGGTGTCAAGTACGACGTTCAACGTTCGAGACACTTCTTGCTCGTTCGAGACGATGGAGTTGGCAGCGGAAGAAGAAGTATCGAGAAATCTCCGAGGCGACTGCTTGGAACAGGACGGAGGGTTCTAGCGGAAGCCCGAGAAATCGCGAGCCACCCGAGTCACGATGGGGAGGGCCTGCCGCATTGCGTCGGTGCATGGTTTATATCGCTTTCCGATAGGTTCGAATCGCAGAGTGGAAATCGTTGGAGACCGCAGAGACGAGGTTGAGCGCGATCTGCATCGTTAGTGCACCGAAGGTGGTCCAGAGATTTTGGCGATAGCAGTGTATTGAAGGTTCCGCTTGCAGAAGCACGATGGCGTTTTACATGTTCCAGTTCCCCGAAGAATATGAAAAGCATATGTCGCAGCCTCAGAAGACGTACGTGCGAGACTCTAAGGCTATGGCAAATACAGCTGTGGATGTCAAGGATCTGCCCAATGCTTACCAATTCATCGCGGACATGCCTGGCATCAAATCTTCAGATGTCAAGGTAACTGTGGGAATATTTGATCATCTTGTTCCATTCAAACCAGGAATTGTGATGAACTTAGCACGCGTAGCGGGGCCATTGGCTTTGTTGGTGCTGCACCGGGATTCTTGTGTAACCAGTGAGTGAATGCCAGACCTCCACTATCGAAAGCGCGTGGACATTAGGATTGGAGAATAACAAACTTTTAGTAAAGAAAACGCCTCACCATTTAGTTATACGAAAATTACTGAAGATATGACTTCCATCTGCTGTGATTGCCGTAGTGTTTATGTTATGGCTTCTGTAGTCCCTACCTCTCTACGTTCCCTACCGTCCCGTTGTGTACACATGATGAACTCATCTTTGTGGAAATTCTGCAGGTAGAGTTGGAAAATGGGAATGTCTTGAAGATCAGCGGAGTGAGAAAGCGAGATGATCCTACTCCTGATACAAAATATCTCAAGATTGAACGGAGTGCGGGAGAATTCATGCGGAAGTTCACCTTACCTGAAGATGCAAATAAAGATGCCATCACTGCGGCATGCCAACACGGGATTTTGACTGTTACCGTGCCGAAGGTTCCTCCTCCGGAACCAGCCAAGCCCAGGTCAATCGAGGTGAAAGTCGGTTGAAGATGAACGGCATTTGAGTTCGTTTGTGCGATCAAACATAGATTGAGGAGTTTTCAGCCGCACATGTACAGTTTCCTTCTGCAGGCTGTATCAGTCTTCTTTTGATGTTTTTTTATTCGAAATTTCTTCAAACTACTCCAGATGACCGTTTAGAAGCTTGAGATAGAAGGCTTCCTTCACGATCGGCTGATTCAAGCAAGAATTCAAAGCCACTAGCGACCAGGGATGTAACGCCAAAAGACATCATAGTATTCATCATGGGAACAGAATGGTGACATTGAAGCTTCAGCTAATCGAACTCCTCAGGCTTTGAGTGATAAGTTCAGGGACAGACCAGGCAGGAGTCTATTGTTCGTCGGTGAAATTTTCTATTATGGTCCTATAGATTGGACTTCGGCTTGACAAGGATTGAGATAATATTGTAGAACAGGTTGCGACAGAGTTCGTTTTTATAGTGTATGATTGACAGATATGCGTTTCAATAAAGTGCGATTACAGTACATTTCTAATGTCTTCTTTCTTTCAGTAGAAGAAACATTTCCGATCGTTTTGTCACTTCCCGGAGAAAAACTACCATAGTTTCAAGTTCATATAAAACAACTTCTTGCCAGCTGGATGAACTTTTACGATACTCGAAGCAAAGTCCGTACTTCGTCTGTTCATCGTTAAAGTCGAAAAGAAACTGAAAATTCGATGTACTAATTTCCACTACATACCCTCCAGTTTGCCAGCCACGAACAAGCTCAATGAATTTACTTTGCAGCGCATACAAGTCGATCCCTAGCTTGAAGATTGGGGTCGTACAAAGAGAGAACTATACCCGCCGCAGCACGCAAAAAAAGGGAACAATGAATTGCAGTTCAGCACATTCGAGCTGACGAAAATGCTGTACTTAGTCCTCGATGCAAAATCCCGTGACAACACCCTTTCACGTCACCAGAATCTACTTGTCACCCAGACGCTCTTGATGCCAAGCGGACGGAAGTGGGACCCGCCTTCTATAGTTACCATCATTCTTACATCTAATTTACGTGGTTGCTGCGACCTCGTATTTTAATCTACATAAGGCCTATCATTAACGAGGTCCTCTGGGTTTAATTCATTCCTCGCCGACAAATCGTAAGAAGTTGGAGCCCATAAAGACGGTGACCGGATTCGTCACCATCTTTTCTCCAGTCAACCGTCGAACTTCGATTATTGAGTGATATAGTTTGACCCGCCCTCACGTCTCTTGTGACCACATTCAATCTAGCACGCCTAGTATTCTATTCAACATTATGATGCTTCAGATGATGGCTGCTCGCAAATAAAGTAAGATTGTAGCAACAACAACAAAATAAAAAATTTATCCACGCTTCAAAAATTCATTATCAAATCAACATTGCGTCCTTGTTTCATCCATTTAGTTTCTAATCATCAGAATATAAAAAGTTAAATCATTTCCAATGAAATTTTTTTAAATAAAGAAACTCTCATAGAAAATTTAAAAAACAATTCCAAGTTTTGAATTTTATGCTGTGATGGAAAATAGTTACAAAATGTAATTCTCAATAAAAGTTTTATGATGCTAATGCATTGATACAGACATGTATGCAGTCCTCACAATGTTGAACATATATCATTACATATCTTATCACAATGCACAAACCCTACAAGATTTGATATTCAATTTGGCACTTTAGTCAATCGTATTGTTGTGAAATTATGGACCCTTTCAAATATGCATCGGAAAGTAACTTGGAGACCAACGATATGGATCTTCTCTTCATGTTTTGCTTAAAGTTCTTCGTTCTTGGAAAATGCGCAGAGGTTTATGAAACTAATGCATGGATATAGTTTACAACAATATGTTCCTTGTCATCCTCACATAATTATGAAGAGAAGGCATCACGTTCAGGTATCCAGTTGTGCGTTTATTTATTGCATAGAGGAGTAAGAAATAATTTCCCGAAACAGAAACGTGTGAAAATATATGAAACGATTTATCTTAAACTTGATACCTGATCTGGTTTTCTTCTGCTCAGCATGAGGACATTTCGGAGCGTGGAGGAATCGACCGACGGACACGATGGGGAATCGGGAATCTTATCTAATTCGGCTTTGATTCTTTCGAGCGCGACGTCGTGATTTAGTCGCCGAAGAAAGCACGGCACGACAAATCGATCCCAGTCCGACACCGCGCAGAAACTTGTGACTCGCAGTGTCCCGGAGGTTCTGGAACATCTTCCGCGGGCCCACTGTCTGATTTGTCACATTCCGGAGCACGGGCATTCCGAATGGCAAGGATGGCACTACGGGCCTTCAAATGTCGCGGTTCACGCTTGCTCGAAGCAGTGATTTACAAGTCGCCAATTCGGCCTCTTTCGGTGTTTCGATCTCGTGTCGAAGAGTTCGCAAGGATCCAACAGCGTTGAATTCTTGGTAAGAAACTTCGCCTTCCTCCTTCAGTGGGTTCTAGAGAGTCGCAGATTCCGGCTTTCTTCTTGCTGATTGTTTGCACTAAAACTAGTTTGGGTTAGGGCATTCTTTTCCGGCTGGCTTTTGATTTCAGTTAGTCCGGGTCGGTGATTGTCGCAGAGCTGTGATTGTAGTACGGATTGAGTACGAATAGTTTGTAATTATGTCATGACTTTAGTCAGAGGGTAGCGGTGCTTGTTACACTCATGCTCTGTCACAGGCTTCGAAGTCACCTTCCCCTTACTTGCCTTAAGACGATTCGGTTTGAATTATTATATCGAGCCGTAGTTCTGTGATCGGCTGGCACGACGATTCTAGGAATGAAAGAGTATTACTCTTTCGTCCTACATGGATAAGCTCCTCTTGATTTTCGAAAACGACTGGAGCTCGTGGATTGAGTTTGTTGCTTGACTTACTTCACAGGTACAGAGTATGGCCATATTTTTTGGAGGAGTTCCCATGTCAAACGCACTCACTCAGTGGTTGCAAACACCCGAGGAGTACGAAAAGACTTTACATCCAACCGCCCAAGCCTTCGTTCGCGACACCAAAGCAATGTGCAATACGGCTGTCGATGTTAAAGACTATCCTAAGTCATACATGTTTGTGGCCGATATGCCTGGAGTAAAATCTTGCGACATTCGGGTATGGGATTTCTAGCTTGCCTGTCTTGGGACTTTGCCATCATGGTGCTCTGTATATTAGGAAACAACTGCATCAGCTGGGTCAAGTTCAGATTCGTCTAAATAGAAGCAAATCGTCATGTATGCATCAAAGCACGCATTAACTAAAATGCATAATTTAGTCGTCGCAATCTACAACTGTAGAAGGACCAAGCGGTTTGTGTCAATCCTACTGAGAGAACTTGATCGCATTAAGCATGGTCGAAAATATTTAAGAGGAAATTATCACAAAATGCCAGCATCAAAGGGTATTGATGTTCATTCCTGCCCCAACATTTGTGTCACACTTTGTTTCTCGCATACTTTCAATGACTTTGCCTCTTGTACATGCCGTGTTTAAATATCTGCCATTTTTCAATGTTGTCTCTTGTACAGGTGCTAGTTGAAAATGATAATGTACTTACGATTGCTGGCGAGCGCAAGTTTGAAGAGACCATCGAAGAAGCTAAAGTTGTTCGGATGGAGAGATCTGCTGGAACGTTTCTCAGGAAGTTTACGCTTCCTGCAGATGCGAACGTCGATGCCATCACTGCAGCTTGCTGCGAAGGAGTGTTGACAGTGACGGTACCAAAGATTCCCCCACCTGAACAAGCGAAGCCAAAGTCAATTGAAGTGAGCAGTTCTCAGAGTGGAGGGGCGAAAGCAATTTATCCCCGACTTTAGTTTCGATCTTTTGATAGACATTTCACAACTCTCATAATTGTGTGTGAATCACAGTAGAAAGATGATAAATCTTGACAAGAAAAGTGAAAATTAGTACAGAAAACTCATGGAACACTGCGAGGATAGCTTTGCAGAATAAACACCATAGAGCACTTACTGTTTACTGTAGAAAAAATTGTAAATTTGCAACTAGTTGTAAATGTCAGGAAAGCTGTACAAATCAAGTTTTGAATAGAAATTTGTTTATGCTATAGATAATGAAATGGCTCACATCATGAACATGCGTGCCATCTGTATGACAAGGAGTTTTATAAATATTTGTTTCCTAGAGCAAGGCAGAACATACTCTCTTTCTAATCATGTGTCTGGAGTGAAAATACCAGCTCCCGCTGTACGGACGAGATGTTGTAATATCGTATGACTCGTCCCTGTCACACTCTAAATTTTTCTACTTCGAATAACTAGTCTACCGAATAGTGCGTCTTCAGATGCTATTCTCTCTATATCGTGAGACCGTTCGCTTGTCAGAGCTGCATTCACTACTGACGAAAATTAACACTACTAGACAAGAAAAGAGCTTGCAATCTATAAATACCGCTGAACATGTTGATAATTACCCAAATGCTCACTGTGCATTATTGTACAAACAAGTGCGAACTATTCGTGATCATGACACTTTAAATTGAAAAATATGATGTAGAGTATCCGGGAAAAGTTGTCTGTGCGTTCACCTGAAGCGTTTGAAATATTTCACATATCCTGCAGACTTTACAAGCCGTTAACAACAAAATTACCTCTTCCGCGGACCGTGGGCACGTACTAATTCCGCAGCTGCTGCTTCGGCCATGCCGCATCTCTTTCGTCCTTCCCATACATCTCAGAGGTGTACCGTTTGCTGATCAACGAGAATAGTTGCTGGCTTCTGAGTAGCCAAGTAAAACATCTTATGGACTTCGGGTCAGAGTAAAAGCTCTTTCAATATCTACAGATGCAAAAGGTTAGTTTCATGAATATCATTCCTTTGCATGGAATCTTTTATACAATTTGTGGATATCATCTGATACTAAAAAATCATTCTATTTTTTCCCCTTAAATTCTGATAAATAAATGATTCTCCTAATAAAAATATAATGAAATAATATTTTATTCATATAAATGATAAAAAATATTTGAAATCGTATATTGGTAGATTTCAGAACGACCGTCTAATTTATTTTTATCAAGTTATGTGATTAATTATTAATAATTGGAACATGTGATTTAAATCTATTCCAAATATTGTACATGCAGATTCTTTTTTCTTCAAAAATAAAAAAGAACATGAAAATTTATTGTTGGTAATATAGCGAAATGAAATAACCACAGAAAAATACGATCTGTTTCCAAACCGTTGTCTCAAATTTCAGTGTTTATATTCGATTTCTCAATATGCCAAGTGTATATTCAGAGAGAATAATTGCCTACGAAAGCGAGAGCGTGCATCAACACTCTTCCATTTTTTACAAGACCTCCTAAGCACTTTGACGGCTGTTTGAAGTCGTATTGAGGTGCATTTTACTCAGTTTCGACATGAGCTCCTAGAATTTTCCGAGCGGGGCTTTCGTGCGGTGATTCTTCTCACGTACCAGTCAACAGATTTTGCAAACCTGCTGCCTTGGCCATACGGGTTCATCACGGCTCAAGAGTGGACCACCACGTTCTTCTCGATGTCCTGTATATTAGTGTGAGTGACATTATTTCATATAGCTGTGCAAATCAAGCTACTTTCCAATTGAAATCAAATTGTTGCGGTGAAACTTTGGTGATGTTTTCATATTAAGAACAGCAGACAAACGAATTGCTGCAATTTGCCGGCCTCTTGTCCGTGCTTGGTGGTCCTGATAAGAGTCGACATATATGTAAAGATAAGACTCTGGAGTCAACTCATAATCCTATCAGAGCCCAACATTGAGTGCCCATGCCCAAACCCACCCATGCCCATGGGGTTTGGGTGACATTTTTTTTTCCATGGGTGGGCACAAGTAATGCTAATAGCAAACATCAAGATCCAAACAAGAATTGGTGTAACCGGTTAGTACACATAACACAATTGGCGTAAACTGAATAATATGGGTGGGCACAGGTAATGCTATGGGTGGGGTTAGGTCTGTGATGATGGTAGTAGTATCGTCTGGGTGCAAATCTGAAGTTACAAGCTACTGCAAATCTGCCTCTGCTGTCTACTGATCCCTACATTTCCATCGTGAGGTCCAATGGATCGTTCGGTAGGAAACACGTCTCTTCATTTCCATTTTTTAAAACTTGGGTGATTTGACGCCGCCAGCTTCAGAAGAGTAGTTAAGAAAACTTCAGGCGTTTCCGGGACCAAGTCGAGTAATCCGTCCGCTTTACGGGCTTGGCCCTTTCAAAGGAATGGGACGATTGAATGATATTTTCTTCCTTTGACTGTAGGCAACTCATCTTCGAATGTATCACGTCGTAAAACATCAACCTGGAGACGTATGAACTCTTCCATGCCCAAAATATACTCCTTAGAGTCAACCAAGTCTCAAATTGCTTCCTAAGGGATTTCTGAGGTGTAGCTTGAGATTCCAACCCGGGACCTCAACACTTCAAAGCTACGCGGCGAGCTAAATTCGTTTGGTCAGTTTACGATGCAATCGATTTGGTCAATTTACGAATTGCTTTCGCGAGCGGCCGACTCTGCCAGCGGCAACCTTGTGCCTACTTACAGAGTAGAACAAATCCCACGTCGAGCAGGGGACATTCTCGGTAGAATCGACACTGGCGAATCTGGGCATTCCAGAAGATTGTGTTCATACATTCCTTCAGACTAACTAGAATCAAGGAGAGTACGACGCCATAGTTGTTATCCAGGATTCAGTGAATGAGAAGAATGTTGTGATATATATTGGTACAGATTGGGACAAAGCGCGAACTGGTACTATACACGACTGCCAGTAGGGCAAGTTAGACACGACGCAAAAGAATTTCATCATGATTGCTCCACTGCGATCACATTCGCCAGAGTCAGCAGTCGAAAGAGTGCTATGTTTACAGGTCCGAGGACTTCTACGCTTACCAAAACTTAAATGGAAGTATAGACGTTTCCTCTTTTGGAACCTTTCTGCACAGCCGCAAAGAAACAATGCTTTAGACACTTCACTTGTCGCAACGAAAACGCATTGCGGTAACCAGTTTTCTGTGACCATTGTCAGATAACAGTCTCTCGATAAGGCACAGTGAAAGGTGATTACTCGGGTAACTGGCTTGCTTACTGCTACTATCCAGACGCTGCTCCTAGAAATTTCATTAAAAAATAGTAGACCAGAAAGTGGGTTCTACCGACTGACAAAAGTGAACAGTGGGTTTTGCGTGTAGGGCTGGTGCTATGCAGAAACTCGTGTGCCGACAGTCATACCATCCGAGCTAGCTTGCCCGAGTGGTCTAAGGGGGACGACTTAAGATCGTCTGTACATCAGTACGCGTGGGTTCAAACCCCACAGCTAGCAAAGCATCGTTGATGACAAATGTCCTACTACCTCTATTACCTCTTTACATTGGGAAGTATTCAGGATCTCGACAAGTTTTGGTTCGACTCACGATCTAAGACGGAACGCAGGAAGAAGAGGGAGTCCATATAACAATCTGACGTCCGATAAGTCGCGTACTTCACTTGCGTCTTCTACTTCCCAGGATCATAATATTCGAACCGACCCAAACAGCTGTTTCGAATATGATCCTCAGAGACTCGACTCAACTCATTACGAGGCATCGAATCTTCGGCATTTTGTTTATGACGCGCAGAAAGAAGAATCTCAACTACTTGGTGAAGACGTCCAGCAGCTGGCAGACATCTTATACTAGTTATGTTCTTTTCCTCTCGACACTGTTATTGACAAATTAAAGTTTATTCTACAGTTCTCTATCACATGCTGGAAAGACGATGGATTCTGAGTGTCAATGCTTCGGAGAGTACATCCAGTGGCTGATGTTTATTCGCACGTGTTCTGTAATTCTTGAAGATCAAACGTGCATTCAAAATATGATGTTTTCATCTTGACTGAAGCAAAAATGCGACAAGGAGACGCCGGAGAGATGACTCACCCGAAATCAAGAATTATACAGCTAATATTGTCTTGTCCGTGCCGCTCCTGGAAACAGAAACACAGAGCTTTAGTCAGCTCCATGATTAGTGATCTGACTTTTAGACCAATTTCTATGCCAGACAAGATAAGCTTGGCACCTGGACTGAAATTTCGATGTAGGTTGCCCTTTAACAGATACATTAGCGCTGAAAAAATCGATCTACCGAATCTGAGTGCAATACTACCAAAAAATGGACCACAGAATTTGCATGGACATGTCGAAATACGGTATACATGCGGGTCGTGAATGATATGAAGTGAAAGGTTGGGATGTACCAGGGTAGCTTTCACAATGGCTTCGGTAGCTCTCTGGAACAGACAACCGAAATATCATTCAAAACAGATAGAAAAAATGAATTCTAAGGCCCGAAAAAACACCAGAGTGATTTCAACCACCAGCCTATATATGCACGGACTAAGCGACTTGTCTCTCCGATCACAATACCTGTAGATCTCCGTGTTCTTTGAGCTGCTTCCTTATAAATTGAACAGCATCATTACTGTATACAGAAACAAATTATTTAGATAATATTCTCCTGTTTGATTTAGGAGTAATCAACAAAGCTCAAACGAGTTTCACTGTACTATCCGATGAGTTCGAGAGAATTTCCGACGACATTACCTACCACATATGATATGGAAGCATTCAGTTATCTTAATCAATAAGATGACTAAGACGATAAGATCCAACATGTTTTCTAATTTACTGTTTCTTTGACAATTGAACATCTAATAGTTGATATCATTTGAGTCCCTCGTCTCTGAAGGATTAATTCCCAGCCGAGAAGATAATTACCTTTTGAAAGTATCCCATAACCCATCTGAACCAATGATGATGAACTCGTCCTCTTTTTGAAGTTCTATTCTATTCACCTCTGGCGTAGCCTCTAACCAAACACCATCCATGTTCAGCCTGCCAGAGAACAAGGTCCTCATTAATCAGCAAATTGACGATTCCACCGCGATGATTGGATAATATTTATCGACTCGGTTTTTAGTTAATTTCTTAAACGCAACGTACTCATCATTCAGCCTAGCACCACTCAGCCAGGTGCCTAAGGTCTTCAGACAATGGCTGACAAATACCAATGGGCGCAATCTTTCTCAATTTGTCACCATCATTGCATTCTTCCCACCTTACTCTACAGTATCAATAACCACAAGCAACAACTCAACATCAATTGAGGGCAGATATATCACTCACTTCTGTGTAAAAGCTTGTGTCCACCTTCTGTCTCTGACTCCTTCATCGAGCATCCTAATGCCAGACATCCAGAACGATACAGACCACATGTTAGAATCTTCACTCTCAGGTGGAAAACTTCGCAAGATGGAGAAGTCAAACCAATTCAGAGCAACTGAAAAGACATTCAGTTTCTATAATCCTCAGTTCCGAAATCTCTATTTTCCTTTCTTTTCGACAAATCGATTTGAAGGTTGCAAGTGAGTGAACCGCAAAGGGCCACATGCAAATCATGGATACTGCGTACCAACCCACCTTTGCTTCTGCGTTTTGAAGCCCACGTCCCCAAAAGCTCGTGACACGGAAAGCGTGGCACAAAGTCTTCCATGGCTCACCTGCAAGTCACAAGTTGCGAATCCAGATAAGCTTTCAAACAGCGTTCGTGGCCAAGAACAGTCTTATCGGTGCAATAGGCTCATGCTGCCACTACTTGAAGCTAAAATCAGCAGATAGATTGATTGATGGGATTGCGGGTAAGACGTCTACCCAGCCTCCTTGATCCTTCACGCGCTTGATCTCCGCGAGAGCAGTTTTACTGTTTCCGAAGGGTCTATGATCTCCCGACAGGTCCACGGCCTTACCACCCCGGGAAAGGACCTGCACGCTTCAAGAAGAAAATCAAATTTGGGACACAGAAAAGCCCTCCATTGAACTACGCCTTTCCATTTCCTCCGACTAGAGATTGAAGTACTGAGATTCCGATTGGCGAACCATCCCTTTGGACATCTGGGGAATGGCTGCCTGGCTGGAACACAAGCTTGTCAAGTTGAGTTATTACCTACCGCACGCGAATCTCCCACATGTGCAATCGCTGCGATGTCGTTCCGTACAAACGCAACCGTGGCCGTGGACCCCGACTCCTTTTCTTTCTCGGGTGCGCTGTTTTCTAACCTGTGAGTCAAAATACTTCGAAGTAAGTTTGTCAGAAAATTATCGAAAACGCACCCCGATATGGAATTTCGGTTCACCTTGAACCGTGCAATGAGAATTCTTTGTTACAGCCTTTGTGACAAAACACTGCAGCGAAAATGTCAGCAAATGGTGTCCAGTTCTTCTGAAGGCCTGAGGGACAAGTAGTCTGCGCACCAGTGTAGCAAGCGCTTATCGGCTTGCAAAAATGCTTGCTCAAAAGCCTCCCTCAAAGCATCTTGGTCACCCTCTTCAAGTAGCGTCCCTCCCTCGAGGCAGTCCACGCAATCCTTGTACAGCTCGTTCCTGACAATTTCACTCCACACAGTCGATTAATTGACGCCCGGAGACAAAAGCCTTTCTGAAATGAACGCAGGTCTAAGGGAAACAACAAACTCGGCGCCAACCGATGCGCAAAGGAAAAATTCATCCTTCTATTTGAAAGAGACAGAAGAAAACATGAACTTCTTTGATGCTAATTTTCTCAACGGGATAGTCCCAATTGGCGTAATTTCGCTTGTGTTCCCTCGATTCCTTAAAAGTATCCTCACTCAAGGTCCAGAGATTAATATCCAGGGAGCCCAGCGACAAGCAATCAGAGGTGTTCAGATGGAAAATTGACGTCTCAGAGGTCAAAGGTGTGTCCCAAAACCACAAATCCGACCTGGATCGATGTACAAGTATTTTTAAGACCCTGCGGCTACGAATCCAGTTGTCAGGAACAAACGCTTAACCAACCGGGTTCACACCGCGTCCAGCTTCATAAATTTTCTTAAAATCTGCGTTGGGATTCCTAGCTCGACATACGATTGGTTAAAAAATTCGTCCAATTTCGCTCTTTTTCAGAGACTGTGGTGTGACGGGCTGTCCAATTGCTGCAGCATGGGGCTCTTCATGATGAAGAAATTATGTTCGCCGAACGAAGCGTTGAGTTATTTTGGAGCCGACGGGGCTGCGGAACCACCCACCTCAGAAATTCGGTTGTCGCGAAGCCTGCATGCCCGTCGAAGACGCCGGCGTAGGTGAATCCGAACGGAGCCTCCTGGACAATAATGTCGTCTTCCATGTCCTCTCTGAGACCTTGCACGCACATCTGTCCTACGTGAACCCCGCGTCGACCTCCTGTGGCGACCGTCTCATCGGGCGTCTCGGCCTCGGCAGCCGGGGGAGCTCCAACGCTGGCGGCTTGGCCCCATTGCGACGATCCGCGAGTGGCGATCTGCAAGGCAGGAGCGGCAGCAGAAGAAGAAGAACACGAAGAGCAAGAGGCAGCAGAAGCACCGGTCCCACTGCCAATCCGCAGCGAGCTCCGGGAAGAATGCCGGAGCGAGCCCGAGTTCCTCCCCACGCCGTCTGAACTACAGCTCTGATGCCCACCATTGCTGCTACTCCCGGCACTCGCATGGCAGTCGCTGGGAGCCAAGCGTGAGCACAATGCTCCCCTGCTCACCACGGCTGCCCACCCCGCCATCTCTCCCTCGCCTTCTCTCCCACTCTGCCTGCTCTTCCACCCGATCAATTTCACTCCCCACTCTCCTGCTGCAGCTGCTTTCCACCCCTTCCTCCGAAATCTGCTCCTCTTCTTCCTCCTTCCTCGCTCTCTCTCTCTCTCTCAATCGCTCCCCTGCCTTTTGGACGTTTTCTCGTCCCTCGCTGCTTTTTGACGCTCAGTGTCAGCTCGTCGCTCCCTCTCGAGATGCCACTGCCTCTGCCACTGCTACTGCTGCTGCTGCTATGGAGCTAGTCCATCATCCCCAAGCACAGCCCAGCTCAACCAACCGTTCATTCATTTCCACATCGCCAGTACTATCTTCTGTACTGCTTGGACAGCATCCGATTCCTTAATTGCTCGCTACGAGAGCTCGTTCCTTGCTCTCTCTCGTTCGCTCGATCGCTCGATCGCTCGCTGCCTCGCCCCATAGCTCTGGCATTGCACCTCCTTCACTCTCGGGGGCTGGGGCAGCTCCCGAACTCCCAGTCCATATCCGTGGTGGGGGCCCGGGGGGCGGGTATCACACACCGCTCCACCACGTGTCGTTTGCACTCACCTGTCAACTTCCAGCAGCTCTCGACGGCCGCGATGCCCCCATCGTCGGACTTCTCTTGTGGGGCCCACCGGAGGTCCGGTAGGCGACCGTAGGCCAAAGCTCCGTGGCCACTCATTGGCCGATCCGGGCCTGGTTCCCGGAGCCAACGCAGTCCGGCTTCGTCGCCGCAGTTTCGGTTTTCGCAGTCGCCCGTCGCCCCGTCGTCGCTCGTTCTCGTCAGCTCTCTCGCGTGAGAGTCAGAGTATATATACGACGAGCTCGACTGATCGCCGATTGTGCTCTGCTGTGCTGGACGGTCATGGCCATGAAGCTCTAGGATTCGCTCAATCATTCGGCCCCGTCCTCTGAGACGTCGTCGCAAAATCCATTTTATGTGGTGGTCGTTCGAATCACTCGCCGAGGAAGTCTCGGGATATCGGAATGAGAAACAGTGCTCGTATATGAGAAGGTTCGTTGAGGATCGGGGCCTTGCGGGTCGAGGTTTCTGAGTGGACATCTGACGACGGCTTCGGTGCGCTGCATTTCTTCGCTAGCTCAATCTCGGACTGCCTGTCGTGATACTCGGAATTTAGCACAATGTGGCCGACTGCTGCGTCTGCGACGTGTTCTCTGTCACGCACTCTGTCTCTCGGGCAAATTGGTAGCTCGTGCAAGTCAGTGAGTGGAATTGGTGGTCTCAGCAGTAGCAGTGGCGATGTTTCGATGCTTGCTTCTAGTTCGTCTTCGCTGAACTCTTCGTCGGGACTCGCGTCATTCGGTGTTGGCCAAGTCCGGGACTCGCGTGCGAGTAAGAAGAGATTCTTGAAGTGTAAGGCTTTGAAGATTGAGGGACCGCCGCCGAGAATTGAGCCTGTTGCGTCGGCCAGTTCTGAGAAGGCTGCTGAAGCTGACAAGACCACTCCTGCAGTCGATGGTGCAGCAGTTCCTTCTCCTAGCACCGCTGAATCGCAGGAAGCCAAAATAGCTCGGGTAGGCGCATGCCCAGCTCAGAATTGCCCCGTTGAGTCTGTTCTCGCTCTTCTTGGCCACGTGCAGTTAAGGCTTGCCATAGTGTTGTGGCGTTTCCAATTCACGGGTTTTTGGAATTGGCTCTGCAGAGGGCTGCCGACTGGAGGAGGGTCGAGAAGCTGAAAGAAACCGGAACTCTGCACAAAGGGAGAGTGGATGCCTGCAACAGTGGGGGCATTCTAGTGCGCATCAATGGGCTTCAATCTTTCCTACCATTTTCGCAACTGAATTCCGCCCGCTTGACAAAAGGTCCCTGATCGTCGACCTTGTGAGAAATTCAAATTTTCCTGTTTCTCTGCATGTTTTGATGATTGTCTTCTTCTGTCTGTCCCTTTAGGAAGATAGGGAGATAGACACTAAGCATCACTGCCTCGTGTTATGCCAGCAATGGAATTGTCCGAACTCATGGTTTCGATAAGTCGTGAAGTAGGCGCGTGGAATTTAGACGAATTCAGAACCTCGATGTTTGGAGTCATGATTGTGCATTGCACTTTAATTTGTCAAGCTTATTTAGCCACTCTCTTTTAAAACAAGAGGTCCTTACTTCAAATGGGACGGAAAAGACATTGGTAGCCGAGGGACAGTAGATTCATCTGAATCTGCATAGATGAAGGGAGGATCAGGCCCTTGAAGCACCTAGGATCGTCACTGAAAAGCCCTTCAAGCCGAGCGAGGTGGTGAAGCAGCTTGAATATGAAGCAAAACCTCACCGTAATGTGTTAGCTGGGTCTTACATCGCTGTAGATGACCATTTCTGCTCGTGGGGTCAGCGACCCTACGATCGAACAAGGCAGTCAAGGCTGCCTCTCTGTTTTCCTCTTGCTGCGCTGGTTCAACAAGCCTTCAATACGTAGAAGTGACAAAACCAATCGATGTCCTATCATAGTACAAATTGTCTCTTTAGTGAATGTTGTATGCATTACATATTGGACTATGTGTCCGGACTGCTTGAAGAAATTCAATATTGGCACATGGTTAAACTCTCTATATTTTTGCGTAATCATTTGCTTGCATTTCACTCTCACGGGTATCATCATCAATTTCACGCATCTATCCCTGCTAAGTCACTTCGTATGTTGAATCAAGCGAGTATGAACCCTAATATTGTCCAAACGTGTTGATGAGAGAAGTCTTCGTCATGTGTATGCTCCAGATGGTGTGACCAGAACTTCTGCTGAAGTTGGAAAGGAGCTTGTCGGCGAGTTGATCACTGTCAAGGTATCGATCCGCACCAATTTCAATCTACGTACATGTAGTGATGCACGTACTACTTAATCATTCATCAGACCTTTATGTGTGTGCCATTCACCAAGACCTTCCAAAAGATGTGTATCGGGTGTTGGTATGTCTTATCAATGGCTGTTTTAGGCTTATCGGAAGTTGCATATGTTTCCTAGGTCCTTACTTAGGCGGTTGGTTCCATCTGGATTGGCTCAAGTTGCTCGCTCTGTATTTCTCATGAGCCTGACGAATGTCTCAGGTGATTGAGTGCAATGAAGAGGAGAGGAGGCTGATCGTCTCCGAGAAACAGGCTGTGCTGGTGGAGAGCGTTCAGCAGATTAAAGAAGGAGATGTTTACGAGGGGAAAGTTAACTCTGTCACTGAATACGGAGCATTTGTCGACTTGAAGTTTCCTGACGGTCAGTCATCTTGCTTTCAACTCACCTGTCTATGAATCTAGAATACATTCTGTCATAAAATCACATTGCAAACATGACAATGAAGAGGAAGTCACTGTACAGAACGATAGGGAAAGAAAAAATTCCAGCCTCCGACCTCCAGAATGACTTCGGTAAAGCACCTAATGAGTACCACTCGTCGCAAAGATACGTATGACTAGTATACACGACGACAAATTACGACGACGATACCGCTCTTGGTTGTCGAGGTCACATTGTAGCTTTGAAAGACGCTGGCAAGTAATTTGCTCCAGCATCTTTGAAGTCAAGGACAATTTGTTTTGTGGATCTGGCCTTCAAACGAACTCACGTGCGTTTTGCTTGTGGACATCTGAACTGATTTCAGCAATTGAAGCAGCAAGAGGTCCCTTTTGAGAACATTTGGCGCTTCCAGCAGTATGTGGTTCTCTTATCTTGTACAGGTCCCTGACCATATAGTTGCTTGTCTTGCGTCCTCGCAGGATCGTATCCCGTCAGTGGACTAGTACACGTCTCGGAATTATCTTGGGATCCAGTGCCTTTTCCCAGAGATTTCATACAAGAAGAGCAAATAGTGAAAGTAAAAGTTGTTCAAGTTGATCGGTAAGTTCTTGTCTACACCCCATTGTTTGTTTCCGCTGTATTTCCTCCCACTCTCCATTGCCAAAGGCATTGTCCTCCCAATACTCACTGCACTCGAATTCGAAGTTTCCATTCTGCGTCATCCTTTTGCCAATTTTATAATTTTTGTTGCCTATGCTGTAAATTTGATTATCGTTGTAATCCTGGCAGGGAAAAGCTAAAGCTGGCACTTTCCATCAAGCAGCTCCAAGCAGATCCCTTGTTGGAGACTCTGGACACACTCATGCCTGTCGAGCCCCTAGTAAGTCTACGCCTGCTTACGCCGTTTGTCACAGCTTTGGAGTCTCTTGATTTACCTTCTCCATAAGGAAGTGGATGAGGAGGTGCATGTGTTACAAATACCCCTTGTTATGTCTTGTCTTGTTACGCCGCCGTGTAACGAGGGCAGCCTTAAGATACAGCCTCTCTTTGTCGGGACTGACTGGTGAGTTTGATTCAACAACAGGAAACCACACCAGGTTCTGATGCAGAGATGATCGAGATACCCCTACCCGGACTAGAACAGATTGTCGCCTTCATGCTCGAAGAGGAAGGGTGAGTAAGTCAGTGCCGACCATCATTCTGTAAGGGAAGGAAGGAGCCAGACATCAGGATATCAGGCACAAGTTGGAGGTTTTCGGGTCGTTCACAGCTTGTTCAGGCCTGAGCATGACAAAAGACATGAAACAGTATAAAAAAAAGTAGAGCCTTTTGGTCGTGGATGCTGCACAGATCTTTGACTTTTTAAACCAAATTTCCAGATGAAACGGGAAGTTCTGATGAGATTGAAATGGCGTTGCAGGATCACTAAAGTCACCCTGGGTCGCCAGGCTCTAGAACGACGAGTTGTTTCACAAGATCTGGAGATCTGGCTATCTAATGTAATATTCCTATTTCATTTCCTCCAGGAATTTCTTCTATTCGCTTTTTGAAGAGCTTTTCGTAAATTGTTTCAAGCTCTACTTCCGTGAAAAAACTTGGATTTATAGAACAGATTGTGCAAATGAAATAACGCCGAATCAAAGTAGCAATCTAACAATAATATATATTCATGCAGGTACCCGTGGAAGACGGAAAGTTCACCCTTTTAGCTCGGGCTGGGAGACAGGTAAGTCTTACTCAGCTAACCTTTTCTTTTGTAGATGCATAGCAGTGAACCAAAGAAGTACAAAGCAAAGCTGGATGTGACTGAGGTCCGTGATCTCCACAGGGAGTAACTCTGTCTATACAATCCAAGAAAAATGAAAGAATCAGCGATTAACTCAATGATCATCTGCCATTTTCCCAATTCATAATTACACAGACGAGTTAGTCGTCTTGTCTTTGATGGACAGCCATTTCGTTGCCTTAATATTCAATTGTCAGTCGGCAATCCACAATACCACCTGATATTCAGCCTGTTGTTGCACCCATAGCAGGACTGGGTGAATATTCATCAGAAGTTGACAGTATTAACAATCCAGTCACTGAGAGTGGGTATTGTGAACCCCTTATTGCAGGTGCAAGAGGTGCATTTGGAAACCAGTCTGGACCGTGACGGAATTAAAGCCGCTGTACAAAGGGTCACTGGCAGAGTCCCTTAAGCTTCAGGTAGCCGGGGAGAATTGGCATATTAGATGTGCCAAACAGAGCTTTATGTGAAAATCAGTTTGGAGAAATGGGTGTCTCCCTCCGCCCTGTCTAACTGGAGCAAGTTTAGACAGATCTGACCAGCTAAAGCTCCAATGCCTCTATTGGAAGACATTCTCTGGAGGACGCAGTGAACTTTAGGAGTTTTGTAGGGGTTGTACTTGAAGTTTAGAAGCTTGTAATATTACCAGTGGAGAGGCTCAAAATACAGCCCAGAAACTGACGTGCAAGTTGAGAGGCCATCAAGGTGGCGAATAGTGCACGCATAGCAGGGCAATTAGGCGTGAGCTTGTAAAAGCACTTCCACTTCATCATGATAGAATGTACGTTATTGTCTTACTACGTTTCCTGTATCTGTAGAGTCAATTCAAAGAAAGACGAGTATTTCTCTTCCTGCCTTGCAAATTGTCATCTCTGACTGTGACCGGACGTTGTTACAAAATTACGTCAGTGTAATATTCTCAATCTGTAGGCCTGAAGATCTACAGGTCTTTGTCCTCCTGATGAAAAAAAAGTTTCACGGTCGAGAACCATGTACGATTCAAAGTTCCAATACTTGAAATCTTGTGAATCACCAGAAATTGCAGCACGCACTTTCATGATCGACAATTCATCTCTAAACTTCTGAATAGATCTACCCCTGTTTAAAGACTGAAAGAAACCATCATCCCAGTCTATCACGATTAACGACACACAGTAATGCTAAAAATTTCTGAGCAGCAACCACCAATGTCAAATCTCCCATATTTATTAAAAAATCATCATGCTTATGCAACATACTAAAACATACCTGTCATACTCATAATTTACCTACGAGTTTGGCAAAAACTGATCACTGGCAAGTTAGACCTCATCTACTGATTTGATAAGTTTTGCCAACTGATCAGCCCTTCGTGAAAGTACGTCACCACGGCCAACTACTCCTAATCAGGTGTAAATCCAATCAAAAAGCGCGTTGATTCAGAAAACTTATGACAATTAATTACAAGCTCTAATGTGAGATACTTGATCTCCATTTCGTCCGCAGTCCAGATGAAGTAATCTGCCTGCTCAGTTAGAAAATGTGTAACAACGCACTGAACCAATTCTGCGAGATCAATTTCTGTATACTCAGATGTAAGGTCATGTTTCATGTATTCTCACATATCCTCAGCAGGGTTGACGGATGAATCTAGCTTGCTACCATCAAGAGTAGAGAACAGTTGTGCCACAACCCTCGCCACTCCACTACCATAGTACACTACACTGTACTTTTATACATATACATGTCTCCAAGTCTGATGACTTCACCAAAGTGCACAGCAGTGCAGATTGGACCTAGAAGGGTCATCAACGCTATTCTACTGCCATAGTATATTACCTTTCTAGGTCTTCAGTACATGAGATGCGCTGATCAAGGGCAATAGTGCCGAGAGATAACGACTCTTGAACCCAAATTTATAAATAAGCAAATAATATAAGTGATAAGCAGTGAATGTAAATATAGAGTAATTGTTATGATGTTTAAGTGGTAAGTCAAAGTTGCTTTCGCAGTGAACCATGTCTTTGACTTGTATGAGAGTCTGCAAGTGAGAGTCTTTGTTGACGTGTTCATTCCCATTGATTGGGATGTTGCCGTCGTATACAATGTGCAAGGCATGTCCATTAACAAACAACGAGGAGACCATATAGACAGTCGAAATGAGCAACTCGTAGATTCGCGAGTAGGTGAAATAATGACAATGCTGTGAGTGTTTTGATTCATTAAAGGAATCGAATACAAAATCGAGTTTCCAATCTCAATTTATTGGAATGAATATGTAAAAGTTAGTGTGAGAGCATTTTTATACATATTCACACTTTGACTCACATTGACATAATGAGGAGACATCAAACTGATACCCAAGTATATATTCGATTACATATTAAGTACATCAGTTTACATTTTTAAAATTTTTAAAATATATGAATAATAATTTTATTAAGATCTGAATAAAGTAACTAAAAAAAGCAAAAAAATCCCAAAAATTCAAAAAATGTAACGTTCATGATGACTTACGATCAAAAGTGATGTTTGCTATGGTACGAATATGGTAATGTGCAGATAGGATAATATTTGTGATTCAAGATTGTAAAAGTCTTTTTAAAGACATGATGATTGATAATATTATTCTTGACAAAATTTAGAAAGTGATTATCAATCTTGATACTAGTCATGACATAATGTCCAAGATGATGACTACACATCTTAGATATGATGCAAATGAAATGACATTTGCCAATGTCTGCAAGTTGTAATCTTTGTATTCCTAACCTTGAAATTCTTCATTGGTATTACAACATGTTTGCTCGAAAGAGTATGTCAAAACCCATGATATTAACCAATATTGTATCACATCTTTATTATGTACATGGTTTTTAACTAATATGCATCTAATTCTCTCTAAAGAACAATATATAGTGATCTTTATAGGAATATTGTTAGGTCAAAGTAATATTTCCTTGATTGCCATCTGTGTTGACCTATAATGTCACATGTAATAGCACATATAGAAAGAGAGGGAGGGTCCCCAAGTGGATAGAAAACCAATCTCCGTACAAACCATTGTGATACTATTGGAGTATAAGCTCATGTTACCGTCTAACTCGATGGGCTTCTCCGCACTTTTTTTTCTACTAATTCGCCCACTTCGCCATAGATGTAGCATGGTTATAGGCCCCATTATCATCACCAAATTATTATATGCTGCGACTCCAAATTGAAATTGTAAAATGCTGGACTAGAATTCGAAACAACGGCTGCTGAGTCGGCAGAAGGACTCTCACCAGGTGGAGTCTTTTTCCGTGATTGGATAACAAACACAGTGCCCGCGAAACCGACGTCCAGCCGGATCCGGTCACATCTTTGGATCTTTCGTGTCCGTTCGCTGGTTCTACCCAGTTCATAGAAGCGAACGACGTTCACAGTTCGATTCTAGTCGAGCCGGAGAGAAGAATGACTTCGCGCCGCCGTCGTTCAGATTTCGGGAAAATCGCAGTTCATGTGGAACAACTCGCGTCCACGCAGTGCGAGATCAATCAAATCCTGCTGTAAGAACTGTGACCGGAGACGGGCTGCTGCTGAGCAGCTGACCTGAGGCTGACCGGGGCGCGGGATGCGGTCACGTTATCGCGTCGTCGGTGAAGTGGAAGATCGAAACAACAAACGACGACCAGGGAATGGTTTGCAGAGCTGGCACCGGATTTGGCAAGCGCTCTAAGCTTCGGGAGTTTTCGAGCTCTGCCCGCGCCGTTCTTGGAGACACTGCGTTCGATTCATTGATTGATTGATTGCTCGTCCATTATCCGTCGAGTTCGGCTGGAACGCAATTCGCACATTGTCGCTCCACGCAAGTGAGCGAAGTTCGTCATGGCCGCCATGGCTGCCGTCGGCTCTCTGGGATCTCTGTGCTGTTCCGGCACTTCGCTCGCGGTTTCAGCTGCTGCGCGTAAAGAATACAGGGGCCTCAGCAGTGCCTCGAGTTTTTCTCTGGGACTTCCTCCCTTAGTCCGGGCGCTTCATAGTCGGAGCAATTCTCGAACAGGTTGAAGTGTGAATTCTTGCCTGTCTCTTTTTTTTCTTGAATTTTGTTATCTCTGGAGGAACGCTTTTGTCTGTACTTAGAATTGTGCCTTGTGTCTCAAGATTTATGTTACATTCTTCGACATGCAGCTGAATTCAGCAGTTGTACACAGCCGCAGTCCGCGAATGGCCATTGAATTTTCTCATGGAAGCAAAACATCTGATCGAAACTTTGGTTCTAATTATGTTCGGAAGAATGCACATTTTTATGTACACGATTCATGAGAGAATGATAATGAGGACTCAGAGCCCATTGCATGAAGGACCCCATTTCTGCCAACGTTCTTTATTTTCGGCTAACCTGATCAATCAATTCATGAATAAGGACGACGTTATCTATTTTTTCTCCCTTAGATGAGAATATAATTTTTTTCATTCACTTATCATCCAATCTAGAGATTTTGGTTTCGTCCGCAGCTTCGAACTGAAATTGGCCGGTTTCTGCCACGGGAGCTGGGTTTCTTGGACGTTGTTGATGTTGGTATATGTGGTGTTTTCACTGGCCTTTGATTAAGGCTAGAGGATACATTGTAGGCGCTTCTTTTGTAATGTTAAGTGATCAACGCATTAAATTGGGCGTTCTCATGTACAAAGAGAATGGACATTGACCAGAGGGTTTATGGGAACTCTTTGGCTGATCTTTTCTGATAAACGCTCTGGCTATTCTGTTCACTGTTATGACAGGCAAGTCCATCATCAGGGCAGCCGATGCAGATACAGGTACATGTCTACTCCGAAACTGTAATAATCACATCATCTGTCGCAGTCTGAACCGATCAAAGTTGATAAAACTCTGTTCCAATATTCCTCCCGTTTCCGAGTATAGAAACTGTTCCTAGTATCACCTGAATAGAATGTATGGCTTAGGAGATCTTAAGTTTAGGCTTAGCACATCCATTTATCCTGATTTTCGACCCTTATTCGGTGTTTTATTTTTGCCAGGCAAGACGAAAACCACAGATACTCCGGACACCGCTCCTTCTGGGTCTGCCATTAATCAGATTCTGGGAATTAAGGGTGCTTCCGCCGAGACGGTAAACTGCAAGCCATGTATGATTTGTTTGTCTTCTGTACAGTTTAGTGGGATATCTATATGCACTGGTATGGTTAGACTTTCTTTCCTTACATTTCTTTATCTCATGGAATCACGGTCAGCATTACTAAATGCAGGAGATCTGCTTGTAGATTAAGGACAAGAAGTTTTACATGTATTGTCTCACTGATATTCAACGTCCCGTTGATCTCAGAACATATGGAAAATTCGGCTTCAGCTTACAAAGCCAGTGACTTGGGCTCCTCTCATCTGGGGTGTCGCCTGTGGAGCAGCTGCCTCAGGTTTGTAAATAATCATTTTGCTACCAGAACTTCGTAATTCATTCTTGAGGCACAATCTGGGTATCACCAGGTTGTTCTTTATGGACTGCATATACCGCAAACTTGAACTTGTCAAATGCTATTTGTATTCTTGATAGGATTGATAAACATTCGTGTCACTCTACGCAGGAAATTTTGAGTGGGGTCTGGAAGACGTTTCAAAGGCGGCTTTGTGCATGTTTATGTCAGGACCACTGCTCACTGGATATACACAGGTTCGAATCTCCATGCTATCTTGATATTCAGTATGTGGGAACATGGGGATTATACTTTCATTGTAGCTTGTCTGCTTTGATTAAAAATATTGATTCTGCATCACGGGTTGCAGACAATCAATGATTGGTATGACCGTGAAATTGATGCCATCAATGAGCCCTACCGACCTATTCCATCTGGAGCCATCTCAGAACCTGAAGTAAGTTTCTCTTGGCTATCAATTGTCTTGCAAGACACAGGAACTTTGAGTTGTTATGTATCTAAGTAATCAGATGGGTTAGGAGTCACATCGCTTCTTCTGCGTACAACGGATTCTATTGGAGTTCTTAGAATGGGGATTTATCATTAATCCTGATTATTAGTTTCATCTCTGTAATTAATGTCGATTCTGTCAATTAGAGTGTCTATTTCCAGATACGGAAGGCTGGAAGTATGCGCTTGTACCTCTTTCTTAGCGGATCTCCAACCCTATAACTAGAGGCAATCTGGCGATACTGTTGTAAGGATTGAATCCGAGGCCATCTTCGAGCAAGCTGTCCCACATACATTCTCCTTGTGAGGTTATTCCGGGATCTGCCTCTCCGCATTAGCCAAATTAGTCAAGAATAGTGTTCTCCTCAGAGCTTCATGGGCTCATTGAGCAACCATTCATCAGAACACCTGTCAGTAAGGATATCCTATAGTTTGTGCGGAAGGAAAGCAAGAGAAATTCCACCTAACAGTTTCTTCTCGTCAGCTTATCCTCTTATGTGTTATTCTTTGCGATTCAGTGGTAGGAAATTGCCCTGTAAATACGTTGTGAAACGTAGCCTTTATGTGCTTATGCGTGTGTGTAGGTTATTGCACAAATATGGATTCTGCTTCTAGGTGGAATTGGAGCTGCTTATGCGCTGGACGTTTGGGTAAAGCCCTTATTCCTATCTGGTATAGAGAGCGCTGTAGGTTTTCGTTTTCATTGAACTACGAAAGACACACCGGCGAATACGCCACGAAGTACCAAGCAGTGAAATATAAATTTTGTAAGCAAGTGACTATTCTCTATCTGTACTTACTTGACATTTTTTTCCGGCAGGCCGGACATGACTTCCCTACAATTTTCTGCCTTGCTGTTGGAGGATCATTTCTATCCTACATTTACTCAGCTCCACCATTGAAGGTATCCATCCCCTTCTGTTGTTATCAGCTACCTTGTTTCAGCTTTCAAACCTATTTTGCCATCATCTGATTTCCCTTTTCTCAAATGATTTTTAGCTCATGGAAACGTTTGTTTGTATTTATTGTTTTGTTCTGTTTTTGGCAGTTGAAGCAAAGTGGATGGATTGGAAACTACGCACTTGGTTCCAGCTACATATCTCTTCCATGGTTAGTTCCTTGTTCATGCGCACAAAGCCCGGGGGAGTTTTATCTAACTCAAAGTAAGGATAGCTGCATGTCATCACCAAAGTCGTTACTGCTTATTGCCGTGACTTTAATAAGCAAGAAATGTCGTTCTGCAGGTGGTCCGGGCAGGCACTTTTTGGAACTCTTACTCCCGACGTAATTGTTCTCACTCTCTTGTACAGCACTGCAGGGGTATGTGAACACCTCCATCTTCTCCTTTCTGGCCACCGTAAACATATCTTCTGCTTACATTGTCAGCTTAGAGAGATATTTTTCAGCAACTTTTACAGTCATTATTTCCATGTTCTTCTGGTTGCTTCTGTTATTTGTCTTTGTCTTCATTATGTATTCATGCATTCCAATTCAACTTACGTGCCTTCTGTGTCATGGTGTTTGCTCTTCTTTCGCAAGCTTAGTGTGTTATCCTTAATGGTGACTTCCGTTTTGCAGCTGGGAATTGCCATCATCAATGACTTCAAGAGCATTGAGGGAGACCGAGCTATGGGTCTGCAGGTACAATAATATGATTTTTGGCTGTTCGCTTTTTGCTGTAGAATACTGCTGATACAGTATATTGTAAGCGAACAAGCTTGTCCAAGGATTGGTAGCTCTTCTAAGTTTGTCAGGTTCAATATGTAATCCGTAGCAGGTCAATGCCTGATATAATATTATGTGCAGTCCCTACCTGTTGCATTCGGAGTAGATACTGCAAAGTGGATCTGTGCCGGAACGATCGACATTACTCAGCTCGGTGTTGCTGGTGAATTTACTTTACTCTGTCTGTTCTTTGGATAGTTTCCACGAACTTTCTGTGAATCAAAATTAAATCTCAGTGGTTGGTCTTAGGAGGAATGTTGGAGTCAATCGTCAATGTTACCATGTTCCTGTCAGTGTATTGCGTTAGGCCTCACGAACTCAAATGAACTTCCTCTGGCTTTGGTATCTTGAATATGCAGGATATCTTCTATCGCAGGGAAAGACTGTCTATGGGTTGATCCTACTCGCTTTGATTGCTCCTCAGATTCTTTTCCAGGTATGTATTCTCAGTCACTATCAGGGTTAATCACGCCATTTTAAAGTTCCTACATGTCCAGAAGTACATGAGGAGCAAAGGAGGCTAAAGACAGTCCTCGGTATCTAATTCCATATTGTTGCCCATGACAGTTTCAATATTTCCTTGACGACCCTATTAAAAACGATGTAAAATATCAGGTATGGTCTTCACCACATTCAGGCGCAAATTTTTGCCTGGACTGTCGAGGTCTTTTACTCACTTTGAGATATGCCTGTGCTTGCTTTTTAACATGCCACTAATTACCTTAACGGGGACTAGACGGGGCTGAAGATGAGGTGCAATGTGACTGATATCAATCATTGCTATCATATATCGCAGGCTAGTGCACAACCTTTCTTTGTGTTCGGACTTCTGTGCACAGCCTTGGCAGTCAGCCACTGATCAAGCTTGTGAAGGTGAGTTAGTCTAACTTAATTTTAATATTTGAACCACTTCTATCTCGATGAATGTGTTTAGCCGATCAAGCATTTTCTCTTAATCTGTATGCCAGGGACGTAAGAGTAGCTGACATCTTTATCTTCATTACGTGCAGTAAGAATGATAATAGCGGCACTTGAATTGTCATTCTCCACGGTCTTCTGGAGAGCTGCCCCTGCTGCTTCTAGAAATTTTGACCCTAATCTGGAAGAAGTGCCCGGCCAGATGTATGATATTATGTCTCTATCATGTACACTTCTTCAAGAACCATATTCCTCGGAGTATTGGTAGAGCATGCTTTGTCTTGGTCGTCAATTGAGTAGATGAGGGTGCAAGCTGGGACTAGCATCCAAACTGTTAGAACAAGCTCGATTTATAAGAAGGCGCTCACATCTTGAGATGTAAGTATTTTATAATGTGAACAGGAGATAGGACATGTTAGACTGTTAGTAAACTGATAATTTTGACCAAATCAATGCCAGATTAGTTCGGGATTGAATCCCTATGAAAAAGTGTCAGGATATTTATTGCGTGGTGATGCTTTGAAGTAAATGGTCTAAACAAATACATGAGCATATGACTTTTCCTCCAAAAGAAGTACCCTCCTAGTAGAAGAGCTCACACTCTGTAATCTGCATCCGGTTCGTAAATTAATAATACAAAATAAAAGGCAACCAGTCAAACCTAATGCTTCTGTATAATGAAAGTACATACAAAAAAGTTTGATTTTATTTTTAAAATGTGATTAAGTGATTTTGTGGAGATGTCGAAAAAATAAGATGGTCTATAGTTTCAGCAGGAAAAGAACCATGATTATACACAACATTAAGATGTTTAAGCAACTGATTTTGGTTCACACACAGTATTTGAAACATAAGAAAACATTAATTGGTAAAACCTGCACTCTATTGCAGGTCGTCATGTTTTCCTTTTGGAATGATAGTGTACTTGATATCTCAATTAACGCAACTGAGGTAGTTCCAAATATACCTATCGAGTTCTACAAACAAGGTACAACACCTGGAATAGATATAATAGTCAATTTACTAACGCCATAATTACAATACTGTTACCAGATGAGAATCATGTTAGCACGAATCTGTTTTGGAATCACCTCAACTGCTCAAAGTTGAGATGAATGGAAACACTATTCTTGGCCCACATAATTCTTTATCGCCATGAGTAACATCAGTTTTTTCCATAATCTTATCTGAACAGAAAATATCTGATCCAGTGTCACAATAACTTTTACTTTTTCTTACATTCTGCTATTCAGTAATATGTTTTGATAAATTCGTATTTTCAACAAACAGCTCATTTTAAACAATTACATATATGATGTTTTACAAGAGATCAAATGTGTTCCATATAAAGTATGTGAAACATATTAAGAAAATTGTTTACATATTTGAAACCAGTTCATAGATATGATATTTTATTTATAATATTTCCTTAAATTAGTATCTCTGAAAGTAAGTAAGATTTTTTCTAAAGAAAAATCTTTTCATAAGGAATATTTCGTACATGTTGATTATAAATTGAAATATTTAGCATTGATTGTAGTTTTACAAACATAGCCAGATTTCTTAATGTGTTGATGAATTTTTTGAAAAAAATACATCTTACTATATGCAATGTATTAATGCTAAAATGTCAAATGATTATTTTATTAAGAATATCAATTTTAAATACCAAGTAATTTGATTTCACTCTATATAACATAAATTTAATCTTTTCACTTGATTAGAATTAATTTAACCAAAACTTACATTTCTGTTTTATTCTTCACATAATTACATTTCATTCTTTAATGAAAACATCTAATTACAACATTTTAAATCACTATCATCTGAAACAAAACTTTGAACGTACAAATCGTCACTACATATATAACATCTACACATCACTCTTAGACTTCAACATATTCATAAATTTAATATTTCACTTTTACTCATGTCAATATTCTATGAACAAATACTTAGAAGCTAATTTTTCATCTCAAAATAATTTTAAAAATAATTTACTTTGTGCAACATATGAAATTCAAACAAGCAAAACATTCACACATGAAATACATGATATCCAAAAAGAAAATATTGGGTTACAATTTTGATTATTGAAATCAATGATAGGCATCATATTCTATTTTAAATTTGAAAAAATAAAATCTTATACCATGTTTGCAATGATGAATTTTTTCTTTAAACTTTTCAATTATTCAAATTTTGAAAACAAATTTAAATTGTTTCAAATATAATATTATAAAATACATTTTTCACAAGAAATTTATTACAAAAATCCACCTTGGGGGCCATCAGAGACAAATTCATCACTATATCACTTTGAAATAATACTTAAATTCTCAAAATACAAATATATTTTGAGTTTTTTTCAAAGTATATGTTTATATGTTTTCTTGCATCTATTTTTCAAGTGTAATTTTTGATATTTATTTTTTCATGACTATAGAGTTTGTCATGTTTCGAATATTTATGTAAATAACATGTCAGTATTTAAATATATGTTTTAGATAGAATTTTTATTTTTTGGTTTTCCGTCAATTTATTCTAACTCTGACACAAACTTAGTATTTGTGAGTAAAGGATTTGTGTTTTTGTGAAATCTATATCCAAGGTGATAGAACAAATTTTCTTCCTTTTCATCTTCATTTATTTTGTAAGTTGATTGTATGTAATTATGATTTCAGAATTAACAAAAACTTTTACCCGCCATAAACTAACTATGGAATTTTTTCTCCATGACATATTTAATCTCAACTTAGATCATTCCAAAATCGGAACAAGGTAATGTGAGTAATTTTGATCAAGATTTGAAGTTTACATGATTTTAGAAATCATCAATATGATAATGTGTGCAAAATTTTGTGGTAAAAAATATTCATAATTGAAATTGTGATGAGGATTACTGCACACTTGTATATTTTTATTTAAAAAATACATAGTTAAGAAGAATGATTTAGATTTGGTATTAATGAAATAAAGGGCTAACAAGACGATTTGCAATCAAAAGATACTAGACTAGACCATTGTCTCTAACATATATACATTAGAGTGATGTAATTGTGAATGGCCAAAAGGTAAGAGCTCAAATATGTAGCAAACTCTCATACAAGAATAGAGTGCAATTATTGGGTGAAAGGAGTCTTGGCCATAGGACATTAGAAGGAAAGTGTCAGTTCTTGTTGTCTGGGTAAGGGGGAACAGGCAACATCTCAGTTGTCTTCGGAGCAAATGTATGCAAATTACAGAACAATGAAGGCACGAATCCGTGCTAGAAGGTTGGCAGCTGAGAAGGGGGGCCAAGTGATTCGGCGAAAAGGATGGGGATATCCACAAAGGGAAGACGAAGGTTGCAACAATGGAAATTAGAAGCAGTTTAGACTCCCGGATGAGTTTGGAAGCTTGCGTTGGAACGGGGTTTTAGCATCACAGGAATTGCTGCACCCGAGAAACCGAGTAGATGTGAATTTTAGCTCACTTCCAGTGTCGGAGCAGCAGAGTGGACAATGGGGACAATGTGGATGCTTTTACGGTGGGCGGCAGCTGCCGTGGCTGCTGTCACAGGTTTGCTCCGAATAACTCCATTATGCATTTACTGGGGAGTTTGTACCTACGCTGAGATTGAAGGCAAACCTCAAAGCCGGTTGAAATTTCGATTCACAATATTTGCAAGGAGTGTTTTGTGTCAAGAGCTTTCCATTTTTTATGCGATCGTAGGCTTCTGATACCATATTCTTGGGATCGTCAGTGCAGAAATGGGTTGTCAAATCTGTACAACTGGAGCGAAAGCTTGCAGAAACAGAAGCAGCTCTGAAAGTGGCACGACGAGAACGCACTGCCGAACGCACAGGCCGCATTCGTGCCCAGCGTGTACCATTTCTCACTCTATATCTTGCTTTTGTTTTAATTGTTTTAATAATTGCAAGGAAAGACGATACATATTGGTAACATTGACTGGCATGAATGGAACCAGTGAGATTTCGTTGCAGAGCCAAAATTGGAGTCCGCATGGGACAGATATTATGGAATTTTTTGTGTCTTTTTACAAGAAATCCTGACTGAAGATGAAATTTTTTTAAGAGTATTGTGTGCTGTATCTTCAGTATCTGAAATTTGGGCGTGACTAACTTTTAGGATACTTAGGATGTTGGAAAACTTCTTGCAGCAGGGAATGCCGATAAACCCTAGAACCCGAGATTTGTCTCCAGTTTTTCACACAGTGGCGTTTGTGCTCGTTAGAGAGTTTTCATAAGAGTCGGCTTAGATGGAGTGTGAATCTCTCCTCACCGCTTAAAGATTCTGTAATCTGCTGCAGATAGGCTATGGCCGGCTGGTAAATCATCACGGCAGTTGGGTAATGCTGAATGCAGGAGTTGAAGACCGCGCTGGTGAGCAAGAAGAGTTCTGAAGATGCCAATTCCGGCGCATTTCCAATGACCCCCATAGGGACCGTCCGTTCTTGCTTTTCTACTAGGTACGAGACGTTTTAAAGCAAGTTTGAAGCAAGACTTTCGGGTTCCAAAGGTGACATCGAAGTAGAGCAGCTAACAATGATGTCCTATTGCGGAGCAAAGAATTAACTACTTTTGTTTCTCGGTTGTTTTTTTGCTCTTTTATCTTTTGCAGGAATGGTACACCAAGGCAGCCCCTCCTGGTAACTGAAGCACGATCTTGTGTAGTGCTCTACCCGGGAGGTATTCCAGTAGAAGCGTTTGAAGGTCTTGGACAGTATTCTCACTGCTGGCTGCTCTATGTATTTCATGATAACACGGATTTGCAACGACTGTGGATCAAGCCCGGTCATCGTGACTTCAAAGCAAAGGTTTGTGACCTCTTCGCTCAGCTCAGACATATTGTCTTACACGCGTAGTCAATTCTCGATAAATAATTGGGTATTCGAAATCTTGTGAGGTTCGGAGTCTGGGTTTGAGTCAAAATGTAGGAGAAAGGCATTAGCACTGCTCTTACCACCATGCATTCCATATTGGTGGGTAGAATCTGTTATTGTGGAATTTCTGTCACCGCCATTTTTGCTTACAAATGAACAGTTGTTATCAGAGAGAAAGAAAAGAAATATCACAGCAGGGCATAATGAATGTTATATTTTCTGGAGTAACCAGTGGCATGACGCAGGATTTTTCTTAATACTTCTGCTAATTGCTCAAAAGCAAAATTTATTTCTTAACAAAACCGTGAGTACACGGTGATTAGTATCTTGACAAGTTGTACAGAATGACGTGTGTAGGAATTAATGTAGAGAATTAAAGAGCAGTTTTAGTGTTTGCTAAGAAACATTGGTCTCTTGCGGGTAGAGCCAGTCTGTCGTGATTCAGTTTCGCATATACTCAATTATGAATGATGTCCTTCTATCGCAGATACATGTTCCAAGACTGCAAGGAGGGAAGATGGGAGTTTTTGCAACGCGTTCTCCACATCGCCCTTGTCCAATAGGTCTCAGCGTAGCAAAGGTTTGATACTCTTATTACATAAGACAGGTTGTAACTCTTGTGGACTGGGATCTAGCATGGAATTTGCAGTATAAGCTCTCTGACTTGTGGAGAAAGGATCATTCATGAAAGCCTACTGGTTTCATGTATTCATGTCTAGCAGTTCCCGCAATATGTCATCTCAATTGTCAACAGTGTTACAAGTTTTGTTAGGATCAGAATGGTATTTTGAGAGGCAGTTCCAGTAGAATTTGAAGCCAACAGTTTCGCATCTTCGCCAAGAGAGGACTGGCGAAGCGATCCTGTTGGGAACTTGCATTACCCTGAGTTTCTATTTATGAGGCAATGCATATTTCTGCAAGGACTCATGGTGATTAGTTATATCAATCTACTTACTTCGAAAGAGTTAACATACATTGTTTGCGATCATGAACAGATTGAAGGAGTGTACGGAGGAATGTTACTTCTTTCAGGAGCAGATATCGTAGATGGAACGGTATACTCCAGTTTCTCCTTTGTTCATGTTGTGGTTGTTTTCTTCATCTCTTTAACGCATGATGGTATCTGAAGGCAGAAAGCTGAAGAGAAGCCGTTGAAGATGAATCACCTAGTGTTGTTGAGTGAATCTGGCACTATACCTGTTCAAGCCTATGATTCTTCGATCTTGACTGCAAATGTATTGTTAGTTTGGTTGGTGGTACGCATCAGTGTCGGTAAAGTTATTACATTCAATGAAGGGATGAACTGATCTAGATCAAATTCAAAGCTGATATTTAGCTTTAATCTTTGTGCAGCCGGTGTTGGATATTAAGCCCTATCTTCCATACTGTGATTCCGTATCTGTGGCGTCAGCACCATCGTGGGTAAAGGTTAGTTTCTCATTATCTTGGACATCTATCTGAACTAAGGTAAGTAGTGTATAGTTTTGGCGTATGTGCATACGAATCGCAAGATGATGTAAGTCGCAACTCCAGTGATATTTACCAAAAAAGTCCCAAGATGTGACCATAAGGAAGGCAACAGGTGAATACTTTGAGTTTCTCCAGTTTTCCGTACTTTCATTTATTGTGGAAACGTTACAAGTCGGTAGGAAAGTCGGTAGGGAAATTTTGACTTGCTAAAAGGGAGTCTCGCAAGTACTTTGGGAACATTTGTTTTGTTGTTTTCCTTCATTACCATAGCTTGCACTTCTTAAGTATCAACCAACTTTTTGTCTGCATCAGGCGGGAGGTTCCGAAGATGTGCTAGCTATGAAAACTGTGGATTTTTCAGAAAGTTTTATTCGCGATCTAGGTGCAAGTTGGAAATCAATGGTATATATCTTCTCCTTGTGCAGCGATCTTTTCTCTTACTTTGATTGTATCCATTTTTTTGAGCTAATTTGAACACTCAACGTGACCCTGGAATGTGTTTTTAGTAGCCATCGTTTGGAGACAGATTTTTAATTTGTAGTTCACGAAGTTGTGAGTGCTGAACTTGAAATTCACGTTGACTGAGTGAATTTGTTCAAACCTTATATTACCTGCTCCATGATAAGGACCAGTGTAATAATGGAAATGATTAAATTCATCAGTTGATTTTTATGCAAATGCAGGAAAAATACTCGCTGTATTCTAGCCCGGAGGAATTACAGAAACTTCTTAAACAGGTTCTCTCCAGAGATATACGTTCACTCAATCAAAGAGAAAGGCCACACACAGCAAAGTTGAGTGAAGTGAGCGACATCTTTTCCAAAATTTCTTCAGATCCTGCCGACTTGGACGTGGAAGGAGCCGGATCTAGCGATGAGAAAGAATTAAGTGCTCAGACTGAAAAGTTTCTCCAAGTCACAAGAGACTCGTGTACCAACGGAGAGGTGTTGTACAACTTGGTCATTGAAGGTGTGAATGTGTCATATACACAGGATTCTGAAGGCCATGTTGTTGTGAAAGCTTGCACCGTCCTTCAGCACCTGAACACGCCCGACATTAGGAACTGTAGGCGGGGATTTACGTCTTGATTATGCTTCTCATGAGTTTGAGTTTCCATATCTTCGAAAGTTTTAATTGGTTAGTCAGGTTGTAGGCTTATTCCTGCCAGAACTTTCTCGGAATATTAGTTGTTGTAAATTGGTCCATTTCTAGGTGCTCAGGGATCAGCATACCGAGGAAAGTAGAGAAATTTTCGATACTCGGGTGAATTCAATTCCCCTTTTGAAGAGTTCGATTTATGCATAACATGTGCATGACGTGTCCGTATGACTAAGCTTACCCCTCAATACGAAAACCTTTACGGTGCATTTTTGCTCGGATAGACTCAGTGGAATTTAATGGCAATTATTTTGATACCCCTTGCCAAGGATTTCTACCTACTGGACTGCATGCTACAGGGTGATGCCCAAGATGTGATATCTCGTTACCATTCTTTGTAAGATAGAGCAGTGTATCTGATGAGAGATTTTCCAAGAAAAGGAAATTCTGCAGATAAATAAGCTTGCCCTTAGGCACCGATATATTCAGGCCATGTCAGATTTCTGATTACTTGGTCATAGAGCTCTCTGCAGAAGACTTCATTGACATCACGGCACACAGTAGGTGTCATGCCAGTTACAATGCTTTCTGGTTAGAGTTTCTCGAATATTAGAACTGTTACTTTTCTTCTCAAAAGACCTCGATATACAACATCCTTTATCAACTACCAAAGTAGCGCCCTTGCAATATGAGATTAACTATAACCTATTGACCAACTCGTCATGGAAAGCAGCACTCCTTTCATTCAGCCACTTAAGTCCCGGTTATGAGTTTCCAACCCAAGTTCTTATTGTGCACATAGATTGCCCTGCCTGCTCTAAGATCAATGGAATCTAAAGCGATGTTCTCGAAATTCTAGTTCTCGAAGACCACGATGGACCAGTAGAATCTTCGATTGGAAATCAAGAGCCATACACGTAGATCATTCAGTCTCTACTCTTCCAACTTGATCGGTGGCCGTAACCGTGACAACAAAAATAGTACGATCGTAGGAAATGAAAAATTTTATGCACGTAGATATCGAACTCGAATATCCCAATACATTAAGTATTTTTGTACATTTTTTTTCTATTCCAAAACTCTTAACATGTTATGATTTCATTAAAGGAATCATTATATTCCTCACCCCATGGACGGAATTTATGTAGTCTGTCGAAGGCAAACTTTCTCTAAAAATAATTTGAATTAGTAAATTACTTGCTAAAGCTACAACCAAAGAAGGAATGGTTAACGCTTCCATGAAGACTAAACGTACCAGTAAAGTAGTTAGACTCTTACCTTCGGGTTGTCTTGCAATACCTTATTTGTAAAGCTTGTAAAGCCTGCTGCAGTGCCTTGACCAATGCCAGGTCCATGAAATTCGCTTCTAGCATGTATGCTGGTCCTGCTCATATTAGAACTCTCGGAGTGGCTAGTTCTTATAACTGTACATGCTAAACCCCTATTACGCATGCACAAAAGCATGCAGCCCTACTGTGCTTGGCATAAGCCATTATTCTTAAAAAAATCATATAAAAGGGATTCACGAAGTTATCAAAATCCAAACTGCTTGGTTTTTAATAAATTCGATGAATGAAGTGGTAAGGGCGACAATCGGTTGATGCGGGCTGGGGGCCAAGAAGGCAGACAAGACAGCAGCAGATAGAAGCCATGGCTAACCGCAACCCGACAAAAGCAAGATCTCGGAAGAACTCAAGCAGATCTTTGAATCTGTACTTTCGTTTACGCTAATCGCTGTGCTTGCCTTCCTTCCATGGAGGAGGAAACCTTTAGTACCATGCGATCAGCACTTTGTGCATTTCTTAATGCCCCTGAAGCTAATCTGAATGTGGATTCATAAGTACAGGTGAGGATAGAGTCTATCCTCACCTCTTTGTCTATTGGATAGACAAAGATAGACGTCGACTGTGGACTGTGCGTGTCGTTTGTTGATGAGAAGAAAAGGCAGTACACGAATATAAATAAGAGTTCTAACGCTATGGATATCTAAACCAGTCTGGGTGATCCGTAAAGAGTGTGAGGGGAGAGGCAGAAATGAGAGGCAGATTCTCCTGAAAGTAAGTTGACCTTGTCGTGAACTTGTTTTCAATAAACGACGAGCTCGTAGCGCAGTGAAGAACTGAAGGCTGGACGAGCGTGAGTTTTCTAAAACTTTCTTAGACTGGAAAACAGAAAAACAGAAAAACAGAAAAACAGAAAACTGGAATTTTCAGGCAAGACTCAATTGTAGAAAAGACGTAACTGTGCTTCTGTCTGGTGGTCCATCAGCAATTGATGATAGTTCGGATATCTGAGTATATCGACAGTTTGAAAATCAGATTTGTGATTGCAATCTTTCATCAACAGAAATGTACCTAGCGGAGAAGCATCATTGTGTGATTTGGCCTAGTACGTTTCTTACATGGGAATGGGCTCCTTATGTGAGGAAACCTTGAAACTTTCAACAGCCACATTGGATATCATGTAATTCTATAGTATGTATCAGCTCAAGCAACCGCCAAATTACCTTACTTCATGTTGACGGTCGATGCGCTTACAATGGTGAATATATGCACTTTACATCTTACTACAATCATCGAAGAAGATCTCATGACATGCGATCTATGATTTACCTTGTGGACATTCTGATCTGATCTACATGCTGTTGTGACTGGCGTCATATCTACGTTGTTACCCCTTTGCATCCATTTGATTTGTATGATCTACTAACGACCTAAGGCTCAAAAGTCGACAGGGCTTAAGTAATACATCTATCACATCATTATCTAAGAATTAAACTGCGTCTCTTAAGGGTCAAGTACACGAATCCTAGAACGATGGCCTCAAGGCTGTTTAAAATATGCTTTGTTGCCTAAGTTTCAAACTGCAGGTACGCTCTTGTTGCCGACATTGCCACATCGACAATCGACAATGAGCGTGTGCAATGTAATGAGTAGTACATACATTCTGAATCATGCATATAGTACTCTTCCAGGGATGGAATGATCTGCCAAAAGTTATAAAACACAAGCAACGTTCCCTACTGTTTCTTCTCTCGATATATGCTTCACGGTTAAACTTAATGCTTCGCTGGACTTAACCATACTAACGACTGCTCTTGTGATTTCAAGTACTATCATTCAGATGACGATCTTCAGTAGCGACCAAGTTTAGCACTATAAACGTCCTGGCTTAAGGCTTTACCTCCTTTGACATATTCCTGAGCTTTATTGTAGTTGAGGAAATAAGTACGCATTTGCCAACTTCATACTTTGACAGGCAGTATGACGTTGGCCTACACTGAACAAGGTCCGAAAGGAGAAAATGACCTTCTCTCTTATCCACAGCTGAGCTTGATCAAGTCTAAGATTCAAAACATTCAAGCACCGACGTAATATACTCTTGGCTTAACTTCTCGGCCTGGACAGCTTAAATTAATGTCTCGTGAAGCATGGAAGCCATTCTTGTGCACACGCGTGCAATCTTCAGTAGTACAAATGGACGCCGAACTTCATAATACAGCTGGCAGAATTTGCAGGCGCATCAGCAGGCACGGTGACGAGAACACTTGCATAGCCTCGAGCAAGTCTGAACTTGCCTGTTCCCCCACAGATCGTCAGCTCCGTCAGGCCTTTGGCCGCATTGGAACCCAAATCAAAACCCCTGAAGCAAAGTGTGCTGTTGCCCAAACCACTCTCGTCGTTGAAGATGGCAGTGAAGAGCCACTCGACACCGTTTGCAGCACCTGCATTCTTGTCGTGGACATAGATTCCTCTGCCTGTTCCTACCTCGGTGGATTTGGCATCAGGGGCCACTGTGATGGAGTCCTCGAACACCACGATGGCTCCAAAGAAAGTCTCATTGATCTCTAAGAACCAACTCTGATCACTCAACGTTGCAGTGCCTACTTTGGCCACGGGAAGAGTGACAGCGAAAGAGTTGCGACCAGTAGGTGTGTAGAGGTTGCTGTGCATGTAGAAGTCGAATTCGAAAGCTGGGGATGGGAGGCGAGGGGGATGGAAGTGGTAAGGATGAGAATCAGGAGTTGGGTAGGCCTGAGCTCCCTGGGAGCTCAGTGCCAATAAGGCACAGCAGAAAGCAAATGAAGCCACAGTTGAGGGGAAACATCTGGAAGCCATGGCTACTGATGCCTGATGAACCACACTGACTGTCTAAGACTTTGATTTCTGAACCCAGAAGTGCGAAACAGAGAAGTGGCTGCCTGCCTTTCGCTGCCATGAAAACTCAGCTTTATAGTTTGAACCGAGGCTTCATCGCTATTTTTTTAGAGAGCTCTCCCGGATGACGAGGAAAGTAGGATGACATGATGTCCTGCGCTTCGCAGATTGAGCCGAGGTAAGCGTTCACTTCGCCATCGTTAAGGGAGAGTGAGAAGTTTACTCTGATACACTTGCAACTACACGACTGGAGCTTCATGGATAGGAGTTAGATTTCATGGCATTCAAATAGTGAACATTTTGAAGTCATTGGATCAATCCAGACAGATAAGTGTAAAAACTGGCTGAAAAGGAAGGGTAGCTGCTACGAGAAGATCTGAAGCTCCATGGTCAGCTTACAGCTTACAAGTTTGTGCCAAGGATTGAGAAGACTCAGAATGTAGATATTGGTGGGGCCAACGACATGGAAGCAGGAACCCTGAACACTGTTTAACAGTGGATAGTGCACATGAGGAATGAAGGTTGAGAAGGATACCTTGTGCAAAAGAGATCTTTTGGTTAAAAGAATATATTATTCTCTGCATGCATGCCAACGAAGTGATTTTTTTCGAATTGATGTTTAGAGTGAAATCTGAGTCACTAATGCGAATGTTTACAGGCAAGGAGATACTACTTGGTCAGACCACAAGCAGACCATGGAGCTTCAGATCTTCTCGTAGCAGCTACCCTTCCTTTTCAGCCAGTTTTTACACTTATCTGTCTGGGTTGATCCAGTGACTTCAAAATGTTCACTATTTGAATGCCATTGAGCAGATCTGGATTGTGCTGCCATCAGTGCTACAACCTACTGAAAGAATATTCCTCGTGCATTTCGTGAAGTGAGAAACTTTGGACACAAGTTTTATTCCTCGGCTCTTCAACTTCAACATGGCATGAGGAGAGATGGCCGAGTGGTTTATATAGTCGGTCTTGAAAAATGGGTTTGGACAGATTGACCGAGCATGCAGTGCACCTCAGCTGGGCCTGCTGAAGAAGAAATCACATCAGTGCTCATGAAGAATCGACAGTGACATCAGAAAAACTTGTGAAAGCTGGCAAGTATTCAATCAGGTGTCAAGAAAGTTCTCACAAAAGTACAAGAATTGAAAAAGGAAGTGAGGAAGATCATTCAGCTCCAAATATTGTAAGAGATTCAGAGGCTTTCTCTGAAAGCAGTGGATAATCTCGTTGGAACCACAGATTCAAGTACAGAGCTTCTACGTGAATTTTAGAGAGTTGGAGATGGAAGGGTAAGTGAAGAAAATTTGAAATGTTCGTATCTTTTTCTATTCCCTTAACCATTAAACCGTGTCAGTGTCAGCAGTTTCCAACGAAGATCGACTGCGTGCAGGTGGAGAGTACACAAGGACAAGTAGAACCTTACGCTGGCCTCAAGACCAAAATCCTGCAAATGATACTTTGGTGAAGGGAGGAGATAAAATTTACGCTTGACAGTTTGACTGACATGAGGCAGTGCTTTGGAAAGAAGCGAAGTGACATAGGGCGATGCAAGATATTATCAATATCAGACAACACGGTCATAGGGTAGTCCTCAAAGAGATGACAAATGTACCTTCTGTTCGAGCCATTCTTCTTGAAACAATACCAAGCGCGACGGTTCTCGATTTTCTCTGCAGTACTACGGTCTCGTTTCTATGATTCCTCATGTGAGGTCAGTAACTGGTCTCAACATCTTTGCTAGTACTTCCTCTACTTAACAGATACAATAACCCATCATCTGTGACAGTAGTTTCTTTGCCGCAGGATCCCACTGGCTAAACAGCACCGACGCTGAAGACTTCTTAAATCAAAAGTTTACAGCTGTACCTTTACAGACCAAGAGCTCACATTAACTGCAAGCCCACAGAGGTTGTAGTATCTTGCAATACAAAGCCGATTCAAGGTCTGTAATGTATGGCTCAATCAAGCTGGTTGATTCTCTTGAATGGAGCTCATGATGTTACTGTTACGAGCTTCTCCAAGAATCCAGGTTGCAGTCGGGATTCAGATAGGTAGAAAAATCTGAGCATGTCAAAGTACATAAATATGCTAATGTTGATGGGATAAATGGTGGGTTGAATCCATATGCACACTGAAAAGCACTTGAAATTGTAGAAATTGCAGGGGTGAAAACTTTGAACCCTGTCTAACGCACTTTATTTGACAGTGAATTCACATATGATAATTCAATTGCATCTTCACAGCTTACCTTCATGGTTGGTGTTATTCGCCAACATGGTTTCAAAAGTGACTCTGGCTAAAAATGCAGCTGACTAAATACTTGAACCTATCATACACGCCTTGGATCTAAGGCTCATGCTTAAGCACCTGCTTAATGCCAGGATGCTCTACCTCCACCCAGAGGATTTCTTGGGCAAAATCTTGCGGTGAATGAAAAAATCTTGCAATGCGCAAAGCCTGCAAACTGCAAAGGAGGCAACCAGCCAAGCATCAGAAAAGATCGAGTAATCCTTAGAAAAACGAAGACGGAAAGAAAGTGTGATTAGTTTTCCACACAACCGAACCTGTAGCACCTCTTATGAATCTGCTAACAAGGCTTTATATGAAGCCAAGATCTCTTTTACTCTTGAACACTTGCCTCAATCGTAAAAAAACGCATGAACTTGAAAGAGAAATCTTACTGGCAATACAAGAAGAAGTCCCTGAGCAGTGGTGAGTACAGGTAGACTCCTCCTTATAGGCTTGGGAAACTTTTTCAGGATTTCGAGGGCTTCCCTGGCTTTCGATACCTTATAACTTTGACACCCTGCCATTGGGGAAGTTTTCCGCTGTGCGACGTTCAACAGATCTCTATTACACTCAAGTATACTCAAGCCCCTCGTATTTCTTATTGATGTACCTTTTTCCTCCCCGTGACCAGTCTTACACAGCTTGATTTCCCTACAAGGATATCCTGTGGTTGCATTCCCCGTAAGCTCACCGCAAGCAAAATTACAGCCTTGACCCCACTCTTGACTTCTTCCTTTGGCAAGATCGGATAAGTATTGCCAATCTCTGTCTACATAATGACGAACGTACAAAAGGGGCCCGTCACGCAAGAAACCGCAATACTCTTCTGCAGTATTTAAGTCACTTGTACGGGATATGTCTGTTGCTTTATGATTCAAACTGACACAAAATCGATCCATATAATTCAGGACCTGTCCACTCGATATCCTTTTCATCATCCTGTCACCAACTGTAGTCATCAAGCAAGGTGATTCACTGGTTTGCTCCACAGAAGATTTAGCCGTATCTATTGCCATTTCAGAAGTCAAGTTTTCTAATAATGCTGCTCCATCTTCTGATATCAACCCTAATAACTTGAAATCTTTGACACGACTTGGAGGCTTTTCCATCGTAACGGCCTCTGGAGCAACACCAATCAAGTTGGTGTCCTCGACGACAACAGGTTCTGCTGCGCTTAGAACCGAACTTCTGTGCGTGTGTACAGGCATCCCCAGTCCACTCCACATACATGATTCTGGGGATAAGAAAGAGTCCAACTCCTGTGTAGTTGATTTCAATATCCCGGAAGGTGGTGGAGAGTCAGGAGAAAAACAAAAAACGGCTTTTGAGCCCTTCGAACCGGGCAAAGGAAAAACGTAGCACCCTCCGACTGTGCACGCTCCCTGTTGCACACGAGACTTTAATTATACTGATGTATACTAACACAAAACTTCGAATTCAGAACGACACGAGGACATCCAACATTGTTCAGTACTAAGAGACAGGAACAGTGTTGATCTCTAGCTCGCTCCATAGGTCAACCAAACTCCATAGATCAAGACCTCTGGAGTTTGGCTCAATAAGATGCCCTTCTAACAAAGCCTTCTTGATGTCCTTAAAGCATATGAGAGAGTGGCAAGCAGCCCAACCTGTAAGCTCCCTAAACGCAAGCGGTCGAGGAGCATCTCCACAACCCTTCCTCGAGGAGGCTTTGCCCTCTGAGCTACAAACTGGAACAAAGCACTGCCAACTGTGAGGTCCAGTACACCTTCAGTATCCTATATCCTCAAAGTGAGCGGTAAAACAAAAGAAGGCTGCAGGTGAAGCAACTAACCTGTAATATGGCAGCCACTGCTCGATGGGTCACAATGTCAGTGATGCCTCTGGAAACAAGCTTTTGGACATCGACCGTTACATTACCAAGATCCTTCAGATATACACGAACAGTTCTTGTGAGCACGAGGTAGAACATCGTCCACTTACACGGGCACTTCTTCTACTCTGAAAAGATGATGAAGCTCTAGTTTTTTGCAATGACAACCCTCGAAACGCTGATTAACATGTGGTTACAAACATGAACATCCACTCTCATTCTCGTTAATACCTGATCACAAGAAGCTTTGTTCAAATGAGGCTACAAGTTTTAATGCGCCCGTTGGACAACAGAGCAACACTGGCGCTTACATGCGAGATCCGTGCCACATCACGCAAGAGAAAGTCTCGATCTCTATCGATAGAGAATCGCATCTTGCGACAGAATTCTATCACTTTTGGAACTTCTTTCTTCAGGAGCACTGCAATCCAGTCACTTTTGCTCGTGATGTTTCTTGCTACAACTTAGGTAGGTTGCCAAATGACTCCTCATGCTTACAGATACTAGTTCAGAGCACAAGCTTCACCTCGTCCTACCGGACGGTAGGACGGAGGACAAACCACCCAAGTTACTCACAATATTCTGGTTCGTGCAGTGCTTTGCGTATACGATTGCGTGCAAAAGTGAGATTGGCATTCGTTGGGTCCTCAACCCAAGCTTGACCACTCTGCTTACATACCTGATGAGAAAGGGTATCAAGCTTCAAGATACATATGGAGGGAGGCATTTAAAAACGCCGGACAGGACTCAGGCATGTAGAAGAGAGCCCTAATTTGAATCCCAAAGCACACAAAAAATCCGCTGAAAGGACCAATCCGAATGGGAAGGACAAATCCGGTGATAAGATCAACTTTAGGAAGCTACCGACTGACTGTGAAATCCTGCTACTTGACTCAACCATGAAGCCAAGACCTCATTTAGAAAACTTATAAGCAGTATCGCCATCATGACCCATGTCCTCACCACATAAAGCTCCTGTTTCGAAAAATTGAGCAATGGCCTGACCAGAACCAAAGAAGAACGAGCGGGACAGTGCATTGTTGATAAGACTGGATGACGATCTGCTGCAAATGCCATTCCCGCTAATCCCACAATCTCACTCCGACGAGACAACCGAAGAATGAAAAGTTCTGCCTGCACTTTACAGAACGTGAAGACTTAGGATCGGTACCTATTCTATAAGTTCACTCGTTACGTATCGGCATTACAATTCACGCAATCACTAAAAGCACTTAACAATCTATACTTTTAGTTTAAGAATACGTTCAATGCAAGTGTGAGATGTCAGGTGGGGAAGTATGGAGGAGGAGCATAAATCACGAACCTGGTCGTTGGCATGATGTGCTGTGAGCAGTGCTTGGACACCTGACTGAATACAAGCCTGTGAAAGCAAAGAATACCTGCAGGTCGAAATGTGATACCCCTCAGCACTTCATCCTCGAACTCGTCAACATTCCCACAATTCTCAACACATTATCACAAATACAGGAGAGTCTTGAGGGGATACTTCGTACCCAGAATTTTTATGGCTGTATCATTGGCATTTGCCTGTAATTTCCTGGTAAAGACCCTGTGCCCAGGCCAAAGGTTTCTTGTAGCAACTTACTGATAATAAGAGGGAAGATGGAAATAAAGATAGACTATGAGAGAGTGAGAGGGGTGTGTCGTACAGTAGGAGTTCTCCCCATCAATGAGTACTCAACATAGTACTCAACAGAGCAGCAGCTTTGGTTTTCAAGTCAAAGCTCAGAATTGACGAGTGTTTTTCTGATGCAATCAGATGAGCAAGGTTGTTTCATGCAGCTCTCATCCGGTGGAACGTGATGTATGTAACCAGATTACAAAGAGTTGCTTCATCCAGTGTGCCACAGCTTGCAAGCGGCAGGGTGGTTCCCTATCTTCCTATCCTTGTTACTAGAGAATAACTGCCATCCTTTGAAGTTAAAACTTAAACCTTCAGCCTAGGCAATGAAACCCCTGAAAAATAATCTTCAAAAGGTGAAGGGTATATCGTGGACGGATGAAATAAGTAGAATATGAAGGTAGTTCATTGAAGGATTCCATCAAAGAACTGTGGGGCTGCCACCCCTAAGACGCACTGATGAGCAGAAGGTACGGCTAGGATGACTAACTTGATACGAAATGCTCGCGGCACATAGCTCCTCTTGTATGAGGAGGCTGCAAGATGACTGATCGAAGAAAATTGTGAACGTGAAAAGAATGGGTTGGAGACATAAAGAAACAGGATGAGCTTCAGTACGGAATATCTGAAAAAATAATGGAAATAATGGAGTTTGCAGAAGATAATGGATTCTGCCTAATACGAGTGTCTCCCAAGGAAGACCTTCGGCGTTTCCGGCCTAAGGATTTACAATACAGGCGTGTCCGACATTTTCGATTTGGTGTATACACCACACCAAGTATGCACCATACAAAAAAAGGAAATAGAAAAAACCATTCACCAATCATTTGTCCCACGAGCTTTCATCAAAGAAGAGAGTGATGTACTTCAGCTCTGTATCTTGAGGCAAGTATGACCTACTTCTGTAAATATTTTCAAGATTTCTGCATTAAACTCAGAGCATACTGTTGAAGTGTGTTTTAACAGTTGTTACATTGTTTTACAGTTGTTCAACATTGTGTTATTCAACAGTTGAAAGCTGGCTTCGTATCCTGAAGCTGTAACAAAGTAACCCACCTGGCATTACGCGCTGCTTCTTGAAGATGCCCTGGAGATGGTTTGCCGTTAGGCCACTTGCATTTCAGTATTCTACAATTGAATCCTGCATCATTGAATTTCAATATAAGAAATTATGTTCCAAATGTCCATCTTCCAGAGCTGCCGAAAGTCCAACGCAGACATTTCCATGTAAGAAAATAGAAATATCAAAAAATGAGAAACCAAAAACAGCCTAGCTCGTCACAATAAGCAAAAGTCCGTTTACTTTAAGAAGGATCGAGAAAAGCTTGAGCAAGTCCGAATTATTCTCCAAAGGCTTCATGGCAAGATGACAGATAAGGGTATAGTCGATCCATATGAAGATGTATGGGGTATAACGTTAAGCAATCACAACACTCAGATTATTTAAAACATATGTCATTCACCTATAACTGGTATAACCAGTAATTCTGGAGGATATGTTGATTTAGCAATTTTCTATCCATAGATTATAAAATAAATGATATTAAAAAATATCATTTATATCATTTAGCTCCATCACCAGTACACTCAATATCAACTACTTAGGAAACTACACATTATCATGCAGCACAATTCTTCGGACAAGAACTCTAAGTAGAAAAAGTGGTAATTCCCGATTAACCGGAAGAGAAACGAGTGCAAGTGCCAGCAGAAATTCATACAAGATATTCTACCAATGTTCAAGTCCAACCGCAGGCAAGTGATGAATGTCTGCATACAGCACAGTACTTCAGGTATACACTACCTAGTTTGAGAGCCCATTCTTTGACAAGCAAAGCTTCCTCAGCACTGTCCTTCCTCAAACTGTGATCCACCACGTACGCAAATAGCTCGCCGACTCCTTGTCTCGCATATCCTTCACGCTGAACAGTCAGTCTCTTCCATCGAGCGATCAAGAGACATAACGCTATGCTGTCAGCTCCTCCGGATACCGCAATCGCTGCAACGGTAAAACCCCGACAGGTTAGTTAATCATCTCACAGGTGGATATAACCAGTTCAAATTTAAAATTGGCAAAAACCCTCAACATAAACCTCAACTCAACCAAAGGAACGTGCTAAAATACAAACCCTTCCAGAGAGCAATATCATTGTGAATGGCTTATCTGAGCCTTCATTATCGATGAAAGGCTTAATGTTTTAATGCCGATCAAGAGACTCACAAATGTGCTATCCAAACTTCTAGGAATGCACATCCAGCTCTCACTCACAAAAGAGTTCAAACTAAATCTGGGCATCAAGTTTGTACTCATCTCTGAACCAGCCAAAGGCGTCATTCGAGCCCCCAATTGATCTGTAGTTCCAAGACTTGGGAAAATCACTCAAGATTCAGCAGTCTTCTACCCAAGAACAAAAATAAACAATGCTGCAGGGAAGTTGGTCCTTTGTCTAATCATTGAAAATATGTCTTGCCCTGTAGGTCAAGCTATACAACGATGCCTCAGCTGAGAAATGCCATAAATTCGGATCCTAACAAGAGAGCAGAAAAAAAGTTAGAAGTAGCATCCACAGTTTCGGCAACGAACTAGAAGAAGACAGGCTCACCAATGCGGTGCGACGGATTCAGACCAGAGAGTCGCATTTGCGAAGAAAATTTGGCATCCACCTTGTCCCAAGAAAAATCCTCTGCATCCATCTGCTCCTCTTCCCTTCTCTTTCCTCTCAGATGGTCTCCGTCCCTCTTTCCTCCCTTCCTTCGTCACCCTGCTGGATCCTGGACATCGTCCTAATTGTAATGGTTGCCTTCCATTCTATTCTCCAGAACTACTTCCTGTGCGACAGTCATCGTCCTTACTTCCTTCTCTCCAAGATCGGACGCCGGACACAAGCAAATTAAATTCTCTCGGCGTACACTACCCTTGAAGTCGCACAATCTGCACGTTTCAAAGTGAGCTCAATTCTCGATGATTGTCTCTGTTCATGCGATTTCCAGCCAAAGACGTCACTCAGCTGTTCAGAGCGACTTTCCTCTGAATTGGATCACGGGCAATAATTCAAGATGCGGAAAACGCACACTCCTCCGCATTAGAGTACACAAAGCTCTTAACCATCATTAGCCCGAACGCAACTGACGAACAGTAAATGAAGAGCACCTCCGTATCAGACTGTATCCAGTTTCAGTGATGAACAGATATCCCTCTTGATCGTTTCATTTGCCTGGGAAGGCCTGTTTTCAGGCCAGGATGCAATGTCCTCTGTAAGGGAGACACAATGAACCAGAAGATGGTGAAATGGAAAAAGGAGACCACTGCGGTGGTGAAGAGATTCCATGAATATTCTGCGAGTGGTACACAGTGGATTTTGAGGACAGGGGAACGGGCACCGTTGTGTGCTCAACCACGAATGGAGTGGACATCCAGACAAAGCTCAAGAAGGACGACACAACGACGTGAGGAAGGTCATTCGTCGAGAGAACAAGCATTCTTCATGGCTCCAGCTTTCAGTTTGAGGGATTTTGGATGTCATAATTTTGTTCGATTGTACAAACACCATAATGCGCAGGCTGCACTGACTAGTACTGACCTAGCAATGGCTGCTCGACGAGGTGTCTAGAAGTCTCTCCAGATGTCTGTCACTCGTGCAGCCAACGATATATTCAATCAGGGTTTACCGGAGGTGTATCATACTGGTGGGACTGCCTCATTCGACTCGATTTATAGTAGTCTCAAGAGTTTGATCAGTTCACGGGGGAAAGAGTCGATAATCTGCGTCAAACGTCTCGTGGTTGGCTTTTCCACAAAAGATGTTAGATGGAGACGAGAATTCTTCCCGAAGTGTAAATGCCTTCCTCTACACATTCGCCTTTGAGTCCGACTGATGGCCAATCAAGAATGTTTAGTCATGTGCACTGAGATATGTCCAATGAAAACTCGAATGCGCAGTCTGTGAAACGTCTCGCGGAGAGCTTTCTTGAATGCAAGTAAATAACCAGCGCATGCCTGTCCGGTACGAACGCTAGAACTCACTTCATAAGTGCAGAAGCTTTGCCTGGTATTGACCGGAAAGAGAATTGGGCTCAAGCTGTATTCGAGTTTGCGCCGCCACAGAATTTACCGTAAATTGTCGACAAAAAAATCGCTTTTTTATCCGTGAATTCAAACTGCGGGTAAATCATGACTTTCTACAAAAACACTCGTTTTGGTATCTTTGACTAACTTCTAACGTCCACATACGGAGTACTTAAAAGTGAAAATGGCCATACAATCTGATTCCCAGACAATGGATGCGAAGACGAACAAACTAAAATTCATCTGCCAGCGTACATGAGGTGACAAGAGTTGGCAATTGAGAAGTTAAAGCAAAGCCTTCTCATCTGATGCTTCCAACGGCATATAATTATAAATCGTGAGGTTTTCTTCAAAACCTATCACGATTTATATTTTTCAAAGCATGAGAAGAGAAGGATAAATGCACATCAGATATCCCGTAGTCTAGTCCACTGATGTCCGATTACAAATCTTCACTCCAAATTAATGCCAGCTTCCTAGCAGATTACTATTGATTGCATATCGCATCGAGGTCAGGACTAAAAATCACTCCCGTCAGTTGCTGAAGTCGTGAGAACCGCTTTAAATTGGGTCACCACGAGACTAGAGTATGATGTATACAACGAATCCATTCAATTACAAGGATTTTGACGCGAACTACCCAATGTGAGCAGTTTAAAGAATATCTCGAAAATATGTACACTACCTATTCCCACTTTGTGGCAATAAACAGTTTCAGAATAACAACTAGCACTCGATCCTCGTGATGGCAAGAGCGCATTTGTCATACAATCTAAGGCTTGGACTGCTTCTTCGTCTTCCTCGATTTCTTGCCAGTGTCCTGCACACGCCATACACGTTCATGTCGATAAGCATCACCAACTTATCTTCGACCATAGTGCGAGCGTAACGAACTTCACCTAACAACTTCGAATACTCTCCTCGGTCGACTGGAAAAGTGAACAGACAGCAGGCGAACTTCTACTTAAAGAGAGCAACACGCGTTTAACTCCCCGGTGAGGGCAATTGAGGAAATGGAAGAAAATAATGGAATGGAAGTGGAAAAGCAGCATCCTCATTCATCTGCTTCGACGCAATCAGCTGTGGCCATAGCACAGAACCTGATGCCAAGCGCAACCTGTGAACATGCTGATCTACTCACGCTATACAAAGGCCTCACTTCAAAACGAAATATTCTGCAAGTTCTCTTCAACAAATGAACCAGAAAGTGGGGGATCCACAAACGGAGCAAATGACAGGCGCTCCCTCGTTTGCGACGTTTTGTAGACGGCCGGATCCAGCACAAATTGCATAATTTACCTTCTTGTAAGCTGAGTAGGCACTTCTCCCCGTCAATGTCCGCCCATCTTTTACATAAACCTGAAAGCAGGTGGCACTTAGTTACTTTGAAGGATCGAATGGCGGTCTAAAAGGGTCAGTTTGTGCTACATACTTGCTACCCATGTTACCTGACCCGGATGTAGTGAAGGAACAAGCAACTGCTATGCTTGGTGGATAGTTCTCATACTGACTGCTGATCAAACCCAGTACAGTTGCTAAGAACAACCTTTCTTCCAAGATCGTGGACTCTGACCCACTATACTTACTCGTTTCTTGTTCTCTACAATCCAGTATCCATTCCCACTGGCAGATGCTGACGCCGATGTAGAGGCCCTCCTGGTATTTTCTCGAAATAGAGTCCAGGCTTTTCTCTTCCCTTTTGATGAAGGTTTGCTGACTGTAGTCCTCTGAGAAGAAGTTGTAAAAGAACCATTCGCTTTTCTGTTTTTGGTGCCTTTCGAGGAAGACCGCTTTTGCTTCCTTCGTGACTGCGGCTGACTACAGTCGAGCTGGGCAAAATCAGTGCTGTCCATACCTTGAGAGTGCCCAAACTGGTTCCTGCGCAGACACTTCTAGGCCTTAATTGTTGTTCTTTTGAGAGTAGCTCATCATCTGGATCTGCTTTCGCTAAGCCAGCTACTCTTAACTAAGCAGAAAGTATCTCAGTAAGAATCAAAACCAAAAAAGATAAATCAGCTTCGACCAGATGGATGACGTACCTATAGTCGATATAGACAGGCTCTAGATCAAGACCACCGTTCACTGAAAGCGCTTCCACGGGTTTGAAATGTGGTAACCTTTCACGAAGCATATCAGCAATTATGCCGTCCTCCGACCTACTTGCAGAGGCCAACCGGTCCGAGAGGCCTTCCATTTCATCAGGTGAGAAGTTTCCAGTGTAGGATTTCCATAAGTCGCTCCCATCCATGACAGGAGCCTTTCCTTTCGAGCTCGAACGACTTTCGCGCGCGTTCGACGTCGATACTGCCCTTCGTATATCGAAGTCAAGGTTCCGGTTCTGCACAGAGGTTGTGCTGCCTTTGCCATATCCTCTCTGCATGGATTGAGAACAGGAAACTCTAGATCGTGACTTTTCTCGCCAGAGCTCGTCGTCATCACTAAGTGTGATAGGCTCAGCTTTAATATCGCCAGTTTTCTTCACGACAGTTGGGAAGGAATTTTTCGAATCTAGAAAATTGATTGGCTCAGCTTTAGTTTTGCCCAGTTTCTTGGCAACGACCGAAGATCTGTTCTCAGTATCCAGGCCTGGAATACGTAGAACAGTCTTCTTCAATGCAGCAGGAGACGAGGTAGACGAAGGAAGATTTTTCGGAATAACCGAACTCTGGAGGGACCGACGGTTTCTTTGAGGTCGTGAACCTGTAAAATATACGAGTGAGAGATGCGCAACTTCTTGGGACAAAGGCCAGAAAAACCGAAAAAGTCTACAACGAAAACCAGAACTGAGGATCAAAATTGCATATCTTTCGTTGGGAGTAGAGAATAAAAACACCAAAACACTATTTCGATGATCGGGAGGAAAAATGACTGGATGAAGGAGGTGCTTGACTGCACAAACTCTAGGTCGATAAAAGAACCATTCATGGGTTACGTACCAGCACACAGCATTTCATCATCGGAGAAATCCTCAATATCGTCAAAGTCATCTGCGTTAGAATGCTGAGAGCAATCTGTCATCCCCTTCTTAGAGTCATCAAGAGAAGGACGAGCCTGGTTATGTAGGTTAATACAGGAATCGCCAGGCTCTGCTTTCACTTTCTTTAACACTGCGTGCCGATCGACTTGAGAGTTTTCAGAGACAAAACAGTCCTTAACAGCTGAAGATGATCCACGTCTCAATCGCACAAAAGCTTTCTTCCGCTCTATAACCGGTGTTTCTTGCGTTCTCTCGTCGTCAATTCTTGATACATCTACTGAAGGCAAACTCGAGTCGTCCGCAAGGCATGGAAAATTTGATTCTAGCTTGACTTGAGCACGAGATACAGATCTCCTTCCTCGCTTAGAGATAGGTACAAAATCCTGCTCCTCCTCGCTGTCTTCGACAAAGTTCACTGGCAGGCAACTATTTGAAGGTCGATTCGCGGCTCGTCCAGAACTAGAGGGAGGAGTAGAAACGTCTAATACAACCACATTCTCTCTTGATCCGATTGGAACGCTCACTTTCTTATCGCTTATATCTTCTAGGGGGGTCTCGGTTACCGGACTACACTCACGCTGTCCAGTTAGACCCTGTTTCACTTTAAGGTGATCAAATTTCGGCTTCTCATCCCTTTCTTGAGATGAATCTACAAGAGCATATCCGTCAAAGATTGGTGGTGAGCATCCCAATTTGTCAAAACTATGGGAGGATGAAGTAACTACACCCTCCCCACATTTATCTAAATTTTCTACAACTTGTTCCTTCTTCGGAATCAGTCCCACGAAATGGACCGGGTTCACCTCCGTTGCCGCATTTGCTACTTCAACTGCTTTGGAGAGCCTTCTCTTCTTAACTACCTTTTCGAAGTTATGGTGACCTTCGACGGATTGCCAGCTATTCTTCATCAGCCGTTCATTCGCCGGTTCTGGATGAAGGTCCCCAACCGCGGAGAGACGCAATTTCGAGGGCCCATCTTTTGTCACCCCGTGCTCAGGTTTCTGATCTTCAATACTCCCCGATAAGGATTCAAACTGCAACGTTGATCTTTCGTTCTCAAATCCTGGTGAGGATTTTTCTAACTCAAACAATCTCCCGTGAACTTGTCCATCACAGGGTTTGCAAGGAAGATCAAAATGCGAAGTTGGTTCAGTCTTCACATGGGCAATGAGCTTTTGAGCAGGCGAGTTGCCTGCAAACCGCTGCATTTGCTCTGGTAATGTCTCCTGCAAAGGAACAAATTTTGATCTTCGTACAGAATCCTTCTCTATCAGCGACGGTGAAGGGAGAGAAGTTGGTTCAGTCTTCACATGGGCAATGAGCTTTTGAGCAGGCGAGTTGCCTGCAAACCGCTGCATTTGCTCTGGTGATGTCTCCTGCAATGGAACAAAATTTGATCTTCGTACAGTATCCTTCTCTAACAGCGACGGTGAAGGGAGAGAAGTAGCATCCTGCAAAGGTTTCTGCTCTGTCATTGAGCGCACCTGAGATTGTCGAACAGACTCCGGTCTTGTCCTAAACTTTGACAAGTCACAAGCAGGTGGGTGCGATGTGCTTTTCAAACGCTTCGCCTTTTCCTCAATGGACATTTGTTGCAGATCAAATGAAGCTGACGAAAGAGTTGCTTCGCCGCATAGACTGGATGATGGGTATGTACTATAGTCGGCAGACGATCGTGTGTGAGTGAGACCCTGCTTGTCACAAGGACTCTGAAGGCTATCAGGTTTTGAAGGCGAACAGTGTTCCTCCAAGCCCAGTGAGAACGAAGGAGCTGAAAACCCCCTCGATGCCCGCCCTTGATTGAACAAATGCTCTCTGCCACTCCTTCGTGTCGAGTTTGAACCCAAATTCCGGTCATTTGTTTGTGGAGCAAGAGCTTTGTCTCCACCCTTCGATGAAGAGACCCTCTGTGCCTCTCTGGTCTCCGGTCCAGGTCCATGCTTGTTCCTACTTGAGGGCTCTATCCTCTCGCCATCCTCAAATGCTGGTGGCGGGATGTCTTCAAGACCGAGAGAAAATGATGGAGACGACGAGTCAGACAGCACCCTCTTGCGTTTGGAGGTCTGCTTCTCATCGACTTTCTGCACCACACCATTCTCGCAGCATTCATCAAAACTAGGTGGCGGAGGAAGCTTTTCTAGGCCGAGGGAAAATGAAGGAGATCCGAATTGTGCAATCGGCGAGAAGGAAAAACGTGCAGCTCGTGCACGACGAACGTCGCTTGCACTTGGAGTTCCACCATGTGATGACGATGCCATTGTATAGGTTGCACCGCTCCCTCGGAGCTCATGCTGGATACTGAAAAAATGGTGTCGCCACTAAGACTTCAAAATTGCTAATGTGGTGGATCCGAATGCTAACGAGCAAGCTCATCTTGGATCGCCAGAAGGATTCCACTTCTTGCTAAACCCACCGAAGTAATCTGCACAAATCAATTATCACACCGCCAGTAGTTCACCGAGTAGCAGATAGCGGCAGCAGCAGCGAGAAAGTGCGCATCCCGACCCGAACGCCCTCAATCTCACTCCGGCAAGGTTTACACTACCATTGAAAGGATCTCCATGAAATCTCATTTTCTCTGTCAGAAAAATCAGAAAAAATGCAAAATCATGACCTCAGCGACATGGAGATCGATTACGCATCACTTCAGCTCACAATGTCCACCTGCAAGTCTCGCTAGCACCGATCGGGACTTCAAAAACTCACAAAATTCATCCTTCTACGATGCTGAATCCCTGCCCTCCTTCCGACATCCTCGAGCTTTCCTGTGAGAGGAGGCCCCGCCTGCGGATTTCCTCGACGCCCTCAATTTCCTCCACCGGAGAATCCGCGCGCAACAGATTCTCGACGCCTAAAGATCCTCTGTAGCATTCGAACGCCACGGGCAGCGGACTCCAGCCACGATTTGAATTTCAACGTGTGGGCGATCTTCAAAATCCAGACTTCGTTCGGGACGCGAAGCAAGGTCACCGAGCCTGCAGGTGAATGACAGACTTCCACCAGAACACGGCCCAACAACCTACCCCAAAGACTTCCGAACAGGCCTCGTGGGTGAGTGAGCAAAGAGACCGTCAATATCCGGTTCCTGGACCGGAGAACACGTGTTCGAAATTGAACTTGAGCTTGAAGAATTCGGACGGAACTGGACTGTAGAATGAATTACCACTGTTTGCAGAAGGTGTCCACTAGACCTACACCGACACGTGCCACTCGGATGTGATTGGCGTTCTTGAGTATGAATTTTCGGATAACCCTAATAATGGAGCTCGAATAGCTCAAATTACGGAATTCGATTAAGGAATAGTAAGACGGTTTCGGAATAGTCATCTCGAAGGATTTGTGCCTTCTACTGGCATTTCCTATCACTGGTATGTTATTTTGCGATCACCGGAATCTGTATCAACTCCATTCATATTAGTGTGAATTGCTACCTGTTCTTGGTTCTCTCAGCGAACCTGACCTCACCTGCAGACTTACTTCTGTACAGCAAATTACTTATTTTTTTAAAGTCCCTAGCAAATTTTATCTCAAGTATTCACAATCTTGTTGCATATTATTAATTAAGTTAGGATGCAACTATGATCGGTCTTTGAACAAAGAAACTTCCACAAGTATTGTATGTATCTAATTATTCTGGATTCCTACTCGTTTATGTCAGAGTAACATGCATAATTTAGAGAACGGACATTTTCTAATAAGTACTCAAAACAAACATTGGGGTTGAAACTATGATAAGAAAACACATCTTACATACTTCAATTCAGATTTTGTACCGACCACTTGCCATCTCGTTTGTAACACACACAAAATCGAATTGAAATGTAGGATCATCTCGATGCTTCATTTCAATTGCGCGAGGCTTCATCGAGATGATCTCTCTATGAGGTCTCGCGCGCCATCATCGAGAAATCCTCAAGCTCGTAGAGATATGTAAAGTGTCATTTGATGAATCACTAAATACAAAGGAGAGAAATATCAAAAGAAAAATATGGCCCCAGGGACTTATGATGTACTGAGACATAAATGAACCATATATGTTGTGTAAATGTCGCTGAGTGTATGTTGGAAAAAATTCGTCATGGAAGAATTGCGGACCGAGTTATTTGCTTCTCCCCCTTTTGCGTACCAATCCATGTGATACATATGTCATATTTTCTTAATAATATAGCTAACAGAAACGGGCCATTTTTTACAGACAATAGAATTGTATACTGTATGTGAGGTTGTTTGACAGTAAATATGTGTAAGGTACGTTTCAGGGTAAGTTCTGTTTAAGAAAGTTTGAAATACTTATGTACTGCAGAGGCCAACGTTTTACTTCAAATCTGCACCTAGACCAGACCATAACCATCAGCAGCTACCTAACCCCACCCATAGCATTACCTGTGCCCACCCATGCTGTTCAAATTATGCCAATTGTGTTATCTGTATTAACCAGTTAGACCAATTCTTGGTTGAATCTTGACAAACACTGCCGTTAGCATTACTTGTGCCCACCGTGGAAAAATAATGTCACCCAAAACACACCCAAATTCCATGGGTGGGTTTGGGCATGGGCACCCAATGTTGGGCTTTGATGTGTACTGCATGACAAGTTTGAGGATAATGATATAGAGTTATATGAAAGGACTTTCAATACTTTAATGATGTAGGTGTCATTCTATGGTGATACCTGACTATGTTAGATTACCGTCACCGTCGTCACAGTTACAAGACATTCTGAAGTTAGGTACATTACCAGTTCCATAGAAGTAGCATGCTTTAACTTTTGGTGTGATAGGTATCAGATATGTTAATTACAAATATATAGTCCTTGGAAATAACACCACAAATAAGGACATCACCAGTGATACTACAATCTTGTGAAATTAATCGAAAGTGGTTCATTGAAAAAAGGATTTCCAAGTTATGAAGGTTTTCAAGATTGCCCACTATAGTGGATATGATTTGAGGAATTCCCTTCAATACCAAAAAAATTCCAGAATAAAGAATGATAATATAAGCTTACTCCACAGGAGAGATATGAGGGAAATCCACCTTCCACATTTCTTTCTACATGAGAGGAAAGAAGTATGGAAAGTGACCAAAGGCATCAGGTGAGTAGAACATAACCCATAAACCGTACGGGTGGCCTTTCAATATCCAAAAACTGTAAAGTTATGAAACACAAATTTTCAGCAATAAATTCGGCAGAAAGCCATGCAAATATTGAATACGGAATGTTTACCAGCCAAGGTTCTTCCTTTCCAATCCGCTATCCTCATTTCCAGTTCCAAATACAGCTTCTATATTTAGGTACAGTCAACTGTGTCCGAGTTCTTACCTCGAATTTCTACCCGGTCATGTCACCTTGAAAGTCTTTGCTGACGGCGAGTTGCGTCAGAATATTTTATCCATCTGGGCGTCCGAAACCTTTCTCGCTCCGCGGGTTTAGCGGGTACGTAGTCTGGTCTGTACGTGATCGATGGCGCTCTCGCAAGTTTGAATTCGCTAGTTCTCGCTTCTCCCTCCCAGAGTCGCGAGTTTCTCGAGAGGGGACCAGCGGAATGTTCCACCTCGTCTAGCATGCCCGTCGCGTTGCCCTCAGCAGCTTCCTAGACTTTCTTGAGTTGGATGCGCCACAGAATTCTTTCTCGCTTCTTTGCAGTCTTTGTCTCTGTCTCTCTGCCCTGTCAGCTAGCTTCCGGTTTGTAGCTGTGTAGACCCCAGGGATTGTGAGGAGCATGATGCCAGTGGAGGTTCCGCGGTGGTGTAAGTCTTGAAAGTACGAGTCATTTTGAGATCGCGACAGGATTCGTTCTTCGTTCTTGCTCTGGCGGTAGAGAAGATGCTTCGTCGTGGACGCGAGATTTCGGAGGCGCAGGAATGCGGATTTGTGGTTCAAGCAGCTCGCAGCTTCACTGAGTATGTTTCGGCCGGTGCCCGCTTCGTGCTACGTTTTGAGGGTATCGAAATTGCAAAAAGTCGCTGCGGTGATGCACATGTCATGGTCGAGGAACTGAGTGAGGAATGTCACTGAGTGGCCCTTCAGACCATCTCATGAGGGCTGGCTTTGAAGTGGACTGAGCGTGTTTTTGACCACTCAAATAGTGGCGCATACAGAGCTCTCTGTACAATCTCCAAGTATTCGGACTCATTGAGTAGAAATGAATGGACGAAGTTTCTTGTGAGTTTATCAAATTGAGCTTCCCCAATCCTGCCAGAAGCCAATGCGCGCAAGCAAAACTAGCCAGAAGACCGAGGAATTTTGGAACAAGCACGTCAAAATATCTTGCTCTTGAACTGGTCCCATTGCGACGAAGAGGAATTGACATTGTGGTTAATCAAAAGAGCCTCTCCAATGGGTGACTTAGCCTTGAGTAATATGGCTGCCGCCTATTGCGGTCAGCTTAAAAGTTTTATCACGTGCCTTCACACGAACACTACGCAGCTCCGCGCTTCGGCAGCCCAAAAGCCTCCTGCATGTGCGTAAATCTGCTCAATTTTTTATTCCTTTCGTCTGGTGATGTAGGGTCATTTTGATTACCAGTACATAATTTGATGTCAGCGTGGTATAATTCGTTAATCACACATTTCTCGCACTTTGCATATGTCTCGGTTTTTTATTAGAGCTGGTATCTTCCAGTCTTGTAGGAACTACCCTGTAGAACTGTGCAGACTTTATTTAAATTACTTCGTGCCAGAACGAACACAGTTCCAACATCATATCAAAATGAACGCAAGCATTTATCCGATCCTTTGCTTTGCTCGTGAGAATGAGTAGGGTTGAGTTTATTACGTTTAGAGTGTCGAGATTGATGTTGGTAAATATTCATGGTTCTTCATTCTAAACCAACGCGTTTCTTATCACGTGGTCAAATATGGATATTCCGGGATTGCAGACGCCGACCTGTCATCATTTTTGCTGGACTTCGGCGACCGAGCAGCAGAAGATGCTGCTGAACTGGAAGTGCTTGAGGAGATGACAGTGGAGAATGTTAGTTTTCAAGAACTACTTGCCAACTGCATGGAATTGTACAAACAAAATGAGACGAGCATCGAAGAACTGGAACCTCAACTTGAGCAATACGGATATGTTAGAGGTTGGTCATCTAACATTCTTCTCCTGATGCTTTCGACTATCAACATTGAATCTTCAGCCCATGCTGAATAATAAAGTCTGGTGCAGGGAGAACCAAGTTTTTTGTGCATATATTGTTTCAGATGACATCTTTTGGTCTTGTCATACTCTTCTCTTCTTCATTCTTGCCTATTACTGACGAACTCTAATTTTCAGAAGGAGAATCTGAAAAGGCCACAGAGGAGAAAGAAATGATGGAAATGACATTTGTGGAGGATTTGAAGCAACGTGTTCGATCTAAAGACCCTCCACGGGAAAGTAGTGAAAAGGGGTCAGTGGAGAGCAGGGAGGAGATGGCTGCAATGCAATTTTCAGACCTTTTGAATTCCTCCTCGTCTTCCGGCCGTGCTCAGTCACAAACAGAAAGTTACAGACATTCAGTTTCTGTGGGCTCTGTGCAATCACTTACTGGAGCAACGAATTCACCTCTGCCGCCTGCTGTTATCTCTACTAAATTGGATATGGACGATATGTCAATGTATCCTTCACATTTTTGAGAGAAAATTTGTGAAATGTTTATATTGTTATATTGATATTGTCAATAGGTGTAAAATTTCGTCCATGTCGTCTGTTGTCTTAACTATAAGAAGGCTGGGAGAATCGTTCTCTTTGGAGGACTTCGGATTATCTGCTTCAACTCTCGCGTCTCTTGCTCGTGAGTACAATCTGCAATTATTTGTAGTTGTATATAGTTATTTGTAGTCATATGCGCGTCGCTAATTTGTCTGACTAGGATTTCTTCAATGCTTGTGGGACTATGTCTACTTTTAATTCTCTCCAAACTGATGTAATTTGGATGTCTAGGAGATTTCAAAGGTTTATAATTCCTAACCTTTTTGGGCTTCCTAATTTCAAGTAACAAGGCTAACAACCTTCTTGTATAAAACCTGTGAATCAGGACTTGATCCATCGACTCCTGATAGGTACAATTCTCCTGCGGATAAGAAGCAGCATAAATCTTCAGATGTAGGATCTGGAACTGCTATCGAAAGCATTTACAAGGCTTATAGTCCATCATCAACATTCACGCCATCACCCAAATTCACGCCATCTCCTGGTAATTCAGGAAATTCGCACACAGGATTGAATATGTTAGTTGAAGTGTTTGACACACAGTTTACATCACTGTCTAATATCAAGGATGCTCTTGAAGATGAAGATCAAACTACTTACTGATGTACATGTCTGTTAAATGCAGGGTTTTTATCAAGGAATAATATGCCTTTCTTGGGCCTTGTATCAGACGAAGAATACGCTCAAGTATTTCCCTGGCTTCAGAAACGGGTTTCATTAAAGGTACGAGGAAGAGCGGCATTGGTTACTATATAGGTGATTTCCTGTCATAGCTCTTTAAAAATATGTTTCCATGGTTGACAACTTGAAGGTTACCTTGATGCACAACCTAATAGTGAGTTACACTTTTGGTACCAGGAGCTTAATGAAGCAATTGTGAAGATCAACGAATGCATGCTGATCAAGCAAGCGGGAATGTTGCAATGTGATTCCAAACATGCTAAAGTACTGGAGGTGGACGACACTGTGCTCCTTAAATTAGGTATGTTTTGCTTTGCCTGATGTATTATACTTTTCACCTCGTGTGTTGGATGTTTAGATGATGTAACTGAAAATGTGAGGACAATGCATTTTAGCCGAATTCGTAACAAATATTCTGCAATGCTGCACACTGCACGACAAACGCTCATCGAAGCTATGTGTTCAATGCGTAACGCTTGCGTAGTAGAAAGCCTATCTATTTTTTCAGTGTTCATAGCCTCATTCTGTTCAATAAATTCATGATAGCTGTTCTTTTTTAAGAAACAATCGAACCCAGCATGATAATTTTGTCATATACAGAACGTTACAGCCTGTTGAAAGTCAAGTCACTTTGACCCACTTGTTTCTTCATGTGTGCAGGATCCAACATGAAAGCCTGCCTCTTGTTCCTGGTTCAGATAGACAGGCTCGTCATGGCTTCGTCCAATGGGCGCACAACGTATCGACCCTCTGAGCTTGAGAAGTTTCGTTAAATTATTTTTTTAAGGTGGCATTGTGATGAAGTCTTTTGTAAGTAGTACTTTGTGAGCGTCAGCAAGAAACTTTGAGAGGTAGTCGGGCTGCATGTCACCATGTTGTTTCCAAACCTCGACGCCTGCATCACGAGAAAGTTTTGTTTACCGAGGTCATAATATTTCATTGAAGGTTGTACTGTTCTCACCTACCCTATAATACATGTGGCATACTTGACAAGTGTGATCTTCACTTCACCAACAGTCAAAAACTTACTTCAGTTGACGTTTCAAAGGCTTCACGGAGCCAATGGAGGAACTACTGTGATCTTAATATAGTATGAACTTACACGAGTTGTAAAGAGCTACATCATCATCATGTTGCCATTTGAGAATTTCGAAAAACAAGAAACGCCTTTGTAATAGCTTCAGTTCCTGAGAATTTTATTGCATTGTCTGTAATCAGAAGATATAACAACTATTATGTGGGAGCAATTATAGAGGATTACACGGATTTGGCTTCAGACTGCTTTTTTAATGAGGTAGAGTCAAATGACTTGAAACATGCTCACAAAAATTTTTCAACATTCAAACGTGACTGACAGTCTGCACGTGGGCATCGAAAGGGTTTGAGCACTGGAATCTCTCTTTGAGTCACGTGAAGAATATTCAGGAGTAAATATCTCAAGTATTCCAAGATGGAACAAGGGGCCAAGCGGAAAGCAATAAAGATGGTAAGCATGTTTCAACAAAGCGTTCATGTGAACAGCGCAATAATTTCTGCGATAATTTTCTTTCAATTTTGACTCGTCATAGTTATTGAGGGCCAACAAGGAAACATTGTTCGGACTATTATCGACGAGGAAGGAAAAGCACTTCGGCGTGATGGTCACTAGGCGTCGGCACGACGCACACTCGTCAATTGACTCAATGGTCAACACTGAAGTGTTCAACCATGTTGCCTCATGCAGATTCTGAACTCAGTTTCCAGCCTTAAAACAACTAGGTGTTTCTCCTAAAGCTCGTCTACCGTGTATTGCAGCCAAGCAACAGGGAATTCGTAGTGGTCAAAAGGCTTGAACAGCCACCAAATTATGAATCACTTCTGAGTTTATCCGTGAGATGAACAAAATCGGTTCTTCAATATTAAGCCATAGTTTACAAAAGTCTACAAGAGCTTCAATCAGTAGATTCGAAGATAAGATGTGGTAACAGTACATGGTTCTAACTATAATGTAATGATAAGGCAGTCAACCCCATGTGCAACACCAGGGGCTGGAGTACCCTATGATGATTTCTCTCGTTTCAGATAACATAACTAACCTCTATGACTTTGCTATTTACTATCTAAGTGTGTTCACTGAACAAGGAAACAATTACACGAGGATACCAACCTAGCGGGCATAATCGGTTACGCAAGAATCACGAAGAGAACATGCTTACTTAAAGACTTAACATCATAAGATATCATTTGACAAAGTAGTGGGGAACTAACAAGAAACAAACTACATCGAACACTTTTGTGTGTTCTCTTCTTATTAGCACTCAATATGTGTTGTTTGGCCTTTATATACATGATACAAAATCATAAAAAGTGGTTATTTATCTTCTGGATGGTTGGCGAATGATTCTCATTAAAATCCACCACAGATAAGAATTGTAAAATTCCTCGCATTGCAGATAACTATTTTTTAAGGTGTGATTATCAATCACTATTCCATACATGTTGGTTATCCATCATATACATGATACAATATTAGAACACAGGATAAAATTGTCTTTGCAATCGGTGGCATGTAGATGGAAAGTGTCAAAAGTTTCCAATAATTGAATATAAGGTCTTATAAAATAGCTGACCAATAGTAATATAGCAACTATATTCCATATATATATACATACCTATACATACATACACACAAGAGTTTGGTTCCCAACCACAAGATCAGAAGTTATATTTGTCTTACTAAATGTAGTCTAATATGTAAGCAATATCTCAAAATATTGACTAATGTAATCTTAGATGAGGATTAGCCGGTTTTTATCTGATCTCAATTGGATATATGAAATTTCTCAATTTTTTTATTTTTTGATTCAAAATTAAGTTGGCGGTTGATACTCATTCTAGCATTTAGATAAATCAAAATACATGCAAAATGGTAACAATAAAACTAATTCAAACCTTGTGATATAAAGTCACATTTTGGACTCAATAAGTAATGCCAACTATTTGCTTCATTACTGTAGGTTAATTTTCCATATACTTGCATCAATTTAAATTTTAAATTTTTTGCGTGTTGTTGTTTCAAATTTCAACAATTAAACTAATTACTAATCATAAATTGTAATTTGAAAATGCTTATAGATAGTTTGAATACCTTGTATCAATGGTTTTTATAACTATTCTGCATGCATGAGATAATAACAAGATTTAAAGCCATACTGTACAAGTTAAAAATATTAATTAAAAAATTGTTTTTTTCAAAATGAAATTATCGCTCCTTCTTGTATAAATATATTAACCAACTACTATAATCCTAAGTAAATCATTTGTAGTTAAAATAATTTAAGCTGTGACTTGTCATGCTAGCATGAAAATACTACTAAGTAAATTCATGCTCAATAACTTTCAATATTTGATTTAGGTTTGCAAGAATATTATATATTTAAACACATTATTTTCACCATGCAAGAAAAATCGATCATAGATTTTAAAGTTTCTAGTTTAATTTTGACATTAGCACATATATTTTATACAAAGCTTCAGATGTTAGTACTCAACTCACATCTTATAGTATGTTAGTCTAGCTTAACCTGTCATTATATAAGAAAGCTCGCGAAAGCTCTGATGACAAATATTAGAGTTTTTAAAATAAAACCTGAAGTGTTTTGTGGAGGTAGACTCCAATGATAAATGTAGGAAGTCCAATGTAGCCTACATTATGAAGGCTTTGCCTGTGCTTTGCTTTGTGTGTATGACTATTGCATTCAATTATTCTAGTGGTGAAAGTTTTTATTGAAGAATTTATTTTTTTCAGTTAAACACAAGAAAATTTTCATAACCTAACAAGAAAATTTATCACAACCTCCAATGTTCTGATAAGATTCTTATATTTTTATTGATTTATTTTTATTATTTTTATTCAAGATTTAATTATTTATATGAAATAAAAGAAATTTTTTTCCTCAAATTTTTTTACATCAGATTTTTTTAAAATACATGCATATGACTAAGTTATGCAATATGCATCCATTGCTATAATTTGAATTTTACTCTTGTTATAATATAGATCAAAAATTATATTTTTTATTAAGAATTTCAGATTTCAGATGAATTAAAATCTGAATTTTTCAATTAAAAATATTTAATAAAATAAATATTTCATTCAGTTTATTTTTATTTGTTTGAAATAAAAGGATAAAAAAAATAAAACAAGAAAATTATTTAAACAAAATCAAATTTTACGATTATATTTATAAATATTTCTATATTTATTATAATTATAAAATAAAAATTAAAAAATATGATAACTCATTTTATTTAATATGATTTTAATTTTTTTAAGAATTATTTGTAATGTTTTGAGATAAATATAAATTTTTGTATGTGTTCGATATTTAAAAATGATTATTTAAATGAAATGATTTATTTCAATTTTATATCTATACGATCAATATTTACAAACTAATAGTAGTCTTATGAATACAATAAACACAATTTTTTCAAAAAGTTAATCCAAAATTGTAAAAATTTTATTTAAAAAATAATTAGTTGTACTTATAATGATTAGCAGCTTAAAAAAATATTATTTTGTATCGCAAAGAACAAGACTTAAGTCATTATTATTTTAAAAATAATTTGTATGTTGAGATTCAGATCTATCCATCTTCAAAGTATGTTTTAGTATTTTGATACATTATTTTGTATACAAAGATCATGAAAGTTCATAGTTGAATTATCTTCTAACTACAAATGTATGAGAATAATTCAATTATCAAAGCATACAAGATCTCGTTTTGCTCAATACCTTATCAATCTTTTGCAGCATGAGATTTTTTTTAATAAATAAATTTGTAAAATCTTTAACATCATTTATTGCAATCATTTTGTTAAATCCATTACATCATATATTGCAATAATTTTCATCTTTTGCAAAAATATTTAACAAATAAAATTTTTTGTATTTTTATTTCATAAAAATATAGTATTTAAAATATATAAATGTATGTAATCCTGATTGGATATTTTTAAAAATAATTTCACTATCAATTATTGGTGTTAATATTGCATAAACATTTTTTTGTTCAAAAGTTCAGAACATAGAAATATTTTTTTTTGTTTAAAAATCTATAGAACTTTTGATATAATTTTTTGAAGAAAAGTTCCAACATACTCTTTGTTGATGTTTCATATTGCTGAAACTTCATCATGCAAAGTTTTTGATGATTTACAATTAACTTGACTATTGTTGCTAAAATTTCATAGATTAACACTTGATGTTTATATATTTTTTTCACAAAGTTTTTTTCTTCTTCAAGAAAATTTAAATGATCCACTCTATCAGATATCATGTTCAAATTACATATATAAATTTTTCCACATATTTTTTTATCATAATTTAAATCAATTTCAGAAAAAATCTTATTTATATATTTTTTTGAAATTTAAAGTGAGAGAAATTTATTTAAATTATATTTTTGAAAAAAAATCTTGTTTTAAAAATGTACATCTCACTCCTATACCTCATGAATTGAGAATTTTTAATCGGCCAAGGTTGACCGCTTTCAATACACTCACAACAAAGATGAACATACACTTTGAAAATGTACCAACTGCAATAAGTATCTAGTTTTGGTTACATTTATGTTCGTAATTTACTTTAAATTCTAGACTTTTACCTCTCCGTCCAGTTTTTCTAGTGATAGGTTAATTACATAAAATTTAATATGCGTAACATTTCTATTTTTCATGTTAACAAACGAAAGGTAATTATAAGTAATAATGTAACAAGATATTGAAATCTATGCAACTTATCCGTCAGATTTTATTAAGGATTTCTTAGAGTAATTCAACCATTTTGTGCTTCTAAATCTTATACATTTTTACCTTGTTTAGGATCGCTAATAATGTAAGCAACAGGTGAGAAGACGATTACGTTAATATATGTATTTTTATTGAATCCTAAGTACTTCACCAGTAGTTGAATTTGATCCAAGCTTGATTTGCAAAATTTCAACAATTTCGTAGTCTCGTTAACCAGCATAAATGTGACATTTATGGTAAATATTGGTAACCAAACCAAATATTTACCGTCTGCGGAAAACATTGGAAAGGAATCTTAATTAGTGTAATTAACCCATCATGCGCTTCGAATTGAAACCAATTAGGGGAATTATTTGATTTGAATCTTGATCAGAGTGTACATTATAAGTTTCTTCCTTAAACACAGTAAGATAATTATTTGAAGTGAAAGTTACTTCGCGTACCTCCAGCATCTACTGCCAATGCGAAGTGAAGATTTAGAAATATATCTCTCAATCATAGTAACTTCACCATTATGTGAGTCTAACTGAAGCCTTATGAGATAGCAAATTGAAGCGGAAATTACTTCGAATACTTTACCATGTACGGACATGCAGAATTTAACAGGAGCCCTCCGAGATAAAGATTTGAAGTGAAGATTACATCGACTACTTCGACAAAGCCCTGGAAATGCAAAATCTCATTTCGCTTCCTCAATTCGCGAGCACGAGGAACTCAGTCACATGAGTCGAATCCGGCTCGGGCTCGGGCCGCAGTAGTAGCCCGACGCGTCGTGTTTGCATCCCAGTCTAAAATATAGCCCACAGATCTAATCAGCTGAGCGGGTCCTGAGTCAGGACCCGGTCAGCTGACAGGTGCGGGTGCGGGTCAGGGCTCCTGACCCGCGACTGCACCTGTCGCGACTTCGACTTGACGGTGGGTCAACAAACGAGGGCCGTCTGAAATGCAATTTCGAAGTTGAGGTCACTTCCAGTACTGCGACCATGAGCTGGCCGTGCCGAAACTAAGTTGGTGCTGCAACTGCGTTACAGGAACTAACTGCGTCGGACTAGGCAATTTTTGAAATCAAAAAAGAGTTTCGCTAGCAGGAGGGCTCGAACCTCCGACCTTGTGGTTAACAGCCACACGCTCTAACCAACTGAGCTATGCCAGCTCATGTCCGAAGACGTAATAGTATAATTATATTATAAGAAATTTCTGAAATTAACTTTGAAAGAATCGTATGGCTTAGATGTACTTTCTGCTGGAACTCAATCGGAGCTCTAAAATCGTACGGCGGCAAATCCCCTAATCTACTACAATTTCGCCCGAAATTCTCAAAATGCCCGAAAGGAGACGCGGCAGTACGAGCGAGCGTGGCGAGCTCATGTGCGGGCACTGTGGGGTCACAGGCGTCAGACAGTACGGGATAGGGCGCACTTTCGCACGACGTACAGATCGTGTCTTCAGACACCTCCGCGCGAAATCTAATAAACAAGTCCACTGATTGCCGCGGTGGATGAGAATTGCGTGCACCTTTTGCTTCCTCTGGATCATCACTTCGTGTGTCTCGACCTCCACAGTCCTGGAGCATCAGTGCTGCGTCTGACACCTTCAGAATAGTTTTTCATAGAGGCCAATTATTCGTTACTCTTATGTTGCGATGTTCCCACATATCTTTCGGCGGTGGCCGCTTGAGGGCGTCGTGTGAGAAAGGAGTCGTCACCTTCCTTTCCAGTCGAAAGATGTAACAGAGACATAATTTCGTGACACAAAGCTTGTGCCATCTAACTGTTAGGAGCAACTGGTAAAATGTAACAGGCTCTCCACCAAATGCAATACCGCCAGCCAGGGGTGGATTCAACTTTTCTTAAGTTATCCTAGACAAGGCAGCTGCCTGTGTGTCAGTTAGAAGTGTCGACGAACAACCAACTTCGAATTCCACGTAATCTTCGTAATCTACGTAATCCAAAACTTGTGTTCAAGCAATCCCCTTTGTCGTCCTTGGAATCATAACTCCATACCCATAGGAAGTCTCTGGAACCAGGAACTAGATCATGGCCACGTGTTTGAGACTCCCTACACTGGCCCAACAGGGTGTACCGATCAAGTGTCTCGGGCTAGTAAGTAGGGAACACAATTCGAGGTCCTCGCGTTCATTTGAGTTGGAAATAAAGAGGGGAGACTACATTATTGTAGACTGCTGCCCAGTGATACTCACATGCACCTAACCCCGGTGCATGTGAGCCTCTTTAAAGGGCCTATGTGTCCGGCGTACTGGTTTCCAGTGAAAGCTGACTTGAAGAGAGAAAAGCGTTCAGTAGTATTGCAGTGTCTGATGCATTTCAGCTCGAATTCATGCACATCGGCGACTACCGTTACGCTTACCAATTTACTGCACCCGGCATGACATCGATCGCGTCTCTTACCCACGATCGGTGTCTTCGATGCATCAGTACTTCGCTTCTGAACCTGGCGTGGTCAACCACCTTTTCCAGCGCTTCATGCTAGACAGACGCATCCTACGCCGTCGCAAGAAACTCAACTACAAGCAAATTGAGTTCTAAATGGGGTATCAATAGTATGCAAAACACATACTGCCTATATTTATGAGGAAAAGTGTGAATGGACTGCGCAATTAGGTTAGCTCAAGACGTGTAACGAGTTAAGAGAAATATCTGAACCATCATGAATTCAAGAGAAACGAGGCACCAAGAGAAATGTGGCGAAGTAGGAGACAGGAAAGCCCATGGAAAGAATGCTCACAGAAGGTGGAGGTGACAACTTTCTTTGTTTCCATTGGTCGTACAGCGCTATCATATCGAGCGTTCAGATATCAGAGCCGCGCCAGCAGTAAATGTCTATATGTAAGTCCCCATAATGAAGGGGGGATCTGACGAACTCAGGATGAATGGTGGGCAGGCAATCTACTACCTGCATTAAAAGTGTGTCCTTTTAAAATTCTACTCGAAAATCCTTTCACCAGTGGCAAAGACGATAAACATGAGAGCACTGAGAACAGACAGGAGTGCCGGAATGGCGAAAACCACCGCCCAGTTGTTCAGATCTGCGGACCCTGTGATGGAAGCCTCTAAAATCTGGCCCGTGGCAGCCACACCTACCACTCCGGCGACCGTTCCTGCGGTGTTGGACACCCCCATCACGATCCCAGCATAACGGGGCGCGATGTCCATATGGTTTACAGCAAACCCTGCTCTTGCAAGTGAACAAGCTCCCAGCACAACCGACGAGCAGACAACAGCTCCGAAGGCTGATCTCATGCTGGACATGAGCATAAGTGCCACAGCAGCTGTGATGAACCCAATGGTATTCAAAACTTTCCTTGTCTTCGTCACCGAAAAAATGCGCCTAGTTATTAGATGATCTGCGAGCACACCGCCTACATTGGACATTATAAACATGAGGAAGTAGGGCAGGCCTTTGGACGAGCCCATACTGGAGAGGTTAATTCGCAACCCCTGATCGAAATAAGTTGGCAACCAGTTCATCAGAACGTACAGGGAGTAATGGAACGTAAAATTGTTGACAACGATTGCCCACACGGACCAGCTCAGCATAATCTTCTTCCATGGAATTCCTCCCCCTCGGTCCTTTGGCTTCGGCTTCTCTCCAGCAGCTACCTCCTGGTCCACCCTCTTCTTCTTTCCCTTCTCTAAGGCTGACTTCTCCTCCAAGCCCTTCTCTAATTCTACAGTCTGCACGGGGAGCAGAAGCTTGGCCCGCTCAAATGCCGTGGATGCCACCTCTCCCAATGAAGCTTTTCCATCGGAGCCAGGCGGATCACTCGAATACTTCAACCAAAGCAACGCCCATGCCGCACCCATGAGCGATTCCGATAAAAAGACTGCTCGGGGCCCGCTCTTCGCCACCAGATTGGGCAGGTACAGCATCCCCCCGGCAGCTCCAAAATACATGCCAGAGGTGGTGAGTGAGACCGAGCGAGAACGCTCGTGGGGCGGAACCCACTGAGCTAAGACAGTGTGGATGGAAGGAAAAATGAAGCCCTGAGCTACACCGACGAGGAGGCGAGCGATTATGAGACCTGTGACGTTGTCGGCTCTTGTAGGCGTCAGAGCAGACGTGAGGGACCATAAGATGAAGGACATGAGCAGGACGCGCCTGCCGCCGAAGCGTTGGGCTGCCCAGCCACCAGGCACTTGTGAACTGGCGTAGCCATAATAAAATGCCGAGAGGAGATGACCTTTGGTACTATCTCCTACGCCAGCAGAGCTCGCTGCTGCCGTGTACGCGATGGAGAAGCCAACTCGCTCGATGTAGCAAACACAAGTGCACAGAAATGTCAGCAGAACTGTCACATAGCGCTGCGGCATGCCCCCTTTGGAACCACTGCTGCTGCCGCTGCTGGTGCTGCTGGGTCTGCTCGAAGTGCCCACATTGTGCATCTTCATGGTTCTCTACTAGCATCTTCTTTTCCGTGCAATTCAGCCACCAACTTGAACTACATCCACAGAGCACGACCTCGCTAATTCTTTTCGATAAATCTCCAACCTCTCCTGTACTCCATTTCGGTGGTGTAATTCAAGCTACGAACCGTCCAGCCCAGCTTTTCCGTTGCTCTCTGTCCTGGCTGGTGGCGAACAAGAGTGGTCCACTGATGTCTTCCTCGTGCGCAAATCAAGCCCCGCACCCTAAAAGCACAAAGCACTGATCCTGATCCTTTTTCTTGTTCTTGTCACCTCATACGCTCCTGCAACGAGCTGAAGGCCGATGGAGCGAGGTAAGAAAAATGAACAAAAATCTCGCGTCACAAAACAGAGAGCAAGAAAGACCGAACAATGCCAGCCCGACGGATCCAGTAGCGGAGCTACCAGACGCTCACAAACACAAACGAAATCATTCCATTTCTCCCTCTCACCCTCCCCCTCCCCGTCCTCCTCCTCCGCACCGCCCACGACAGAAGTCAACAACGACCGCGACAATGGAATCAAGGCATCAAGCACAGGACCCACGAACACACACACATGCCCATAGCAATCATTCCGCATTCCTGCAATGGAACTCACTCTTTCGTGCTGCTGCTGCTGTAGCTCTCTCCGATCCGGCCACCAGGCGCAACGAGTCGAGCCGAGGGAGGACGGAGGGAGAGAAAAGGATCGGCCGGGCGCCTTTGTAGCCAAGAAAGAAGAGCGTGGCTGGGAGTGGAGATCAGAGCAGAGAAGGGCAGGTTTCACTGTCGCGGCTGCGTCTGGCGCATGAGGGAGTGCGGTAGGAAGCTCTCGTCCTCTGAATCCTGCCTCTCGCTCCCTCTCTCGCTCTCTGTCGTTGCCTCTGTTCCTCGCTCGCATCACACAACTTCGCGACTCCTGCCTCTGCCACCGGCGATGTCCGTCCAGTACACGACTGATGGCGCCAAGTGAACCGGGCCCATAATCTGTGGGCCTTCGGGCGCGCCCATCTCCGACACGGCGAAGACAAGAACTCCTGCTCTCAGTTCCTCACCCCCGTAGAAACTCGCGTACGTATTATTAAGAGCCCGCGCTTTCACCGAATGTTTTGTGACCACCGCAATTTGCTGTGACGTTATTTAGTTTTGTGGATGGATAGGCGCTATATGCCATTAGCCTCTGGCGGTGCACGAGGCTCTGAAATCATTCTTGAGGAGGGCATTTTTTTTAAACCCGCAGACTGAGAGGCCTCCGTTCTGAGATAGACTTGTCATCACAGAATGGACCCATTGTTGCTAGGAGGGAGCGACATCTCCCAAGGGGAGATGTCAAGTCTTGACGTCCATTGAATTGAATTGCATGCTAATCCTCGACTAGGGTGCCATGAGGAGATTTGCCCGGACTTCTTCAAGTTGCCATAGCCAGAGTTGTCGACGGCATTGGGCCTGAGAGCCCTGAAGGATAGACAATGAGTCCACATTGTAATGGGTTTTGCTCACCAGGTTCATCCTTGATACGAGTCGATAACTTCGTGTATCATACGTCGTATATACTCTCGAAAGAATTTTTTTCTGAGTTGGTGTTGAAACATGTAAGTGTTTGGACACACTAAGTTGCTTGACCTCATGTTCGTTCTTAATTGAACAACCTATGCTCTTTCCCACATATTCATATTATATCATTTTATTTTTTTCTACTTACTTGGCCCCCCTTTCCCACAGTTTTCAACTTGTCTCGATGTACGGTTACTAGCTCAGCAGATTAAAGTGAAGTCGTACGTGGTCCACAAAAATGATGTTGGACATTCAGAAAGACGGACGGGGGGCCAAATAAATAGCAAAAAGGATGGGAAGATCAATTTCTTCAGAAATTCACAAATTAGAAAAATTAGATGGAAACTCATCTGGTTATGAGAGTGTGAATTATATCGTGTCAGTCTTTAAAAAAAATCAGTTTCAAAGTTTTGCAAAAAATATCCAGATACACGAAAAGTTCACTTAATTGTGCTTATCATGATGGTCGAAAATATTTGAGTTGTTTAAATCTGTCTGTTTAATCATTCAAATGTACAGTGAATGATATTCTTCTCCAAAATTAAGGTTTCCTTTTCTCCATCATTTCAGAAAATTGTATTAGAACGTACATTGAAACTTATTCAAACTTAAAACTTCAAACTTAAACTTCTTAAACTTAAACTTAAACTTATTCAAACTTAAAAATTCACTTCAAATCGACTATAAATAAAAATCTTCTTATCGTAATGGTTAAAAAATCATATACGTATATAAGAACTGGAATGTTCTAAATCATTACAAAATGGATCGGGCAGGTAAATTTTCTTCATGGACTTGTCTTCCAATTAGAAAGCTGGAATTGAGACAATCAACATTCGGATTTATAGCTTAATTATGGTATTTTTGGAGTCATACACTCAATATATTTATAATGTAGAATACCTTACATCACTATACATAAATTAGTTATTTAATTATTATATACTATAAAAATTTCATAAATTTTTATAAAAATTTCTAATTTCTTTCGTAATTTTACTGAATATTCCATCAACTGAAATGATTTTATAAACCATATGATATTGTGCTATAAAACTTATAACTTACAAATGTACTCAAACTGTGTGTATATCTTGATATCTAATAAAAAATAATTCTTATAAATAGATACACGTTAATTTCAAGAAACTGAAGATTTTGATAATGAATTTCTATTTGGTATTGATACTGATATAGTGAAAATACATTATCAAAATACATCATTTCAAAGACTATTATAAAATTAAAAGAGTGAATGTTTTCTAGATTTTCCATATTTTGTATTTTCAGGTTAAAAGTTAACATTCAAAATGATGGGGTTTGTTCACAAAATAAGACGAAACATCCCATAATTTTGAAATAAAAGTGGGAAATTATCCAAAGGTTCCTAAGATGATTTATTGAAAAAACTTGTCATTACATACTTCTCACAAACATATCCAAAATTTTGCCCATGAAACATCTTCAATGACGTTGAAGAGTATAGATTTTAGTATCCGTTGCAAGATGTATTGGACGGTTGTGCGTTGCTTGCCAACGTTACTAAGACAGTGATATGATTAAAAAAGAATAAGCCTTGCAAAAACATAGATTTAACCCGCAAACATAAAGTTTAGATTTTAAATCCATGTAATTAGATCACAAGAGGATTTGAATTTGACTTGGAGCTCATGTCAAGTCATGTATTATTTCAAGCAGAATTTTCTTGGTATTGATAATAATATTGTAAAAGAATCCACTTTTTGCACCATTAACGAATATATAGTTGATTCTCTGATGTTATGCACAGACCGTAAGTATCCAAATATGCATGCAATTGTGTTTTCCAAGAGATTGAAGCCAAGGTTCTCATGTTTCAGTAGAATGGTACCAGGTCACTACAAATTTGGGGAAATTACTTTTCGCCTACAAATACTGGTTTTGTGTATTCCAAAGGTCTCCAACAAGCGAATGACAAAAGAATATACTAAAACCCAATCACAAGATAAGGGGATTGTGAATAACAACATAGCCCCATCCTTGATCAGCCAAGAGAAAATCCAACCCTGACAACAAGACAAGGTGTAGATTTATTACGAGACGTGCAAGTTCACTGTGTGACATCCATTCATCTGATTTTTTTGTCCACTGTGCTTTACATTATATCGATCCATCACGAAGAGGAGCTCTCAAGGTCGTGCATCTTCTCTTGCCATTCGGATGACGGCCACAGTGCCACACACCACACATCTCTCCCTAATTCCCGGATCCTCACAAAGATTGCACTTTAAGCAAGCTTCCAACGGGGTCAGGTGATCCAGGTGTTCCTTCGGTGGTACTGGTCCAGACTGCGGTACAGTAGAACTTATCCCGGACAGAATTCCCTCTGACCGATCTAATCTCATGTTCTTCAACGAGTTCTGAGTTTTCTTGCACAATGCCCACAACATCGACACAATCGGCGTGTCTTACTTTTCTCTCAACCCGAGCGCTCGATCTGGCGTTCTTTCAAGCTTTCTGCTCAATAGTCAGTTCGATACTTTAGGACGGCCTTTAATTTCCTCTTCTTGGATCTGTTGACTCCACCTTCGGTCCACACTTGGATGGAAAGCAGTTATTTTGTTTCAGGCGTTCTGAACAGCAGAGGCGTCCCATCTACTGACCGCTTCTCTGATGACATTCCTTTCCCCAGCTTTGTCTCCCGCCTCAACTTCTTCAACTTGACTGCTTGGGGATACATTTATCTCTTTACATGGATACTTTTCTGCTCATAATCGCTAAGAATTTCGGGCTCGCCTCTTTAGGTTCAAGCGTAGTGATCTCAGGATGAACGGACTGGATCATCGTAACTATCTGATTCGAGTTGTAGACACATCAGTCGAGAATTCGAAAGTCTGTCGTCATGCACTGACCAAAAACTAATGTGCAATTCCTATTGTAAAGATGAAGATAATTTCGTTGATAATTTTTAGTTTTTATCCTGTTCGGTCTACGTTAACCAAGATTTCAATTTTATTATGATAAAAATTTTTGTCTGAATTCATTTTCATTATAAACAAGCAATTCGAATTTACCTTTTCCCGGCAAGTTGAAGGTTTCTCAGTTCAAGGAATTCTCAACCAATATGTTTCTGTACACCAAAAAGTTTCGCTTTCATCTCAACAAATCTGCTTTTAGGCTTCTATCCTATGAACCCTGCTAGATTTACACATTGACGACTAACCATTTATTTGTGCTCCAACCTCCACGTTTCACCTCTATGCTATTATAAACGTGAATCCGCGGATCATCATGCCCTTTGAATATAAATAAGGATTCATGGTTTGCCCTAAACTACTCGGGCCATGTCAAAGCATGGGAAGTGGTTCGCCGATTGAATAATTGATGAGTTCAAAACAAATATAATGCAAAATATGAAAATAACAGCGTAATATCTGTGGAATAGTATGACAAGAAACTACTGTACCTCAGATTTCTGTGAACACTCCCACATAAGAATACTTCAGGTGCAATCAACCTCGTTTTGAGTATCTTTATAATCGTTTGATGACCTTCAAAAATGCATATAATATGATCTTACTGTGCCACTTATAATCATGTCAAAATAAGAATGAAGAAGAGATCATATTTGTAAACAAAACTTTCACATCAAAAGGCATGTGTTTGGCAATCTCATGGTCACACTTGACCAAGAATTATTATCGGAGAGTACAATTTCCACGTTTCTTGGCTCTGTAGACGAAGAAAGAGGAGAGCTGCAGGTACGATTGGTGTAGCAAACTTAAAAGTAACTCTTAGTTACACTACTTTACATGGATAGTGGATGATTGAAGTAACATGAACCGTGAAGCTTAAAGCAGTGTTTGTGTTTTTAGTTTATTTTGCAGTTAAATATATATTTACTTATGTATTTTCTCATATTATGTATTCTGGAAGTACAATACAAGACACTTAAATGTAAATCACTTTCTTGTCGGAGCTTATACACTGATAAACTTGGCTTGAATTGCAGAGAACTAGCATAGGCAGAGGATCGACCATACACACTGGATTATATATTTCGTGATATGGCGGCATTAGTAGAAAAACAATTTTAAAAGAAAAAAAAAGGATGGAGATACCTCATCAAGTTTTGCAAAGTTGCAGCCAAATGGGCTGCGTAGTCTAAGACCCAATTTCATGAAAGACATGTCTTACCACACTTAGAATATCATAACTAACTAATTATATCGGACATTTGATAGAATATAAATAGGAGCATCACCTACCATGAATGCTCTGTTATAGAGTGCACTAACCATTTTCTATAAATACCAATATATGCAATTTCATAGAATAATAAACATAATAAAGTGAAGAGAGATATTTTTGATGCATCGTATGGTTGGCACCCTCTTACAAATACGTAAAAGTTGGCTGAAATGTTGTACTTTGTTTATATATATATATACTAGAGATAATTTATTCATTTTATTCAAATAAAATTTTCATACATACATTTAATTTAGATTCTTGTTCAATAAAAAACCATGTGAAACCTAAGAGTTAAGAAGTTTTAAGATGTAATTATTAATCCAAAATAAATTTTAAAAACTTTCATCTACCTCCTAGAATTTGGATGACATATGAGGAGTTATTATTCTTGTTGTAACTTTCATATGCAGGACAATTTAACTAGATCTTTCAGATTTTTTTTTTATATCTAATAATATCGTGTACAATCTATGATGGTGTGAATTCAAACAACTGTGAAGCGCTGATAAATGTAGGAATAATGATGAACCATCGATATGTCCATAGAGATGGGGCAAGATATTAATTCAATGACTCTTTATTATTCATATGCATGACATATCAAGATATCTGACTTTACATACTAATACACGGATGTATTTCAAAGACAAAAAGAGAAGATAACATTAGTAGGACTAACGTTACATGAAATACTCTAGGGATGACGCGACATATTTTCTACATCTCACTGCTCCAAAGTTCTACTCCTCACTATAAATTAGAATGTAAATTATGTCTTTTCTAAAGCTCACTCCATAGCGTGAGCGGCCGGTTTAGGGTTCTCAAATAACATATTCCTAGTACCTCTTTCATATTTCAAAATTAAACCAATTCCATAGATCTTAGACCCACATTATGAGATACAAGAAAAACAAACCATGCTGACTTCCTCATGTGATCACAAGCCAACTCATTGGGATGTAAGATACAAATCAGTCTAGTATCTCATGAAACATCCAAGATCTATGTATCGACGTAAGTATATAACCCTATAATAAAGAAGGTTTTAATGACTCTCAAATTCCTATAAATATATAAAAAATGATCAACCAAAATATTAACTTAGCCTTTGGGAGCCTTGAGTTTACATATCACTTATGCATATCAAGTGATCTGTTTTGTGCTGGACCTTTAGGTTCGTAAAGAGTTGTTGACGTACTGGACTTAGTGTATCTCACACTACCCTGGGTGGAGGTTTGAGTACACTTTGTATTTTAGATAGTATAAAAGAACGGAATTTACATAAGATATTCTATGATGCATCCAGTCCCAACTGCGAAACTCACCATCTCATTGATATAATGTTAACTATCATGACTCTAATGTCTAATTACATTCAGAAATCAAAATTGCGATGTGAGTACATTTTCAACTAAACTCCAATACAACTAACGCATGAGAAACAAAAGAGATTGAAATAATAAACTAACAAAATCCACGGGAACTCCTAGGAATTTTGAGAAAACGTACTGAAAACCTTGCAAAATTATCTTAAACACACAAGAAAGCCTAGTCACGTTTTATCTCTGCAGTATTTATATATATATATATATATATATATAGAAATATGAATAACTACATATATATATCGGAACCTGAAATAGAAAACCAAGAGCAATACCCCAAAGTGTTGAAAAAATACTCCCATTCTACTAATGTACTCTTCGCTGCACCCTACCTACCTCTCACTTGCTTAATCGGGACGTTGCTCTAACATCTCATAAGTCAATACGAATTATATATATATATATATATATATATTCATTTATGATAACTGGTTTTAGTGGTATTCCATACCTGGTTTCATGGGATGGAGAAGCCCGCGTCTCATACGCGGCCCTGACCATCGTCGGCTTTTCTGAGGTTTGAAATTCAAAGTCCAATTTTCGAAACCTGCCGGTCGGAGTTCTTAAAGGTATCGAAGCTTTTCGAATGGCACGCTGGAGAGTTGGGAGCACGGCGTGCTCCCAACTCTTATAGATCTTGGGCGTGCTGAGCACGCCCAAGATCCTTCCAGTGGAGACCAACCACAATCGCCGGCTCCATGAGCGCACGCTCTTCGTGCACCAAGCGGATCAGCCACACGGGTGGCGATGGGTGGAGTACGATCCCGATGGCGAAAATGCAGCGAAGGAAACCGAAGGGAGAAGGGCCGATGAAAGATCGCGAGCTCTTGATTCGAGAAGACTTGCATAGATTGACGACTCGAGCTCAACCTAGCCGACAATTGACATCCGAGTGTGCTCGAATCAAGATGTCGAAGATTGGTCTCTCTCCTCCCTCGTCCGATAGCAATGTACCCAGTGCTTAAGTACATTCCGATGCCAGAATTACCGCATAAGTCCATAAAGTCACGCACCTTGATCTGCAAGATGCAATGCGGCAGGCCCGTGCTGACAAATTCTCGAGGGTGCTTGCTGGGTGCAGAGATCAAGGGTTTCCATTATAAACTTGACTCTCCTTTTCTCCAAAGCACACATGCATTATCATGCATGAAATACGACAACCTGTATCACCCGGTGATTTTCTTAGGCCAACTACAGTTTACCTTAAGGTGAATGATTGCTATTTTAACTTTGCTCTATCTCCAAACCTTCCATGGAATCAGTTGACATGTATTCATGAAAGATACACATTTCTTTTATCGTTGTTTAGGCGAACATTCTTGTGTGGAGGACTATCTTCTTGCACCCGAGAAGTGTGCTCTTCTATAAGTATGTATGATGACCAGTGAAGATAAACAAGAAGAATCCATGAGCCACTTTGTCTCTACATCATACATAGCTGAACCTGAAGCTCAAGAATTTGGAGCTTCACATAAAACAGGCTACTGCGGTGGTAGGAATTCCATCTTTCTGTTGAAAGATGGATCTCCTACCACCGCAATAGTCTGTTTCAAAATCAGGTTCATTTCGGAACATTCTTGTGTGGGGGACTATCTTCTTGCACCCGAGAAGTGTGCTCTTCTAGAAGTATGTATGATGACCAGTGTAAATAAACAAGAAGAATCCATGAGCGACTTTGTCTCTACATCATACATAGCTGAACCTGAAGCTCAAGAATTTGGAGCTTCACATAAAACAGGCTACTGCGGTGGTAGGAGTTCCATCTTTCTGTTGAAAGATGGATCTCCTACCACCGCAATAGTCTGTTTCAAAATCAGGTTCATTTCGGAACATTCTTGTGTGGGGGACTATCTTCTTGCACCCGAGAAGTGTGCTCTTCTAGAAGTATGTATGATGACCAGTGTAAATAAACAAGAAGAATCCATGAGCGACTTTGTCTCTACATCATACATAGCTGAACCTGAAGCTCAAGAATTTGGAGCTTCACATAAAACAGGCTACTGCGGTGGTAGGAGTTCCATCTTTCTGTTGAAAGATGGATCTCCTACCACCGCAATAGTCTGTTTCAAAATCAGGTTCATTTCGGAACATTCTTGTGTGGGGGACTATCTTCTTGCACCCGAGAAGTGTGCTCTTCTAGAAGTATGTATGATGACCAGTGTAAATAAACAAGAAGAATCCATGAGCCACTTTGTCTCTACATCATACATAGCTGAACCTGAAGCTCAAGAATTTGGAGCTTCACATAAAACAGGCTACTGCGGTGGTAGGAGTTCCATCTTTCTGTTGAAAGATGGATCTCCTACCACCGCAATAGTCTGTTTCAAAATCAGGTTCATTTCGGAACATTCTTGTGTGGGGGACTATCTTCTTGCACCCGAGAAGTGTGCTCTTCTAGAAGTATGTATGATGACCAGTGTAAATAAACAAGAAGAATCCATGAGCCACTTTGTCTCTACATCATACATAGCTGAACCTGAAGCTCAAGAATTTGGAGCTTCACATAAAACAGGCTACTGCGGTGGTAGGAGTTCCATCTTTCTGTTGAAAGATGGATCTCCTACCACCGCAATAGTCTGTTTCAAAATCAGGTTCATTTCGGAACATTCTTGTGTGGGGGACTATCTTCTTGCACCCGAGAAGTGTGCTCTTCTAGAAGTATGTATGATGACCAGTGTAAATAAACAAGAAGAATCCATGAGCGACTTTGTCTCTACATCATACATAGCTGAACCTGAAGCTCAAGAATTTGGAACTTCACATAAAACAGGCTACTGCGGTGGTAGGAGTTCCATCTTTCTGTTGAAAGATGGAACTCCTACCACCGCAATAGTCTGTTTCAAAATCAGGTTCATTTCGATACATCAGACGACATCATACACTATGAATACTCTTCTTTATTGGATAATGACTTGTTGTAGTGTGTCAAATCATACCTTTCGAAACACTTGCCAAGTACATGCAATGTCCAGCAACAACTACCAAAAGGCTTGCGTGACCAACAAGACATTTCCCCGATCAGAAAGGTGCAGGTTATTTGAGCATTAACCTGATAAGAACTCTGCTTTGTGCTCATCATCACTAAGTTTGATGAGACGATACAGTACTGGAACAGATTAGAATTGAGAGACAGAGTCAGTCACTCATCAGATCAAGGTATATGCAAGAAAGAGAGAAGATCTCTCAGAACAGCAGAGTCACTTCAGTGTACAACGGTCACTGGCAACATAACATCGATGTCCGACGGTTTTCTTCCTCTTAGCAGATATGGACTCCCGAGGAGACAGCATGAAATCATGCCAGACCACAGACCTTAACTTACCAAAACCTTGTCAATTGAAGGAAGCATGGATGTCTGATTCTTTGAGATGGTCGTCTGGTAGTCAATAGTTTCTACCTGTGCCTTCCATAGTAAGCTTAGTGTCACGTTTATTTAAGTATTGTTTCTGTGATGTTCAATTGCACAAATCCGAAAACCTGAGGTCCTTGTCTAATATAGGTTACTCTCAATATGGTGCTGCCGATTTTAATCTACTATCTTCAGGTTTTCATCCACTTCCTGCATATTAAATCTGGAGGAATTTTTCTATTTCGGATGCAGCTTGGTCTCATGAAACTTCTTGAGCCCGTGCTCGTTTCAAATTGGATCTCCAATTGGTTCGTTTCCGTACCTTCATAACTCTCGATTTTTTCTAGAATCAGTACGCACATTCTGCAGATGCTCCACTTAGTATCGTAACATACTCACCTGCCTGGCTTTACATCTCTATTTGTTCTTTCAGAAGCGAGACAGATATATCATTGCGTGCGTGAACTACAAATTCCACTTTTCCTGAAGACGATTTATCTTTTACATTTTTCTCTAGACGAATTCTCCCCTCGTAAACTCAAGTCGCATGCTACCGGTCAAATTTTTGATTAAGTTCTCTACTTTGACTGAGTGCTTTGCCGCTCTAGCTGTTGCAAAAGGATCAATGTGACAACTCTGTCTCTCTTCACACAAGCGTGCCTGCTGAGCTAATTAGATTTTGAGAGGTTTGTTTTGATTGGCGAATAAAAGTTGTTCATCACGATTTTCAATGTCCTTACGACCTCTTACTTCACTGAAATCTTCCTTGACCCGATCTCTTAAAACATTGAGACATTTCCCTGAGAAGTGTTCAACTGTGCAGAGTGTTGATAAACCGATTGGACGGGGTGTCTGGACTCGAGAGATGTCTGGGTAATGTCCCCGAGCCTTGATTCTTGATGTCTCTTACATACGTTCTCAACGTTACAGCAATTTTTTTTATAATCGATTACATAAATTACGATACTTTCTACTTTCTTTGGATTCACTGATGAGGATCTTGCCACTATCATCCCATTATCTTCCTTCCTACTCCCTCCTGAGTCATAAATCTATTGAGCATTTTCGTTTCGTTACTAGTTTGTCTTCTCCAGACATCTAGGAGTATTTCTAAATCAGACATTCGGTGTGTTCTAAAAGGATCGACAGTCTTGACATTTTTAGTTTCGCGGTCTATTTCAAAGATGTCATCATCCTATTCCAAAATTCTTGGAGATTAGCAACTTGTATGCTGACAGATTGAATGAGAGAGCAATCCGGATCCATGTAGGCGAATAAGGTAAGGACGTAAATCTGATTAAGACAGACCATTACGATATCCCAAAAATCAAAGAAAAGTACGGCGTAGCGCCGTATAGAGTAAAGATAGAAAGATCGACATATCACGACACATTTATACTTACTGACTTCAATCTTGGTCTGTATTTTCCAGATCGATCAACCTCTTCCGAGCTTCTTGGACGGTGCCTTCATGCGAGGAGAATAGAAACATTTGAGGTGTGTCGACAGATCCAAATCTAGATCTACAGGAACATTTCCAGAGTTGAATCGAGTCTAGCTACATAGGTGAACGCGACTTGTCAGAATTCAGTTGAATGGGTTGATAGTTAGATTGAATTCTCTTTCTTCCTCCTATTCCGATATAATCTGCTCGTGGAGATAAGTTTACAAGCCTTGATTTCATACTCGTTATGTATATTGGAATAGGTAACGCAGTCTTGTAGCGAGAATCTGGAGAAATGTGATGTGCAGAGCTAGGCCTTCAGGTGAGAAGAAAGTTCGACGCGTAATGGTAGTAGATTTCATTTATCGGAGAGAAGTAAAAAGCTGCAATTTAGCAGATTGGTGGAAAGTTTTCAATGCTCTGAGTTTCGAGGACTATTGGCTGTCTTCCTAGCTCTTCGCATTGCACGACTGTAGCTTGTGTACGGATGTGTCACAAGTCTATTTGTACATGGGACCAGCTAGAATTGTACTATGTAAACAATGAAGTACAAACAAACTGGTCAACAATAAAATTTTCTTGTCTATTTCTACGACATAATGTATGGCATTGCGGACCAACATTCCAATGGTGAATGAAAGGTTATGACGAGAGATTCTGCCGATGGATGAATCCTCCTGTATCATCTAAATATATCCATCTATGCCTCAGAATTCGATTTTGACTCTTAGCATGAAAAGAAGCCATCCAATACAGGAAGAGGAGAAATGACAGAAAGTTCGGTCCTTATCAGGTCGTCAAGCGTTTATTTCAAAAATCATTCATCGAAAAACTTTATTGCCATTTCTGGCAACAAAGAATTTTGTTTCTGGTTGTTTCTTCGAATGTCACAAAGTTCCTCCCATCTAATAGCGTACTGCACATCCGTCAAGTTACGGAGATACACTTCCAACTCTTACACTATGTTGTGCAGATGATTCCACGACATGGGTTTCACCCATCCTCCAGATGCTTTGCTGAGACTGTCAACTTGACGCACCTCCATTGACAGTGGAAAATTAACTCAGTGTGATGACGTTGACATCTTACAGTATCAGTGTGGCGAAGTCGACTACTGAAGTCCTGCAAAGGATGCAATGTGAGGTCTAAATGTCAAACGACTACTTCAAATCAAGACGGTGAGCTTTATCGACGCCGTTTACCTTTATGGATAAAACTGAAACACAATTTCGGATAGAAGACAGTTCAGCAGTGTAAGGATATACATATTTTAATCGAAATGCAGTTCCACCTAAGAGATGAAATAAGTACAAATGTGGCATGATGTGGAGGAGATTTCTAAAGCTTCTCTGCAGATAAAATTAGTAGTTCGATATTCACGCCCGCGATCTACAGGAAGATCCTGCAAAGTCAGTAATTAGAATTACGTATCTTCTCACCTGTACCACATATTTTCAGCAATTGACCCAGCACCAAGCTTGTGACAACTTGGATCTGAATTTATATAATTATTGCAAAGAGGCGAAAGTGTTGAAGGAACGAAATCCTGAAATATGTTGACTAATTCGATGAACTTCTTTGTTCAGGAGAAAATAGGCCGGAGAGGAAAAGGGCCCCACGCGCAGTTCGCATCAGGTTTGGTTCTCGGCCGAATTTGGTAAGATCCACTTTCACAAACTGTGAAAATACATGCTGAAAGGTTTTGACTGTCAGTCAGCGCGAAGAAGGTATTTCTTATGAACTAAACCGGAAGGTTTTCTTTCGAAGAAATGAAATGCAGAAATTCAAGCAAAACAGTTCTCTCTTCTTCCCTTCCGGCACGACGAGCGAGGCACTTATGAGCAGTCCGGGTCCTTTAGAATCTCCTGAATATGAAGGAAGTGACTCTACCTTACTGCAAGATGGCAAATGAGGCAAACATGAGCAGTTTGAGACACAGGATCTGATCTAAAATGTCGACGTCTCAAATGTTTCCCGAGGAACAAACTCAAGTTATGACACATTCTAGGAATCTGCTTTGCTGAGTGTCTTTGCTCTGGAAGGTAAGAATAGCCACGACTGTTCATTAGAATTTGATACGACCCAGCGGACGATATCATCCCGGCTCCACATCCTTAAACACAAGTGGTACTATTTTGCAGCGAGGGTGCTGTAGCACCTCGTCTACGACTCAGCATTACAATATGAGCGACGCGCATGCACGTGCCCCAAGCGATTCAACCAAGTTCCGCACGAGATCGTACTTAAATTATTCCACTTGTGAGGGCGATACCAGCTTAGACGCAAATGCCAGTGCTATAACAGTGCTTGTCCTGTATTCGTTCAGACCACTGGTTCCACGTCCCTAACTATCTGAAAGTAAAAACAGTTTCATGCCAACCATTTACAGCACTGACCTGGTCTGCTTGTTACCTGCACCTTAATCTGAGCTTTGGGGGTAAGCTTGCAATTCAATACTCGTCTTCATTTTGCGAAAAAATCAGCTATTCCGAATCACTAGCTGCTTGTAATTTCTTCTATTGAGTGAGTGATTCACTGACCTTGGTCAAACTTGACTGCTGGATTCATTCTTGGAGTGGTTAAAAATTAGCATCCGGTTTTGCATTCTTCCTTTTTTCTGGACGTCGTAGGCCACCCTGAACAGCTGACTGGAGCTGAAGCACGGATCCTTCGGAGCATTTATTCCGATCCTATTTTTCACAAAACAAGGCCTTGCCCTGATAGTCTTGCGAAAGAGCAAGCTCGAAGAACATGAATGGTTGCTATTCTCGGTGTGAGCTCAACAGAGACTCACGAAGCCAAATGAGCTATTATTGAATTACGAAGGGGCTATATTTTGAACCCTTTGGGCCACCGCCGTAATTTGACACGGGAATTGAAAGATCGGAGGGCAACTAGTTCGCGATCTTCGTGCATGAAATATAGCACCCCTTGAGCCCGAAGCGGAAATGTTCCGACCGCTTGCTCCACTGCCACTGCAACTGGGTGTGGAATGAACCCCTTCATACTGAACCAGGAGATTCACCTTTACACCAGACGCATGGTTGGCTCTTCTGACAGCATCTGGCTAGCTAGCTGGGCCGATCGAAGAAGAGTCTAGCGTCGTACTGCTTCGATCTTCCACTGTATAAATTCCTGTCGATTGTAGAGAGAATTTGGCATTAGTGGAGTGGGCAGAGAGGGAATAGTCGGAGCATTCTATTTTTGGCCCAGTGTTCGTTCCGTCTGCTTGAATATATAAACGCCTCAGTGTGCCTCTGTATATTGATCCATAGCATCCAATCACAGGCTCTTCTTCTACTTCTTGTGGCAATCTTTAAGGTTCTCAAAGATAGATATCCGAAGAGGTCGACAACTGCTAGCTAGCTTTTCAAAATGGGTAAAACAGATGATGGAATCGTCGAAGGAGAAAGCAGTAGTGGTTCTAGACCTGGTGCGATTTCCAAAATCACAGATGCCGCTCGTCTTTCGACGGGCGGCTCTCAAAAGGTGAAATCACCCCTGGCCCTGAGCGTTCACAACAAATCTATGCGCCATGGAGGCAGCAGCAGGGGCAGCAGACGCTTGGGTTTGCGTCGGGTTGATTCACTGGAAGAGGAAGCCAATCGCGTGAAAGCTATGGATTCACAGACTCACGGGGTAAGCTCAGTTTGGTCATTTATTAATCTGTCTCTCCAAAAATTTTTTGTTTCCCTGTCTTTGCATATTGCTGATCAGTAGTGCATCTTGTGCCCGTGAAGAAACATGAAGTCGAAGTTACTGGTATCTCTAATCAGGCAACAAACTGGATGCTTTTACGTCCTACTTTCAAGTTCTAGTGAACCACATTATCCTTCGACCTTACTTCTGTCTAAAGCATCAGAGCCCGTGCTCCTGATTAGATTACATACAAGGCCATAAATATTTCCAAGACGTAGTCTTCCCACTCTAAGCAGAAGACGGTAGCTGTATTACTATTGCTATGAGGGGCTGGTCGTGTATATGTATATTGTATGTATTTCACACTTGAAGCTAAAATCGTTGCAGCAGAATTGTCGTCTCATGGTTCATCTGCTACCAAAATGTAGACCGCAGCTCGACATATCTCGTTCTTCAGTACTGTTGTACATGACCTTTGTCTGATTCTGCAATAGCTTTCGTAGCTTTCAGTCTCTGAATTAATAACTCACGAATCTTGCAACATCTTTTTCTGGGTTTGTTTCCAAACTGATCATCTCATAGTAGTTCTCACTGCATAATCTGGTAAGGCGTTTTCATATTTTTTACGTTTAAACTGTAATTCCGTTCGGTGTTCTGAACAGTTCAGGGAGTATCACGCGTAATACCTAAGAATCCCTCGTAATGGTCGAATCTATGACAGGAGAGTGCAACGTACATTCGTCAGATTTTTAGATTTACTACATCTAGTAATCTCTCTAAGAAAGACCTTAGAATAAACACATATGGCTGAGGGGCCTAGGCAAGTTTGACAAGGAAAAAGTAAAAAAAATGAATTTGCGTGACACATATAAGACTAGAGTATGTGTTGTAAGAAGGTAGACAATATGAACACTCCAGGAGATTAGCCAAAGCCAGCTACTTGGGCCCCCTTGGGCCCCCTCAGCAGGACAGGCCATGGTCCTGCATGAAGCTACCTTCCATCTGACTAACTTTACGGCATGCGTGAGCATGTGACTTGTCTCTTATCATCACTGCATGTCCTGTCAATAAGATTCATTGGAATCAGGAATGGTGAGAGTGTAGAATCTTTAAAAGACATATTCCCTTCCAGAAAGACATGCAGCCTTTATCACTCACTCACACCAGAATTCTAACCTTTCACCTATAGCTGATATCGAGTTTGAATTGTCTGCTTTGTGGTCAGAATCAAGATTTGCCCTGGGCGGTCACGCTCTCGCTAGCATACCAGACGATCGGGGTGGTTTATGGCGATCTCGGGACATCACCGCTATACGTTTTCGCAAGTGCTTTTCCAGATAAGACTCCATCGAGAGATGACATTCTTGGTGCCCTTTCGATCGTCATATACACGTTCACACTCATACCTCTCATGAAATACGTCTTCATCGTGTTGCGCGCAAACGACCAGGGCAATGGTGAGTAAAATGACAGGATACAGATGCATATTCTTGATAAAATAACTGATTGTTACATCAAAACGCTATCGAACCAGTACATGAAAAAACCACTACTCCTGAGGCGATCTAGAATTGATATGCACCAACGTATATATGTACTTGATTGATGTAAGAAATAGTATGCTTCTTACACAAAATTAGGCATGGACGAAAATCTCACTCTATATTAGAAACAAAAATCTCATTAGTAAATTTCAATATGCGTGACCTCGATGTGCAGGTGGAACGTTCGCATTATACTCCTTGATTGCTCGTTTTACGAAGATAATGGTCTCGCCAAATCAAGCGCCGGAAGATTCAGAAGTATCCTCGTATAAGCTGCACACTGCTTCTAATACCTTAAAGCGGTCTCAGTTTCTCAAAGAAGCCTTCAGGAAACACCTTTGGATGAGAAACACCATTCTGACGATTGCCATCTTGGGAACATCCATGGTCATTGGAGATGGAGTTCTTACTCCCTCAATATCAGGTATTGTGGCAGCATGGTTAAGTTCCACTCACAATGTTCGGTGTTCAGTTTGTGACTTCCATAGTTTTGAAGTCGATCATTCGTAAGGCTACGAAGTTTTTGACCTCAAGTGAAGTTCTGACTACGCCGTTAACAGGGTTCAATTTAACGCTTGCTTTGACCAGAGATACTGCATGATTATAATTGAGGTTTACTGATCTTTCTACAACTTGACTTTTCTACCAGTGCTGTCAGCTATACAAGGAATTAAGGTCCAGAAACCGGATCTCTCTCAAGGTAATTTTTCTATCAGTGTCAGGATAGGAAGCCTTTCGTATATCTTTAACCAGCTTGGAGGATAGAAATTGGTTGAAAAGATGTTACGCAATCTGATTTTGAAGGCCTTAATAGTGCATATTAACCTTGTTGCATAGGCAACCGGGTAGTTTCCATTCTGATATGTACCAACAATGACTGCTGATAGATTGCCTATGTTCGTGTGACAGATATCGTCGTGATTATCACGATCATCATTCTTATTGGGTTGTTTTCGATCCAAAGATACGGTACGGATACAGTTGGATATATATTTTCGCCTGTTGTAACAGTCTGGTTGATCTCCATCGCGTTGATCGGGATCTACAACATTATTGAGAAGGATCACACCGTGTACAAAGCCTTCAATCCTTATCACATGTATGACTACCTCGCGAGAAACAAGAAAGAGGGCTGGATCTCTCTTGGAGGACTCGTGCTTTGCGTTACAGGTAAGCGTTTTCTCATAACATCTGCTGTCAGTTAAGTTCACTTGAGGTACATTCCTCAAATTCTCCATATCGATCAATGCCGATATGTGAAAATTAATTTGACGTTCTTGCACCTGGAGGACTAATTGACTGAACCATTTATCGGTGGTATGAGTTAGTGTTATGAGGAAAAGCAACGTCCGATGCTATAATTCGAACATTCGCATTCCTCCGAAGTCGCGTCGAAGCATTCTCGGATGTAGAATAGGATGTGAGTCATTCCATTTCTCATCTTTGTCCGTCCTCATCTTATCTAGGAACGGAGGCTATGTTCGCCGATTTGGGCCACTTCTCAGTCGCAGCGATTCAGGTAAATTTGCTATGCTGAGATCAAAGACAGGAGGCCAAATCTTTGCATTGTGGACCGTAAACAAAGTTCTGGGTTAACTCCCCAGATGTACCTGTGTCTGACAGAAGATTGATACTCTACTGTCGATGGTAAATGTATTGTGCAGATTGCATTCACAACGTTGGTGTACCCTTGCCTCCTGGTTGCTTACATCGGTCAGGCAGCATACCTTCTAAAGCATCCCGAGGCCGTCGGCGAGACATTCTACAATTCCATTCCAGGTAATTCTAGGCACACGAGTAACTCATAAGGCCGAAAGCAAGGGCAATATTTTATCGTGCACTGTGAGACAGTTTTGATGTTGAGGGTGTTCTGATTATCGGTACTTTTGATCATGACCAACACAGAGAAAGTCTTCTGGCCTATGTTCGTGGTAGCGACATTTGCTGCTATCATTGCAAGTCAAGCCATGATTTCTGCAACATTCTCCATAGTAACTCAGGCTATGACGCTGGGTTGTTTCCCAAGAGTGAAAGTCGTCCACACAAGCAAGAAATATGTTGGACAAATCTACATTCCAGATTTAAATTGGCTCATGATGGTTCTCTGCATCATCATTGCGGCTGGCTTTCGGGACACAACTCAGATCGGAAATGCTTATGGTGAGAATTCAGAACTATGTACAACCTCATCTTCTTACTGTGCCGATTTGCTGACTCAAATAGAAACACGAGATCCCCAAAAGCACCTCGCACTTCCCAACGCACAGGACTGCTGGTCAATGTTGTGCATGACTGAAAGGTGAAATCGCTACGTAGACTCTGGACGGACGCCACAACTGCTAGCCTCGGTGGATGTTACACTCCATTAGTTGCCACTTAAAGCATTGCCAAGCCACCGAATTCGGAGTGCAGAGTTGATTCGATGAAGAGGTTCTAACTGTCACCTGTTGCTGCGCATGGTCACAGGAGTTGCCGTGGTATCAGTATTCTTCGTGACGACCAACTTGACAACCCTCATAGCCATCATGATCTGGCAGGTTCCTCTGTACTTTGCTCTCCCTGCCTACGTTACTATCGGCTCTGTCGAGCTCCTGTACTTTTCGTCGATCATGTACAAAGTCCCCAAGGGAGGATGGGTTCCATTGGTGTTCGTGGCAATCTTCTTCAGCATCATGTACACGTGGAACTATGGTAGACGCATGAAGTACGATTACGAGGTGAAGAACAAGGTGTCTCTGGACTGGGTGCTCGGGCTAGGATCCAACCTCGGAGTTCAGCGAGTACCTGGAATCGGTCTGGTGTACACAGAGTTGGCCCAGGGCGTTCCCACCATCTTTCCCCATCTGATCAGCAACCTCCCAGCCATGCACTCCATCCTCGTCTTGGTGTGCGTCAAGAACCTGCCGGTTCCGAATGTTCTGGACGAGGAGCGATTTCTGATCCGCCGGATCGGCCCCAAGCAATTCCGCATGTTCCGATGTGCAGTCAGGTTCGGGTACAGAGATGTCCAGGAAAGGAAGACTTATCACTTTGAGCAGCAACTGATTCAGAATCTCGCCAACTTCATCATGACAGAGGTCACGAACCCACCAGACCTGACAGTCGCCTTGGGGCAAGATGTTCCAGATCTGCAGAAGGGACTGCTGGCTGCAGAGGAGCTGGAAGGGACAATCAGAGCGTCTAACATCATGAGATCAGCCAGGCGAATCTCCAGAGACGTAGATGATGAAGATGAAGATTCATCCTCGGAAAGTGAGAGTCTGGCCTTGAAGGCCCCGAAAAAGATTGACGCCGGAATCGAAGAGGAGATTGAGTTCATTGACTCTTCCAGGCATGCGGGTGTGGTGTACCTCCTGGGTCAAACAGAGATCAGAGCACGCAAAAGCTCGTCAAAGTTCCGCAGATTCCTGATCAACCACTACTACAGCGCCCTCAAGCGAAACTGCCGAAAATCCACGTTGGCGCTCAACATTCCGCATGAGAGGCTCCTTCAAGTCGGCATGATTCATTATATCTAGTCCTCTGTCTAGCTAGCGACTGCATGGAGCTTCAACGATGGCGCTGACCTTTACCACGCAGACACCACTCAATCAAGGGGTACGGTATGATCGTCGATCACTACACTGAAGTTATGTACTCCAAAGCATTATTTCATGTACTCCGTACGTGGATCGGATGTATTATGCATCGGATCGAAGCATTGTTGAGTCTGTCTGAGCTTACCGATTAGTCCAAGCGCTTGGAGAGATACTAGACTGCAGACTTCTTCAACAGTTGAAGAGTTGAAGGATTAAGTTCCCAGATTCCAGTTCAATATACGCTTGGATCTTTCATATACAGCTCTTGGCAAACACAATCCAACTAGATAGGTACAACACTCGATCTAACTCTAGGAAAGATGATTTAGTGAGCCATTTCATAGAGACCGGAGGAGTCCAGCCCTTGCGTTCAGGGGTTTTCTGAGCTTCAGGACCTTGAGCCTGTTCAGCCTGAACACACTGACACAATCGCTGCATTCTATAGAAACTGAGAAAATTTCCACACCAGCCAGTAGATGGTGCAGACGTTGAGTAGAACTTAAATACACACAGTTTCGTCCTTACAGACACCAAGCTGACACACGCGTACTGTGAGGCAGCAGTTAATAAAGCGGGACTCTGTCAACTTCAGTAGAATGGAAATGTCTACCTCATGATCAACAAAGCAATTAAAGGTTTTTTTAATCTTAATTTAGCACGAGACTGTATTCGAACCAAGCGTCTTGGGATTTAGACTTAGTGAGTAGTTTGGGTTCAAATTTTACATAGATTCCTTTTTATTTCTTTCATTCAAGAATAAATTGGATATATAAGCAGCGCGCGATACGTCGATGCTTATGTCTTTGAAGTCAATTCTCGTCAAAATTCTGTTTTCTTGGGAACTGATCAGCACCTCTCTAATTGATACCATCAGGTGCATAGAATTAATAAACATTCCAATTCTTGAGTCCGGAATTTTAATGAAGTGATAGAAGAACACAAATGAGTGGGAGTTTGGGTCTTGCAGTAACCAAATTCGAAAGATGAGTTGGACTTTTAGATGTAAATTCGACTTCGAACTGCAAATAATTTCAAGTTCATATAAGTACTATGAATAAGTTATTTTTCTCTTTCAAGTTCACATTCATTTTGAAAGATTTATTCATTTAATGGTAAAGTGAGGAATCTGAAGATATGAATCTGTGTTCACAAACATAATTCTCGAATTCTCTAAAATTTATTTTATGTATAGGTTATCTATAATTGGGTTCAAGGATCCTAAATCCGAGAATCAATTAGCCCATATTATTCCTTAAATTTTTTTCTATTCTTATACAAATCTGCATTCCTAAGAGTTGTTCTTGACGTTCATAGTTTGTCAACGAGCAACTATATTCAGATAAGAAATTATGGATAAAATGAGATAGCAATTTAAATGGTAAGCTCTTTAACTTAAATAATTTAGATCAAACGATTTGATATGATATTTTCATATCACTTCAGAAATACAAAAATCTAGACCAGATGGTAAATAATTTAGATCAAACGATCTAACATGATATTATCATGTCACTTCAGAAATACAAAAATCTAGACCAGGTAGACATGACATACATGAGCTCACAGTTCATTTTCTTAAACTGTACCTTCCTGTGCCTGTAAGCCAAGATCAAGTGTAGTCTTCATCTATGGCATGCGCACCTCGGAGAGCCGGCATCAAGCTCTGTTTGCCCAGTTGTCTCCTACTAAAACTCCTCGCTTGTATATAGAAGATCTTGAGCAGCTGTAGTGGGGGCCAATGCGCTTCCTAACCTGTAAACTTCAAGCCGATACGGATCAATCAATGAGCTCATGTGTGATGTGTTCTTGGACAGTTCTCACGATCTCTCCTGATCATCAACCTAATTACCACAAGTGCTGAATTTCATCCTTTATGAGACATATCTAGATGCATAAGGTGATAACCACAACTTCTACGAAACACATACACATATAAGCGAGAGAGAGAGAGAGTAAATGTCTTTTTGACGATGTAAATGATTCGTAAAATTGTAGATTTTTGCGCAGAGCACGGAAGTTTGTGGTTTCTTCCCTATTGATATGATTGTATGGGCACGGTTGTACGATACATCTTCATATTTCAATTTTAGTCTTCATCCATTTCAATGTAAGATATGCTGGATCTTTACTCGTGGTAGGCTTATTCTCAGAAGTTGCATTCACAGAGCTTGAGCAGACACCTCGTCTGCCGGCGTCCTCAAGGGGATCGAACTCAGATTTTGTTCCACCCGTAGCTGAGGAAGGTCCAGATGATTCGTAGACTGATTTTGAGTGGCAATGCAAGCAGTTCCAATGTACAGGTCGAGCATCGTGTATGACGTGATTCAATTTATGTCTCCCATTTGTACAGCCTAGTTTCCACCTAGATCAAGACATTCCGTCAGTTCCACAAGATATTCTTCCCGAATTGTCAATCTCTTAGTATTTGACTTCCACAGAGCAGATGTAATGACGTCCCATAAGACAACTGATGTTTCTCGACAGGGAATCTTATCTTTGAATATTCGTTCTAGAATTCCTTCTCACGCTGGTAGAGTTGTTCTCGTGTTCATACTATTCTCTGCAGTTTAACGAGAAATTCCTTTACGATAAATTCATTTCTATAACTAGAAGTGAATTCAGCAATTTGTAACAAGTCTGCGTAAGTGGCCAGCTCTGGCTACTTAAGTAGCCAGAGCTGGCCACTTACGCAGTCTTGTTACAAATTGCTGTGTGACTACCTTGATACGGAATCGTTAAGTCACGTCTGAATCGCACTACTTCTTCAGCCAAAACAGGCTCTTCTCATTAGAAGTTCTCAGTTATCAGAATGTATGTTGTAATAATGGACGATCACTTTCACATTTCACAATTTTATGCTCGACTATGCTGCTCAGGAATGCGACTGAAGATAGGCAGACATAATCCGCTATACTGAAAACACATGTGAAGTGAGCAAACCTTGTATCTTGTAAGTGAAGCCCCAAATGCATTCGTTATGGAGCCAGCGTCCTTAATAGTCTTCGTATCCATTCGAGAATCGAATTGATGGTATGGTTCCGACTGATAGCTTCCAGATAAGTTCGACAGATTTCACAACGACAACTTGTGAAGTCATAGTTTGAAATTGGGGGTTGCACAATAATATGTTTGGCCTTGAGACTAAAAACGGAAAGATATCGGTACAAGGCATGAACGTGTAGTTTTGCCATGACTGGTTGAGGGTGTACTGTAGATGAACATTTATTGGTCACTATGTTCCAAGATACAATTAAAATTGTAGGTACTTCAAAGTAATGCAGTATTCTACGCTTCTCCCTTGGGTCCATGTAAGGTAACAACGTTGGAAGGAGGTACAATCACATATCTTATGTCTCAAGAAGGGTAGAACGATGAAACTAGTAACAGAGCAATGTATTGGCGGCTTAATTAAGCTGGAAGACCTGGAAAACTCGTTTCTGCAAGTCATTTTGGCTCGTTTTCATGAGCTGGGATCGACAGATGTGATAGGATTGTGGAGTTCCTTTCTTGTATGGAGTGGAGTTTGAAATCCACAAAATGAGTGTACTTGGTGGAGTGGGCAGCTACTTGGTAATTTAAAATGCGACTTAAGTAAAACCCTTTTGATTCTTCAATTTTTTCTCTATATCTTACACACATTTGTATTGAAATAAATGATAATCTGTACTGGGTCGCTTAGTTATTGGCAAATTCTCTCAATGGTTTCAACCCAGACTTTAGTCAATGGCTTTATATTTAGAGAATGAAGTGTACTTTCAGTTTAATTTTATCCATAATGAATGCGAATTGATGACACGTATGCCAAAAATGTATCCTTCCAGATTTGTACGCAGAGTGATGAGTGTTAGATAAAAAATTAATTATATAGATTTTTGATTTATTTTAAGATGTTTGAATTTTGGGTTGTAATGTTTTCTATTGGGTGAAGCGAGACTTTGGAAAATTGATTCAATGTAGAACATTAAAGTAAATCAAACGATACATTTTTTGAATAATATTTAATATCTCATCTGTCAGACTTTGATGCATGTGTTATGTCAAAAGATTTTTTATGCCAAAGATGATGGAACGAGTATCTAACAACACCTTATAATATAAAAATTGAAATTTTAAATGAATGTCTTTTGATATTGATGAATTATCCATCAAATAAATCTGTTAAAACTATCTTTTAGAGAATTAAGATAAAATCAATATCATCTAGAGACTATCAATTGATTCCCTATTTAATTAGAAAATGATATTTTCATTGTAATATTTTTAAAAATAAACTGGATAATCAATCAATCAATCATTCTCTAGTATTATTCCTATAATTTTTTTTAAAGAATATTTGTAGATTATGTATATATTTTATTCAATTCATAAGACTTACATTATTTTTATGAGAACACTGTAAGTTAAAAAAAAATACTTGTTGAGAAAACAATCCTTACCAGTTAAAGCAGAGAACTAAGATGCTGCTAGATTTGAAATCGAAACAAGTGATCGTTGTCCTCGTATCGTCCACGAGTATCCAGCGGAGGAGTGTGCGAGCATTGTCTCTGCTGGGTAGGGACTCTGACACATCGAAATCTAGTTTCCTTGAACCAGAATTAGCACACAAGGTTTTGACGGAGATTGTGTACGTCAGTTCTCTCAGGGTGACAAGGTTTACGAAGGTCTCTCTTGAGGGTGTACTTGCTGTTCAAAATCTCCATTCTGACTGAATGTGCAGACGATGAGGTGAAGGACTAGGAGAGGTATCTCACCTGGTATCTGAGTTCCTTCTCGCAGAGTATGATCGCTACACAACCTCTCATCAGATGTGAATTTCTCCCTTGGGTTAGATTTACTTGCATCACGTTTAGTATCTAGAAACGTCCTGTCTACTTCGGTTCCTTCGTTCGGGTTATGGCTACGGGAACTGACAGATTTAGTTTTTACCTTGCTATGGAGCAGTTTTCTGTCGGTGTGTGGAACCTGGCTTCGAAGGTGGAGGAAACGAAATCATCTGCGGATTCTTTCTCACAAGCAGCGAGCTGAACTGCTATATATATGAGTCTCCTTCAGCTGAGAGGTACTGATATGATCTAATTCATATGCTTTTGTCGCACTGAAAGCCCGGGATCGAAGAGTTATTTCTGTCTGAAGAAGCCGATCCATCTGCACTTGCCATAGTTCTGTGTTTTTGCATCTTGAGAAGTGTCGACGTTTTTCTTGCATGCGTCCACTGGGCTACCACCGGAAGAGCCTGGGGTCTATTGTATTCGAGACGATGACAGGTACTCACTAATGAGTACAATCAATGCATTTGTATTTGCAGTCAGAGCTACTCCATGTTCAACATCCGAATTAGAGGTTGATGGCGACCACTGAAGAGGAGAGTACAGATTAATTGTAGGGGAAGCAACTTGCACTTCAGATATCTAGCTCCCCTTGTCACAGTCTACGACTTGTTGATCTTATTGCTCTAAAGATGGAGGACTATTTCGATCGATTCGTGGGCTCTCGACTAGTATCTTTCAAAATTACTGATTTCACTAGGACACACTTGGTGCTTTCGCTCTTTGACAATCAGCAGACAAGAGACATTCGTCTCGCTTGCAGAACTGATCTCAAGTGCCCCTGGATAGATGAAAGTCCTCCAGAGCTTGGACATTTTGCGACTCTGTTGAAGAAGATTTGCGACACGACAAATGGCGCTGAGGTAGAACTCATCGAGACGGGCAACATAAGAGGGCACTATGATCCTGATTGTGGGAAGAAAATATGGTTTGCAGTGATGAGGCTTGAGCTGAGATGGGGTGATTACACAATAATCCTCAAGGACCTTACGGCTTCTGGCTCATGGCCCCACGATGTTCCTTTCAGACAAGGAATGTATCTTATTAAGGATTGACATCACCGATATCACGAGGCTTCACACATGGGAAAAAAACCGTTGATGCTAAGTTCTGAACCATGGTTGATACCTGCTTCATTGAAGGAATGTCCTCAGAAGCTGTGATTAATCTTCTCTAGAGCATGTTGGCCATGGAGCTCGAAGATTGATACCTTCTACATCGAAGGGATTTCCTCAGAAGCTGTGATTGATCTTCTTCAAATCATACTGGCGATGGACCTTGAAGATTGGTACCTGATACTTCGAAGGATTATCCTCAGAAGCTGTGAGTAATCTTCTTCAAGACATATTCCCATGGTCTTTGAAGAATGTAAAACTCTCCTTAAGAGGTACCATGAAGGAAATCATCAGGGGATTGCCAAGTTGTGTGAATATGATTGACTCTACGATAGCTGAGGTTTATTATACCATGGTGGTGGTTTGGTCAACAGTCTACAATTAGAAAATGTATTTCAGCCTGCCGTATGTGTGCGTTCCAATCATCGGAATATAGTGAAAGTCTTACTCAGAACTGAGAATTGATTACCTTCACAAGAATCGAACTCTTGATCATCATACACTGAGAAATTACTGAAGCTATCGTTCATATACATTTGAGTTCCTTTTCTACTCCATGTCCTGCCGTTGAATGAGCTGCAGAACGTAACTCATGTCTGTCTTTGAGTCATTCAAAGTGACAATTTGAGCCCCGCTGCTACGTTGGAAATGGTCATAAGGATATTCAAAGTTAGCTCAGGCTGTGCAATATGCTGACAATTTTTCGCCACCTTAGAACACAGCTGAAATTCATGGACGCCAAAATGTTGAGAAATGTTTAGATACGAATTCTCAGATCTCTTAAATTGTAACTCATTGAAATATTTAAGTTCAGCCCAACACGCTTCCTGTATGAAGTACAGAAACGGTTGGTATCTATAGAAATTCTACGAACAGGCCTTTTGATTTACAATTTCACTTTAAAACATCTATACCACGGTCTCAAACTCCAGTATATTCATCGTGTATAACATCACGCATGGAACCTACACTCGTTGATGGTCTTTAGTGCTGTTACTTCTTGTCATATCCTTTTAGTTCTCCGAGCATCGCTTAATGAAAGCATCTTGAAATATAGGGTCCAAGTAGAAGTGAAGAGAATGGGAAGACCCCATCATTCCTTGAAGCAGTAACGAGTGCTTTTGGCTTCAAAAAGTATGTTCCACATCACTTTACATATTATGTCTATAAACACTTCAGTGTAAGAACTGTTTTTTTGTGTTCTTTCTATGTATAGATATAGATTTATATTATTTTCCTAAAGAGCCGTTTAGACACTTTAAAAAAAAAGCGTCTACATTATTCACTAAAAATAATGATACTTTCTTGCACAATCAAACACAATGAATTATTTTTACTTACTTCTATATTACTTTCATGTTATATGCACAAAAACATGAGTTTTATTCATACCACTCACATACTCCTTCATCTGAAATCCCATTCAAAGTCTACTATTTGCATGAGTTTCTGAATGGGCTTGTTGATGACCACCGCTTATGCACATAATAAGTGCACATCCAGACCAAATTATTGACAAGCTCTAACTCTAGTAAATTGCAAGTAGTAGCAGCTCCCACGCTAAACTATGTAAGATACACAACCTCAAATGCCATAGAAAACATCAGATACTTAATGGATGACTACACTCTCCATTCTATATGGATCTCAATAATGTTAGAGATGGACAGAGTTTTGACATAAATATAAACCTAAATCAGAAACATAAATATAAATACAAACATAAATCAGAAAATAAAAAAGAATAGACAAAGTAGTGTCAAAATCGGTCGCGTTTCGTCCAAACTCAGGTCAAGGTTCTATTGCCTTGATGTTCCCCGCTTCCGAAGGTCAGGCCGAAATGCCGACAAAGGTCACGAGGTCATCAGTCAGTCAAGTTGCCAAAAGTTAGACAAATTCTGAGAAACATTGTCAAACGAATTCATATAATGTCACACCATACTGTGGTACACTACATGTTCCTATTCTCTACCCCCTATCGTGTCTAGATACAATTTATGACTGACTATGACCGAAAAGGTCGTCGGCCCGAGAACCGGAATCCTACCAAACTCACTGGTAGGAAATATGCTGCTTCAGTGAACCTCGATGCTCGGGTTATCGTTCGCTGTGTGAAGGATCGGGCGCCATCTTCTTCGTGCTGAGCTCTTCGAGGACATCGACCATTCGTTCACTCGAGATCTCTTTAAAGTCTCGAGGGAAGGAGGGACCAGACCTTCACTTCAGGCATCGATCATGCGGCCAGCCAACCAGCCACAGGAGCGTCGTTAAACGCGCCTGGCACGTTGGGAGTAGCAGCCACAGGCGCGGCGGCTGCGAGCTCGAAGCTTTGAAATTTTGAAGTTTTGAAGTTTTGAAATAGACGGTACGGCATGCCGCGGGGCGGTCCAGATTGGGCGACGAGGAGGGACATTTGGCTCGCCTTCTGCAAAGGGAACGGGCATGTTCTCGAGCGGCTTAACAAGAAGGGCCGCACTTTCTTCAGCTTCTTCGGTCCCGAAGGTAATGAATGCTTTCGCTGCTTTGCGTCTCGTGTATGTCTATTTCTCCCATGAGTCCTTCAATTTCTATGGCGTTTGAGGTTCAGCGATTCGATTGAACTGCGAATGCCGTGAAAGTAAAAACAAACTTTAATAGTTGAAGGGGTTGAAGAATTTGGTTTGACGTTGTGCATGGCTGACGGAGAATTCTGCATTTCTTGTTGCGAAGGTCAACGATTCGGTTCATGGAAAAAATGCGAGGAATTTATGAAGAGTTCACAGCAGGATCCGCTAGGCGAATTGGCAGTGCCAGATTCGGACCAGTATGTGCAGGTGGAGGTGCTCGATGGATTGAGTGTGTCCAGAAGTGCAGAGGTCGAGAAGCTCAAGTACACGGAGATCGTGCCAGCGCTCCAGGTGGGTCCTGAAGCAGCACATCATCTTTCGGCGTACTCGAGATGCTCCAATTCGATGTCAACACACGAGAAATGGATGGAGATTCATGAAGATTGCTCTTCAAGCCCATCTACAACAAAGCTGGGATCTGACCGACAGGAAACGATTAACCCCAACAGTTCAGAAGACCATGAAGGAGCAAGGTACCTTCTAAATAGCAGAACCGCGGGCAAGGCGTCAGAGGCCGAAGAAACCAATGCCTCCCAGTCGTACGTGCAATCCAAATACCATAATCCGAAATATCTGAAGCACCTGTCCTCTGAAGACGATGAAAGAGAAACGCTCTTTGGTTTGAGAAACGAGCAAGCAGCGGACGGAAATGACGTTTTGAGTAGAATCCACAGAGGTGCGCAACTCGCCGACACAAGGCTCGACGATGCGTCTTACCACCAGTACAAGAGACGTGAGCACTGCACAAACGTTGAAACGCAAGGACGGCGAACCAACAAAGTGAGGCTCCAAACTTTGAACGACGAACGTAGAATTCGATACTCTGAAAAAGAGAAGTCTGGAGCTTCGAAGTTGAAGCTTGGCATTTTTTCTCGTAAACGTAAGCCTGTTCCGAAGAAAGCTGTTTCGAAGCCCCTTGCCCTACTCGATGCAGCGAAGCCAACTCACAGCAGACTGAGCACGATGACGAACGACTCAGACATGCTTCTCAGAATTTTGTGGCGTAAGTATATGAAACAACGTAAGATGAAAAGAGACTGACGACAATCAGTCAGAACACAAGCTCGATCTCCTCCATTGATGACGAGCAAGTTTGTCTCTCAGACTTAGTTCTCGAGTCTTATTGTCGACGGTAGTATCAGTGTTTTACTGAAGAATTCAGCATAACATTGCTCTATATTTTTATAATTATCATCAGAACTGTGGACTTTAACCAAATTCAAGGATATACATTTCCACAATAAACTATTAGGATTGCCTTATCTAGATGGAATGGAAGCTTATCCCATCTGAAGACTGCAGTGTTTGCCTGCTTTTGATTGGAGGAGCGGTCTTGGGAAAATGAGCTGTTATGCACGGCATTGCACAAGATTCGTCAAGTCGTTTTCTTATCCACCTTAATCACATCTCATCGGGGTAGCCTCAATTAGCTAATTTGCATCAGCTTAAAATGACGATCCATTGCGTACTCAGCCGCCTGCACTGCCATCCTGTCTCCATTCCATCTACAATACTGCAATCATGATTGTTGTTTCAAGGTAACACAGCAAGAACATAGCAATTGAGCAGTTGGACAAATCACTTTGTCCAAATTGTTGAATCTTTATATCAATTGGACATTCCAAGAACTTGAAATTCTTCATCAGCAAACTTCCGATTCCTAGCATTCGTATCAATGCCAAGTATTGGGACTGATCTTGGAACGTTCTTCTGACGCATGCCTGAGCTACTGCTCGCTAAGCCTCTTACTCTCATTTACCTGACTGACATACAACGCTGCGGAAGGACCTTGGAAGCCCTCCCAAAGTCGTTCTCGAAAACTGTAATTCATCGTATAATCATGTGTCCAGATAAGAACAGTTAAAAAATGTCCATGTTTGGACATTTTCTAGATACGAGTACTCGTCTTAGTCGGAGTCGCTGAAAGTCAAAGCTTAAGAGTAGATCCAAAGAGAAGGAATGTCACCATGCATTTAGCACAATCGTTTCGTGTATAGAGCCCAACTTGGACAGAACACTTTACACTCAGCGTCTTACTATTTGTATGCAAACTTATCGTGTACGTGCTTATGTACAAACTTTCCTGACTTGTACATGTAGTCTGCAAAAGTCAGAAGAACAGTTTTTTCGAGTCATGCTAGCCATGCCTAGAATTGAACAAGCATATTTTTGAAAAGTCGATAAGCAAGATAGTTACCAATTAGAGACGTCAGTATAAACAGGAAGAGAAGGGTAAACATGTTTCTGCATTGTAATTCGAAGGCTTTGCATTGTAATACGAGTTTTTCGTTGAAGCATGACGGCAAGATGCGTAAATGCGTATGTTCGGTACATTTTTCAAGACTGGCAACAGGTTGGTTGATAGTGAAAATCTCTTCACTCCTTGTATATGCTGGCAGTATTAGATGTCATGCAAACTTCTGAAGATGTACATATCGCGCGTTCTCACAATCTGATCATGAAGGATCTGAGGTCGGTAGCATTCACCAAAGCCCACAAAAGTTGCAGAAGATTTAGATCCTCCAGAACGCGATGAAGAGACGACTCTCTTGAGATTAACATCCTCATGTGCGGAGCTGGATTCGGGTGACTTGCTATATTTCTCATATGCATGTGAGACTGCCGTCTTCGGTGGTCTCGATCTTGATTTGACGACATCCACACTGGAACTGCAAGAAATGAATCGAAAAATGCTTTTCCAAAATCTCTCCACCCAAGACGGTAATTCCTGCTTGCTGCCAACTTCAGTCTGGTGGTCTTGGATGATGCTTCTCAAAGTTTCATTCAGACGAGCTCTTTCAGCGACGGATCTCTGTCTGGCCATGTCCGCTGCTTCTGTGATCCCCGTTTGCGACCCTGACAGTTTCCGCCCTTGTATGGCTCCTGGTGTATTGGGCACAGTTGCGAACTCTCTCACTGGGGTCCTGCCAGAAGCTGCAGAGGTACTCATACTTCCATCTCTTGTAACTCCCAGATGAAGAGGCGATTCGCAAGACATTCCACGATATGATCTCGCTTCTGTGAACCTCGAGCTCTTGGGTGATGAGGTCTTCAGGAAGGGGTTCTGATTCTCCACTTTTCCAGGACGTCCGCTGGATCCTTTTACATGTTCTGGAGTGTCTTTGAGGGATTTCTGAGCTACTGTAGTCCTCTTCAATATGCTTCCTGATCTTGTAAGACGATGAATCGTTGGCATTTCTGAGGATCTGTAGATTGTCTCTCCTTGAAGGTTTGCTCGCCGTTCTGTTGTCGATGTCGCCTTGCACTCGAGAGGTAATGTTTGGAGCGGCTTTGCTCCCCATTGTGCGTCAGTATAACGAAGCTTATCGGATCCTTTCGTAAAAGGACTGCGCTTCATGCACTCTCCATAAAATTCTACTGGTCGATTGTACTGTACCTTGCGAAATACCGTGTCCTTCAGCTTCGAGAGCCTGACCTCATGATCCACTTCAGCAAAATTCTCATCTTCATCCGGCCTTTCTTCTTCAGCAATCTCTATCCAAGCCTTTTCCAAATCCCTCTCTCTTCTCATTTCCTGCTCGCTCTCTTCGGTCTCTTCTGCAGCTTGTACTTGGGCACGATAGGGTGCAGCCTTTTCTTCCCTACTTCCGGACGGCGATTTGTTGCGATTGTAGAGCTCACGGAGAATACCCCTTTCAAATACATAATTTGTAGCACCCGAATTCTCCTTGTCTTCACCAAAACGTTCAATCTGGCATCTCCTAACTGCTGTCGTCGAATCCCCTTTCCTCCTCGTGGAATGCCTTCGATCCTTTGAGAACTTCGACAAACTTCTTCCATCCATTTTTGTCGGCAAAATTGCATTCTAGATGAAATTCGTAGAGCAATGCGCCTCTAACGCTCACACAATCAGTGCGTAGATTTCACTGTGGGTTCTGTCTGTCCAACGCTTCCATGTCCAGGCGATCATAAATCCGAACTGAAGTTCATAAACAGTATTAGCTCAACGTCGGAGGTCAAATTTTCTACTCAAAACAGGCTGTTACCGACAGGCACCTAGAAGAGAAGAAGCTTCTAGAGCTAAAGGAAGCAAAGCGTACATCAAATCTTCAACCTTGCATCTGAATGCAAGTTTAAGTAGAATAAAACTTGCATCTGTAATTACGGGAGCTACTTTCGATCAGCACTTCCGAAAAGCTGAACTGGACAATAAGCATTCGAATTAACCTCTCAAGAATTTGAATATCAAAGTTTGAACTCGAGTCCATCGTTCATTGTGAGACATGCGATTCCACATGCTTCCCGGCGACCATCATTTCCTTGACATGGGATATTGACGGCAAGAATGCCTTCGACATGAGTCACGTCAGACGAGAACAAGGCCAAAGCCTACATTCAAATAAAAATAGAAACTTGGACAACACCAGAGAGGCCAGCACGTGAGAACTTTAGTATGCCGGATAGCATGACGCAGTGAGAGCGCATAATTACAGATCCAATGAAAGCAGGAGTCATTCCGGTGTCAGTTCAATATGCTCATGTTAGGCTAGGGGTTCATGATTAGCCAGTCATTCGAACCATCGCTTCCTCGACCGAGCAATCCCTCAAATAAGAGCAATCTGGGATGTTGAAAGGGGAAACCTGGCCTCGTATGGCTATGGCAACTTGGCGGTTGAAGCGTGCGAATGTCAGTTACATACGTGAGCAGCTGTGAGCGCACCTCGATTGCCATTTCTTTACTTGAGACCGGCCTCGTACAATCAAGATTGTACATCAAAACACATGTGCCTGTGTACTATGCCCTGGGAGAATCAATGTGCCAGCAAATTTGTGTGGAGATTGGATTGCGTCATCGCTACTGCTGCTCTTGTGCAGTACTCGCAATTTCTAATATGAAGATCTAGTCCAAGAATCAATTTCAGAGTCGAACACATTGTCGATCATGAAGTGTGGGAAGTGACAACTGGACATGTTCTAGCATGTAACCACCAGTTTGAGTAACTACCATTTAGGGTTAGAAATTGAGGGACTTTTGAATGAATTGAATATATTGAAAATTATATTAAGGTAGTGATGTAGGGGAAAAAAATATATTTTATTTTATTTTAAATGAAGCAGGTGGCTGCACTCTAAATAAATGACACATAAATGAAGCAAGTTTCGTAATATTTATACGGTTTGACGATGTTTTCTATGTTTCAACAAACAACTGCCACCCAAAGTGCGTGTGTTGATGCAAACGTAATAAGATTTTGTTCTTTGGATCGGTCTTGTAGATGAGGTTGAAAAAATGTCCAGGTCTGAAGATAATCAGTCAGTCACGTGGTTCATTGATGGCTCGGCATTTTTTGTTGATGTAAATCCGCAAGAAGAGACCACCAGTCACAAATACTTACTGTTAGAAGGAAATTTCTAAGAACAAATAGATAATAATTGCATCGAAAATATTAGAACGCCAAAAAAAGTTACAAATTGGCAGAAAACTATGATGTTAGCGAAAGCTTGGGTGGCTCTGATATCATGCATTTGAAGCGTCTAGATTTATAAAACTATTTCATAATGAAACTGACAATTTTAGTCGTTGTGTATCTCTACAATGTGAGTTCAATAGCGTTACAAAGTACAATAACCGATTTTTATTTTAGTCAGAAGTGGAGGTCTTTTGAAAATATGGTCATCATTATTATGTATGTGCATACGAGAGAAATAAAGTTTTACAATGTAAATTTTAAGGGATGAAAATCTATCGTACAAGTTACCGAAAAAAATTAAATATATATTATTAGTTGAATTTTCATGGAAAAGATTCCAAATCTTCTTAAAAAATATTTCTAATTTAAAAGATTGATGAACTTCAAAATACAAGGATACCTCTGCTAATTAATAAATATATAAGATAATATTCGCAGATAATTTTCTGATATTTAAGAACATAAATTGAAAAACGTAACTACCTGAATGTTTTGCATGAAACAAAATAATCTTCCAAGAGTTATAATCTATAATTCAGAAAATTCATATGAACTTCAACGAAGTAAAATAAAACTTGGTAGCTTGTATTTGCCAGTCATAAAATCACACCAGTGTTTTTCATTTTATTTTTTTATTTTGATAAAGTATGTTTCAAATCCTCTATAATTATTTGATTTGTTTCTCAATTTTCTTGTTACTGGGTTCATAGAGCACAAAGAGGACCAGCCAAATTAGATCAAGTAACTATTGTGACAATCATATCAGTATAAACTTTGTATGTTGATAAGCATTTCTGTTGATCAATTGCTTCCACGTAATTCTCTTAGAGCTATTGTTTCTTCATTTAATTTCTCCAACGAAATTCAACGTTGTTGAAAACTTCAGTAATTATCCATATTTCTCTTTCCGGTGTATATTGCACTATTGACTGTTCATTTTAATCCACAAATCAGATTGCAAGAAAAGAAAAAACCTGCAAGAATTATTATTTTTTGCCAAATATTGTTGGTCGTGTTTTGACCACGAATCAGGTCACCTCGGTCATCTTTGAGTTAGCCTGTGGATATTTTTTCAGGTGAATGCTCCATTTCGATGACACTGTGTTCCTGGCGATCTTGTGGACAGCAGCAGTGGCAATGGATCGAGTGGCAACACTGAAGAGATCCGCGTCAAGAAAGGCCCGCGACGAGCGAGAAGAAGGCAAAAGAATCATCTCTCCATTGAAGAAAGCCAAAGAGTTGCATCCTGCGCAGAAACCATGGGCGGACCAAGGGTCGACAAATACGATCGATGACATCGCTGATGGACCGAGAATCGAGGACGGCTTTGATTTATCGCTGCTGACCATTTCTGGGAAGTCTCCTGTACGCAGCGTCCCACTCAATTCTGCAGCATCTGAGATAGAAGAGAAACTGGCTCGAGATACTGAGATGAGCGCATCCAGGGACATGGGTTCGGATGACGCCTGTAGTTCAGATCCTCTTTGTGGAACCGAAATCTGGAATGCTGAGAAGTCAGCCGAAAGATTTGCTCGACTGAGGCAAGAGATACTTAGAAGATACCACTCCCATGAAATATTCAGAGGGGAAGCAGGTCAGGAAGGACCCCATCCAAGATCCTCGAGTTGGCCAAAATTACGAATGAATCCGGATTATGAGCCTCGCAAACTGGACTTTGAGGAAGAGAAGAAATCTCATCAGACACGGAAAGGGGCGGCGGTGAAAAGTGTAGATGTTCAACCTACTTTTGTATTCACTGCCGGAAGCGAATGGAGAAATGCTAGAACAAGGTTGGGTTCTGAAGGTGAAAGTGGGAGATCACGATATACAGATGGAGCGAATGAAAAGGGAGAAGCCGAGAGTTGTCCAAGAAACTTGAGACAAGATACTCCTTACAAGGTGCGGAAATCATCAAGATCAAGAATCGTGGGAAAATCTCCATCTAAATTCTTCCAAAGAAGAACGACTGAGTTTTTAAGAACTCCCACGAGGCTGGGTAGTAACAGTTTAGAAAAACTCTTGACAGCGGAGTCTCCTGGAAGAACACCAGAGAAGTCAAATGATTGCGTTCAGATTCTACGTAATATACGGGCGTCTCAGAAAGCACATGAAGAGGCTAGAAAGCTTGCACGACAGCACTCAGCGGCCGAGAGAGCTCGTTTGACAGCAGAATTACAAATGATTGCTAGGGACTGTTCAATTTCCAATTGCAGCAGTCCTGCAAGAGAGTCGTGGGTTTCTGTGAAGAGTTTCTTGTCGAACCTTTTCTGCTGCGGATGCAGCATATCCAACCGCAAAGCAGGTCGGGAGAGTCGGTTGGGGGAAGATTCTGAGGAAGTTCCAATTTCCGACAGAGCCGAACGACTTCAGGATACTGCCAGATTCGAGCCTCCATACTGGCTGCAAAATAATATTAATCTTTTAGCTCTTCCGAAATTCGACGTAAGGCAGACATCTGAGTATGAACACAAGAGGAGTGTGTCTTGTGATTTCGAGGCAGAAAAAGCAATGACGAAAAGGGATTTGGAGAAGAAACATTCCGACTGAGCTCGGTTTCGAGGTGAGAGGCAAGGTCTTATCTGCCTATTCCGATTCTGTATATCATGAATTCTGGTTATAAAAAGGTCAAGTCAGATTCTCGGCACTCAAATTTGATATAGAAATCACCTTTGATGCTTAATGTCGTCGAGCTAGTATCTTTTGATTCAACTGTTCTTTTGGTACTTCGAGAGAGAAATGCTTATTCAGGTATTCCAACCCGTAGGCATGGATATATGGGGCAATGTGTACATACATCAATCGTTCACAATTACATATGTTTCTGGTCCTATCTACATGTGTACACATCTGTTGATTTATTGATAGAGTTGTGAGATTATACTCACATGTTTTTTAAGTGCCCTCAAATCAAACCCTCAATTTATATAAAAGTCAATACCAGATTTAAGTAAAGCGATCTGAATCAAGACCATCCTTCTTCTTTTCAGTATCAACCTTACTTCTTTGCCTTGCCTGTATCTCGTAAGTCATATCGTCAACTATTTCCACTTTGATGCTTTGCGTTTCTCTTGCAAAAATGTGGATATAACCATCTCATGTCCACGAACAAGTTGGCATCCTTAAGATCCATGTATGGCCAGACATCGTCCAACAACCACCCCATCATAGGTTTTAAAGTCCATCATTTTTCCACTAGCATCTTGTGGACACTTTGTCCAAATAGTGTCTTTCATAACAACTTTCTCTGGCCTTTTTCTTCATTACATAGCTAAACCTCCCAATAGTGTTACCTTTTATCACTGACATACTTTCATTAGTGACGAAAGATTCTATAACCATTAGTTTCTAATTTGCAAATCTGTTCAATAAGAACGGTACGTCACTATGTCCAATAGTGACATGATACAATTCTCAATAGTGACAATTTCAAGTGTAATTTAGGAGTAGAAATTATTATCATAATCACAATATATAACTATGAGACTAAAAAATGTGGCAGAAGTTTATTTAATGTTATATCTCAACAATTTATTCTTTTTGGGCATAAATAAAAAAATTCACCACACATATTATCATCAATTTTTTCACTCAGATTTTTGTGTATTAATTTGAATTCAAACGTAATTATAATGTCTACGCTAATCATCGTGCACAAAACAGATGTGCAAATGAAGGCGATTTAGAGACCAAACAGCACATTTATAGAATGTCCTAGTACTGATGTAATTCACGATAAGAAATTTATGCACTTGTTTTTTATAGTTGACACCTCCCAATAGTGACATCTAACCCAAACACCAATGTATGTTACTACCAGTAGGGTATATTAAAATTAAGCACCTCCCAATAGTGACATCCGATTCTAACACCAATGAATGCTACTAGTACGATGTTATATGCACCATACTCTTGTGAGTTACACCTCACAATAATGTCATAGAAACCTACTACCAATATACGTCACTATTTGGAGGTTTAACTTTGTATGTCTTGTTCTAAGACTACACACTATTTGGAGGTTTAACGAACTCAATCAAATCTCCAGTGGGTGTAAGAAATGACAAGTTTTCTCAGAAATATTATTGTCTCTTTTTTTGTTGGAAATTTCAAGTTTCTGAAGTTCCCTACGTCTACACTTCTTTATTTCTTTAAAATTTTGAAATGTTTAAAAGGAAAATCTCAGTTAATTACTTGTATATATTTCTGTCCAAATTTGAAGGGCACCCGGCTTAGTTGATTTCCATCTTCGCTGTAATAATAAATTAACGAAATATCAATGTCCTTTTATAAATAACTAATCCACCACTACCACTCTACCCAGGACATCCCACTAAACGATTATAAGAACTAACCTGTTGCAAAATATATAAAAATAATTAACTGAGATTTACCTTTTAAACATTCCAAAAGTTAATCGCAACGTTTAGTGTTGTGCACAAATTTCTAGTTGATGCGGGTTCTGATACTACATTATTCAAAATTACAATATTAGTCTTGGCAGTGATTACAAAAATTGTTCGACAAACCTTCTCTATGCATGGAGATGGTCAGGTACGAGTCAATGCGGGTGTAGTGCGAGTTAAGCTATTATAGGCAGTCTCTATGTGCCCCGGGCTTCTCTGCATGCAGTATCCAGTGATTGTCTACAAATTTGTTCAATTGCAGCTATATAAAATCTTGTGACAAATATCAAATCAAAGCAAACTGATCCTTGAAACTAGTGAACTCATCTATCTGGTTGAATTGCACCACCTAAAGTTAAATTGAAATTTAAACATAGAGCTCATCTTGGCGACATTTAAAACAGCATATAGTTCATTTCTGTTTGATTGGCCAAATTTTTCTCCTCTACCATTACATTCTAAGAGTTGGGACAAGGAGGATAGCATTTTAATCCTTGAATTTGATCGTACATCTTTGAACATTAGCTATTTCAATGCCATATTAAAAGTACAAATTCCAATTCCAATTCCAACCTTTAAATCTCTTCCAATACTGGCCCACCGCCAGAGGAATAAACCCATACGCTGTGCGCGACAAGATCCTCAGTGCGGGGCTCAAAACCTTGGATCTACGACATCGATTGACATCAGCCGTGTGTTCAGCCAAGAGCGAACTATTCTTTCGCCTTTTACTAAAGAATACCGTGTGCGGGACACAAAAGCGGCTTGTAACATTTTTGGAACGCTCCTTCACTGGAGCACCAACCAACTAAACAAAACAAGGATTTCTGAGCATATGAATCATATGATTGATCGGACAGCATAAATTCACGTTTCACTCCTCTGATTCTACATCTCGTAGTGGAAAGCAGGGGAAACAGGGACATACTAAGCAAATAAATGACTGGAAGTAAAGCCACTACATGGCAGATGATATAATCTTCACAGTTTACAGATACATATTCTCTTGATCATCAGGTTTTATTACTGATGGCTTTTTCATCAAAATAAATGAATTTATTGTGTGCGGCTGTTCCAACTTACACTTGTTGTCTTCAAAATCAATCTAATAATTAAGTTTTCTTGATGACTTTACTCTCTATGAAATTCATAATTATGGTCACAGGGGATTTTGGAAAGATTACATTTTATAAGAATCTAAATCTTTTGATCCTCAATCTTTACCTTTTCAGCTTTCAGATTTGTGTGAGCTTTTTCTTAAGTTGGCATGCGATTATTAAATTTCACCTTTGAAAATCAGTATCGGAAATCACCTTGAGCGTTATTTACTGGATTGAGACAGGTTAGTTTATGATTATGATTAGCTTTCAAAAGAAACATCTATAATAGTTCAAGCCAGCTCGAGACCAAAGGTCATAGGAAAATCTGCAAAAACGATTAACTTTATGACATCATACGTCTAGAATATCTTATACGATCTTACATAAATCTTCAGTTTTTAAGTATATATCACATCGCTTATATATTCTTCTCTCATTTCTCACTCGGAGCTTTGTCATTATATGAATAATTCATGGTTTAATATTGCTAAAGTCTTTAGTTTTTTGAAATGTAGATGAAGAGTGGTCAGACGAAAAAAAAAACACTAAACTAGAAAACAATGAAGAAGAGCATGTTTTTAAATTTAAAAAATCTTTTTTTAGAAAAATGTAAAAATCTTGTTTGGGACCTGCGCTGCCTTACGAGCCTAAATTGAAAACAAATCGATTGAAGTTTTCATCATTTTCTTGATTTTTTGTAACATGAGAGGCTGAAGACATACCAGAGTATATTCTCGACACACTAATATGAAAATCTTAGCCAAAAATGAAGTACACATTGAGGATTGAGCCCAAAGGCTGAAGCCAATAGTAGTTCCTCCCATTATAGATGGTGGAAAAAAATCTACTTTATCAATCATAAAAAAGCTCACGCACAAGAAATTGACAAAAAAAACAAGATCTTCAGAGCTGAATATAAAATCTCCACCACTTTTAACCAGTCGGCAAAAATCACGTCTTCAGACCAAGGAGCCAATAGGCCAATAAGAACTTAGTTGAAGAATTGATATACTCAAGTACCATATGCCATAAATATACCCAAGAATGAATTACTAATTTTCAGCGCATTATATAGTTGGATACATAATTCTGTATGTGATCGAAAGTCAAAACTGCAGCTTCACACTGATGTATTAGGAGACGATGTATCCCAAACTTCAACAGTATAGCGCACTGCAGAGCGAACACATACTTAAAAAAACACTTCTTTTCCTATAAAATCTGTCAAGCTTTCACAACATGTCAGGCATAAAGAGTTGACAATAGCTAATCCATATGGCTATGCCTATGAAGAAGGTTGGAGGAAAATTGAAAGCTCCACATATTTAGCAAAGAAGGGCTCGGGCACGACGTGTCAGGTTTCTTGAGCTGCATATTGTACTGTCCACAGACTCTAGACTTTGGTGGTACAGTAACGAACTGGCCGGGCACGCACACTCCTGGCTTGGCAGCCTCGAGAGTCGGAGGCTCGTTGTAAGGTCTCCGTGATTTCAAGGCTCGGATTGTTTCTATACCTTTGATTGAGAGCTATGGCAGCTGCTCGCTCCGGCAACTGCAGAACTGCTCCAGCATTGTCCTGTTAGAAGAAGCGAATGTCACCAAACCATGCTCGAAAGTTATTGAAGAAATTGTTACAATTAGAATCTTATGACATAAGGGGCGGTGGCGCAGTTGGTTAGCGCGTCGGTCTCATAGCTAGAGCGAGTAATCCGGAGGTCGTGAGTTCGAGCCTCACTCGCCCCACCTTTTTTATTATTACACGTTGTGATGTAATATGTTTTTCAGACTTTTTACCCTTTTGGTCGGTCCCACGGGCTTGATCTATTTAAGATTTAGATAATATCTGTATAGATAATTACATGTAAGCGATCCCTATTCCTGTAGTGGATTGGTCTTTTGATACCACTCTAGTTACTTAATAAATCTTGTAAAGCAAGGTTTTGAAGAATATAATGAGACTTACCAGAGTGCCCGGATTTTGGCTATTCAGAGCAAAAATGTAAAAAAGCTGTTTCTGTTTCAACATTCAGTTCAAAATGCAGCAACCCGCGAGGAAATACGATGAGATCTCCCGGGTACAAAATGTGGATATGAGCTTCTCCTGCAGTCTAGTAGTCGAGAAACCTAATGTTAGCAAGTGGACCATCATTCTCTCGATCTATTACAAAGTCCCAGGAAAAGACAAAGTCCACTGTTGAAAATATCAGAACCTTCGGTAGTTTGAGCTCTTTGCAATTGTTCACTTGTGGTTTGCAACACGGCCGAATTAAGTGGTTTGATACCTGTGAGAAAAAACTGTCTAAAACCATCACAATAACATAGTCTAAGATCTTTTCCTGAAGTTATTATACACTAAGTTGTGCCAAGAGGTTATGTTTTCATAACAATTTGAAACAGAACATAGAAATTAAACTCGCGGATGTTAGCCACGGTCTTGGATTGTGACTTTGAGGTAGACATATAAGGTTTATCCTTGCCATGGAACTTGGTACAAAACATGTATATTTCAGTCACAACTTATGGTATATAAGTATATCGCTGGCAAATCTCCAGACCATACACAATGTCATGATTATATGTTTGTGCAACCTGAAACGTCAGCAGATTTTCTCTAATGACAAAGAGAAGTATTTCTCGTAGTAACATATATGTGTTGCAAAGATTGAGTAGCGCTACAGAACCAGAGGTATAAGACATTCAAGTCGCAATTTTTCTACCTATTACCATGTCCATATATCAATTGAAAGCTATAAAAGACTTTTACTTGAATATCTTCACCAAGCAATGTAATCTAAATGTTTGGAGTTTAATTTGAAATCCTAAAATTGTAATTGGTACGAAGTGAGTAATGATTGTAATGAATGGAATGTCTGAAAAGTGAAAACACTAGAAGCTGCGAAAACTATAGATATATTTATCATTTCCCTCTATTGATATTTCAAGTCATCCCAATATTAACCTGGTAAAAGTGGAAATTCCCATGATTCATATCATATGAAACATATTATTATGTTTCATATCAAACATAATAATATATATGATATGAAATTCTATATATTATTATGTTTGATGTAAATGTAATGTTGGTATTAATTTATTACTATGATGCAAATATGTTATGCTAGAGAGTTATCAGCATTCTACAGAAATTTTTGAAATAATCCACAAGCCTAATTCAGCACTCCTTATACTACATCCAACACAACACTCCAAACTTCGACTTAATGCACTTAAACTTAGGATATGCGAAAAGGTCTCTTGCAATGAGGGCGGCAGTCCTCTCTTAACACACATAAAGTTTTAAACCTGCAAACCACGAAACTCAAGTGGACAGCAAACATTGTAACAGTTGTGAACTGTCAATGCTAGATACGATTAAATTGATTTTGACAAGATAGATTGTATAATGACAGGTATAAGTTGATAAACTAGTTGAACTTTCAGGGTTGAAATCACTCAGCACCAATGAAGGCTCATTTATACGAGGTACATGTCGAAAACTGCATCTTAATTGCACCAGAAGGCTTCTTAGAGCTGTTGTGAAGCATGTAGAATCTTCGGCATTTTTTGCTGTTGCAAGGGCCTGAATAGGAAATTTAAATAGCACGAAATCGATGTCCTAAATGGAGACCTGCATTGTCAAGTGTGTTTTGATCAATCTTTGATAATTTTAGACAAATCATATCCACCTTGGGAGATTGGAATTCGAGTTCTTCTACACCCGTATTCAATGAGCGGATTGGAGTCCGCAGGGACACCAAGGTGCATGGGAGACTGAGAGAGGTGGATAAAACAGCAATTTCAAGGCCTGAAGCTAATTCAATTTTCGAAGAATACGAACGAATTGCATCGTTCTTTTCTATTTTCTAGAATGAAGTAACGATGGAAATCGGCCACAGACAGCAGATAAATAAAAAAAATCGAGATCTCATTTTTCTACGAAAAGCTTGTACAATGGAAACTGTCCATTCTGGTGAAATGGGCTTGTTCTGGGAGCTAATGATTAATTATAAAATTAAAGATTCTCATGTTATTCAAGCCTGATGCATATGAACGTTTTGTGCCATGAATATATATGAGGTTTTAAAGAAGCCGTCTGCTTGACTTTGCTGAAAAATACACTGAGTTTCAGGCATCGTACAAGATTCCTGCTCTTGAAATCTTCTGAAAATGTAGCTCATGTGTCTGTCCGAAGGTGAAGTTGCACAGCTCTAACTAAGTACCTTCTTCTAAACGCATCTGTCAGAAGCTTACTAATCTGAAGCAGGGCAAGCAAATTACAGGTTACTGTAAAAGCAGTGATATTATTTAAAATACTACGCACAAAAGTACGTGTTCTTCGACCTAGTGCGTACAGCATCGTCACATGTGTACACCTTCTTCATTACTCGGTTATCATACTCGAATCTTGTACAGTGTTATTCTACACTGCCAACCACCCCCCAACCCCGACAACATCTATTTTTCATTTTGTGTTTGCTTCTACTCTATGGTTACCTGCGATTACACATTTGTTCTTCTTGGAAGATTTCACTGGAGCAGCATACTAATTTACACCCTGTTGTAAATATCTGTGCCTTGAAAGGTTGGTGAGAGCAACTAAGCAGATTGCACGTCTATTTGACTATCACATGGCTAGTTTGAGTCAATTAAGATAAAACAAGGAAAACAGGTGGAGGTTTGGGCACCCTATGGAATTCATTCCCCACGTAGTACAGAAAATATAGAAATGAGTTTCCTAAAGGCGGCAATGGAGTTCTGTCTGCCGGGGATCGGAGCCTTGGGGATTTTCTGGTAAGATTGGACAAATTGTGGAAACTTCTTCATAGATAGAGTATTGGATTGTTCAAACTGGGTTCAACGGTACCCTCTGACCAGATCCAGCATCACAAACAGAACGGAACTCTTAGAAACAAAGGTGAGAAACTCTACGTTGCATCCCTAAACTTGCAGCTGGTCAACCATGCACCTAACAATCCTGGAATCGGGTTTAGCTGCTAAGATTGGACCCAGTTCAAAGATGGTTCATGTATTCGAAGTTACGAGCGTGTTTTGTCTTCATAATCTGGCCCTAATTTCAAGACTTTTCATGTAGAAGGTCGGTCACATACAATCGTGGACTTCACGTAACATCCTAAGGTGCGACAAATTACATTCCCGCTTTGAGAAGTTTCTGATCCGCTAGAAGAACTTTCTTAGCTTTGTGGGCTGAAAAGCAAGAGAAAAGATAGCTAACAACCGACACAATTTGAAAATATGAAAAAAAAGAGAAAAGAACAAACAAACTGTACTCATTTGAATCTGTGCTGTAAACAACTCAAGAAAAGGCTATTTCACCCAACTATTAGGGTTTACTTGAATTCAGCCTGCACATTCCATCTGTCTCCTCACACCAAACCTCTTCCACGAAGGCTCTATGCTAGCTTCTTCTCTGGACGGAGATATTTGAATCATGTGACCTCTCTTAGTTTGCGCCGTGAACATAACGTGCACGTTGTCTCTGTTATTTGCTGGGCTCTCGTGAACTCCACACAAAGTAAAACTGCTTCGCTATATAATTAAGCGGACAGAGTTATAGACATTCGAGGTATCGCCCTACAGGAAGAAAATTTGAATCAAAATGGAGTTGACAGTTCGCAGTAATGCTGCTGCTAGCTTGGTCTTCATGCTTTTTCTTGTTCGCTGTGCAGCAGGTTCTACACATCGGGGCGAGTTCCATGAGAAGATGATTGCCACAGGAGAAACTACTGGATATGATGGGCACGGCTCTGTGGGAATTCCCAAAAGTACAGGACTGGACCGACACAAGAACGAGACAAATGTTAACGCTTATCACTTCGCAGCTGGTGCCACGGATATGGAATGCACCGACAGAGGAATTTTGGGAATGTATGCCGAATAACATGTCGCGCACCTCACCTGCCGGTAGATTCTTGGTCGACGAGCACATCGAACTCAGTGTTCAAGACAGAAAACTTCAGATTTATATCTGCATTGGGAAGAATGAACAAGAAAAAATACTAGCGCGGAGGCTTTATTGGCAAGTCGAGGAGAAGGAGAACTGGAAAACTCTGTAACACTGGCACGGACTCATGAATGGAGCTGAAGTTCTGTTGGTTGAGAAAGTCGGCGACATTGATCCACGTTGGTGCACTTTCAGAGCAGGGGAATCTTTTCACGACGTTATAGATGACAATACATCATCCTCCCGAACTTTGACTTCGAATGCATTGATCTTTTGTATATTCAGATTAAATCGACGCCTATCAGGTCAAGTTTATAGATTGCTTGATAAGGCTGGTCCACTAACTCCGACCCTCCATCGTTCAGTTCAGATGAGTGTCGGAGTGCTAGAGAACGCTTTCGTGCATTCTGATCATACTTAATGCTGGATAACTAACTAAGATAGTTAGACCACTTTGAAGAAATACTTATATAAAAGTATATACTATTCACAAGTCATTAAAAATAAAGAGTTTTTTTTTCACCCTATTAAAGCTAAATATTGATTATCAATATTTTTCTTATTTTTCTGTAATAACCCACTAAAGGCTAAAACTGCAATATAGTGGTAGAAAGGTCGAACCCACAGGGACAGAGGAACACACAGGGTACAAAGTGTCACGTTTTAACAGACTATTGAGGAGTTTGAATTCTCAGGCAACTGTCACTCCCAGAAATACTGCAAGTGTCCACTCGGAGCGCACTCGGAGGTCGCACAGTGCAGCGTAACACACACACACACACACACACACACACCTGAAACTACAGAAACACAACCCAGAGATCCGTTAGGACCTCTACTTCAGGATTTCAGGGGGAAAGTCTCTCGCGAGCACACTCGGCAAAGCTGCGGGCAGTGACTTCCAACTCCGGCTTTTACAACACTTCCACTAGCTTGCTGCTAGTGTAGGAAACCCGGTTTGGACTGCCTACTTCGGATCGAAGTCACTCAGACGCGGTGAACAACACTCTCAACTCACAAAACGCGCAGAGAACACAGGTCCACACTGAAGGACTCACTGTGAAACATTCCAGTAACACAACAACAGTCTATTGAAGAGTTTGAATTCTCAGGCACTTGTCATTCCCAGAAATACTACAGGGGTTACCCTCAAGGCACCTGCTGCAGCGTAACCTGAATTTACAACCAAGGCTTACACGAAGTAGCAAAACTTCACTTTGGCATTCAGGGGAAAAATCCCAAGGAGTACAATCAGAAAGAAACACTCGAAGGTGTAGGGGCGAAACTGTTCAAGTATCTAACTAGTCACTGGCTCTGAGCATCGGCAGTCACCCGCAGGTGCAGATCCGAACTACTCAAGTCTCTAACCAATGTACTAGCTCTGAACATTCGGCCGAAGGCCTTCAGCTACAAAATGCGGAACGCTAAGTTGTAACTCCTCCTGCGTGGTGACAGAACTCAAGGACACAAACACGCAAAGGAAATGGGTTCCTGATCTATACTTCTGATGGGAAAGAACCCCAGGCAAAACGCCTGGAACTATTTTATACCTTCTAAGTCCTACCTAACACCACACTGCACTACGCTACACGCCTGCACGGAACCACGCTACACTACACTCCGCGGAACCTGTACTACGTCTCCTGCGCGGCCGACTGCCGCGCACTAACTCCCTACCCTGCCACTCTTCCGCTCGACTGCGCAGTCCCAACCGCTGCAACGCCGCGGACACCTCCCCCTCGAGGGCGGACATGGTATCCTGTGCCTTCGACAGAAAGGCCTCGAGCTTCTTCGCTACCTTCCGCCGACTCCTACTGTCGCCTGACAACAACCCGGCTGCGCGCAATTCAAACTCACGCAGTGTGAGTTTCTCCTGCGCCTTCACTTCCCAGTGGGCGTAGCCCTTGAGACAGTGGGCGACTCGCCTCGCCGTCTCCACCTTCGTGCGATCCGCCTCCTTCCTGCGATCCTCTTCAATTATCACTAATTGCGATTCGGCTTCAGCACGTTGCGCTCTCAATTCGCCACACTCTGACTGTAACCTGCGGATTAATTCTTCATCCGCCTTCCGTGCGAGCTGACATTGTTCCAACAACCTCGTCTGTCGCACGAGCTCCTCTGACAAAATCCGATTCTGGGCCTGCTCAGAGTTGAGTGCTTCCTTGACCTTCACCTGCTCCTTGGTGAGCTCGCCCAGTTTTTCATCCTTCATCTTCTCGGAGTGCTTGTAGAATTTCTGATTAAGCTTGTACTGTCCCCACAAGCACTCATGCTTCTCCTTCAAGTCCCTCAACTCCTGGTCCACTCTAGCTAATAGCTTGCTGGTGTGGACTTTAGTGCGAGTCCGCCTGCGCACTAACTCGATGTAAGATCCCGGCTGAAGTGGGTCGGCGTATTTATCGACCTTGCGATCCAAGTACCGCAGCAACGGAATCACCTGCTCAGAGAGCGCCGCCGCCGGCGCTCCAACAATTTCCTCCTCCTCCTCCTCGGTGTCTTCTGCTCCTGACATTTCTTCCGTGGAGCCTCCGTCGTCATCATCCGAGTGGAGAATTTCAGTCGCCATTGATTGCGTCGGCGACTGCCCCGAGTGGGGCTGCACGTCGTCGACGTGTGCTGCCTGCGAAGGCACGGCTGCAGCCTCGCTGCTCGTCGCCAAAATGTCTAAGGCGGAAGGCGAATGTACCCGAGCGGCATCCCCGTCTCTCGCTGGTTGATTGCCTACCGCATTTTCTCTGTCGCCGTCGTCCGTCGCCGAAGGCGGTCGAGCGGAGGGTGGCTGCGCGGGGTTTGATTGCGCATCGCGCATCGAGATTTCATCCCGCGGACAGTCACTCCGCTCCTCCGTCTGCTGCTCCCTTGATCGGTCCGTGGGGGCTGTGCCCGGCCCGTGCGCAGGCGCATTTGCCGGCGCCTTGTCCGCCGCAGGCGTAGCGCCGCGGACATCTATCGCCGAAGGCGACATGGCCGGGGGCCGCACGCCCGTTGTTCCTTGGCCTATAGGCCCTACCGCCGAAGGCGCATCTATCGGCGGACTTCCCGCCGATGGTGCGGCCTCCGCACGCTCTCTGCTCGTATCTCCTCGGCTCGAAGGCCCTGGCGCCGAAGGCGCAAATTGCGGCGCGTGGTGCGCCGGAGGGTCTGGCCCCGAGGGCCGGTGTCTCGTAGGCGGTTCTTCCGCCGGCTCCTTCCCCTTCCTGCGTTGGAACGGGGGTGATTCTTGCCTGTGCACAGGCGGCACGTGCGGAGGTGTCCTGTGCACAGGCGACCTGTGCACAGGTGAGCGCCTGTGCACAGGCGGACTGCTCCTTCCCACGCGTAAGCGTAGATCCACGTCCACTTGTGTTCGCCGGTCCGCGGAGGCTCGTCCGTCCGCGGAGGTTCGCCTGTGCGCAAACGGAACATCTGTCCGCATCGCACGTGGTAACTCCGGAGGCCCTTGGCCCGTAGGCGGCCTCTCTCCCGACGAGGTTGCAGCGTGGCCCGTCTCTCGTGCGGTCGTCCGCGCTTCCTCTCGCCTCTCTGGCGACGCACTTCCTATCTCCGTCGCAATCGTCGCCGTGTCCGCACTGTCAGCTGGTAACACCAGTCTGCGTGCCTTCTGCTTCGGCCGGCTGTATGGCTCGCACAGCGGCCGCGGTCGAATGGGAGCAGAGGGTTCTTGATGCTGCTCCTCTTCAGACTCTTCCCTCCATCGCCGCTTCCGCGGCACTCGCGCTGCAGGAGTGTGTCTCCCTTCGTCCCTCCGTCTTGATGGGGTCGAAGTCGGTGACTCCTCTGCATCAGTATCGACCTCGTTCTCCCGCACATACTTCCCGGGATGGTCGACGGACAATGGCGGAAAATGTTCAAGCTCCGCCGCTGTCAAACAATTCCGTTGTCGATAAAAATTGATGAGGAAAGGAGAAAGATGGTTTAGAGTTCCCCCCTTCTCCTCAAACGCGTGCTGTCGCATCACCCTGTGCAAGATGCTCGCCCAGTGAATTGGAGTTCCCTCGATGACGCACTCCACAAAAGAGACTTGCCACAATGTGATGTAGCAGGCGCGGTGCGGCTGCAGTAATTGCATCAGCGCCGCGGACAGAGTCCGGCGAAATCGATCCTTGTAATCACGGGTCCTGTACCCATTCTTGGTAGACCTCCCGGTCTTGAACAGCTCCACAAATTGCGCCTCTTCTTGCTTGGTCACCTTGATGCTCTCGCTGTCGAAAAGGAGATGCCCTGGCATGCCAGCACATCTTCCCAACGCCTGCGCCCAATCTTGGACTGTCCACCGATCAACATGCGGACGCAATCCGCGCGTGGGTGGTCCCTGTGGCTCTAGCCACTCGCGCACCATATTCGCACAGATGTAATTCCATCCCCATAGCAAGAAATCGAGCTTTCTTGCTATTAAGCGCTCCTCGAAAGCGCGCAGCCCGTTCTGCGGCAGGCGAAGTGGCACCATCCGCAATCTGCTCGGTCTCGTCATTGCGTTCCTGGGGTTCGTTCGCCCGCTCATTCTACTTCCGCACTGCCCGCGCTTCTTTCTCTCTCGGCAAACTCTAATCGCTCTCAATTCCAAATCACGCGCACTCACTTCTCCCTCAATCAACAAGAAATCTCCTGTGTGACGACGTCGAGAATGTTCCGCAGCCAGCAGATGGATGCGCGCAGCGCGCACAAGAGATTGGAATCGCGAATTCAAGAATGGGACGTTCTCCGCCGCCCGGTCGAAGGTCATGGTCGGCTCTTGGTCGTGAAGAACGTCTCACTTGATGGCCGCGCCGGCTGTACGCTGGAACGGTCTTCGCTCTCACGCGCGGCTTCACGCTCCGCCGTCGTCGATTAAACTCTCACGCTCGAATTGGCGGATTTGAACTCCGCGAGCGTGTCACCCTGCGGACATGGGGGCGTAGCGCCGAAGGCGAGTTTTCCGCCTTGCGCGGTACACTTGTTCGTACCGCCCCTCGGCCAATCCCCCTCTGCCTTGACGCGTGTGTCCGCATGTCGGACAAAAGTTCAACTCCTGCCTGTGCGCAGGCAGGAGCCTCGGCGGATTCTCCGCCGGCGCGGATCTTGAACATCCTCCTGTGCACAGGCGCTCGCCTGTGCGCAGGCGAATTCCGTCCGCGGCGCTGCGCTGGCGCGGAAGGCGTTGACCGTGGTCAGCCGTCTCCGTCCAGTCTGTCCGTTCCTTGTCTCTCCGTCGGCGCTTCCGCCGCCGCAACTCCGTCCGTCCAAGAGCGCACCCACCCGTGCCGTCCGCATGGTCCGTACCGATTGGATTACTCTGGCGGCTCTTCCGACGTGCGCGGCGCTGCGCTGGCGCGGAAGGCGCCGTACACTTTCTACCTCACAAGGCGCCTTTCTAGGGCCCAAGGCGGATTTTCCGCCGACGCCGAAGCGCCTGTGCACAGGCGTTTGCCTGTGCGTAGGCGGACTTCGCGCCTTCCCTAACCCTACTTCGCCTGTGCACAGGCGAACGCCTACGTCCGCGCATAGGACAAAACTTGATTCCTCCTTCCGCGTAGGCGGAATTC